CTATTCTAAGTAAGTATATAGTTATCTTTATATATTTATATATCTTAATTAAATATCTAGGCTAATATATAAGGTTAAATAATATATAGAATACCTAGAATAGGTAGAATAAGGTATAATTAGCTAATTTAATAAAGAGATTTTACTTTTTTCACTTTTCGCTAATCTTTTCTTCGATTTTAGATATTACTTTTATTTATAACTAGTGGTTACTAGTTATTTCTAGTAGTAATCTTCGAGAACTAAGTTTAACTCTGAAATTACCTAATTTTACTAGAAGCTACTAGTTATAGCGCCTAATAACTAGATCGATTAGCTAGCTTAGCTAAAGGATTTAAAAGCCCTAAAGGTTGATAATACCTAGAAAGAGTGTATAGTAAAGGAGCTTACTTAGGAAGGCGTAGTGGTTCCTAATTTAGTGATATAAGTTTTAACTTACTAGTAGTTACTAGCTATTACTAATAGTTACTAGTTATAAGGTACTTTATAATTACCCTAATTATATTAGTAATAAACACTTCTATAAGTTTCGGAAGACTAGACTAATTATATATTTTAATCTTTTTTCTACTTATTATTACTATAGGTTACTAATTATTACTAGTAAAGGCTATTACTTAATATATATTATACTACCCCTTTTATAACTATTCGCTATATATTTTCTATTTATTAATACTACTTATTATAACTAGTAGCTAATAGTGTCTACTAGTAGTAATAGATCTAGAAAGTACTTTAAGTAGTTCTATTCTAGTAGTACTATTAGAAAGTATATTAAGGAGAGCTACTATATAAGTTTATACTATTTACTACTACCTATTCCTAGTAATTACTAATATTTACTAGGGAAATAAAGTATATACTAGTATATATATACTAAGCGACTAGGTAATAACTAAGGAAGGTATTTTATAAGTTATACCTATTTTCTTACTAGCTTTTACTATTAGTTACTAATAATTACTAGTGACCCTATTAAGACCCCTAGTAATAAAGACTTAGATATTAATATAACTAAGAGTAGTAATAATAAGGAGCTAGTCGAAGTTACTAGTAATAATAAGGAGACTACCCCCCCTATATCTACCCCCTCTAAGCCCACTAATACCACTTATCCTTCTACTAGTAAAGCCTATACTACTACTAGTAATACCTATTAGGCTACTAGTAATACCTATACTACTACTTCTACTATAGAAAAGGAGCTAGCGAAGTAAGTATAATCTATCTATCTATTATTATATTAAATTACTACTAATTACTAGTAGCCTCTACTTATTCTATTATATAGTAAAATATATAGAGTATAACCCTACCTATATCTTATATTATATATAAGTGTTACCTATAATAAATAACTACTACTAGTTATAACTAGTAATACTAATATATTATAGGAATTATTCTATAGAATAATTATTCCTACCCTACTCTTCTAGTAATTACTAGTTTTTACTAGTATTTAATTTCCTATTAATAGTGGTTTCTTTTCTTAAGGTTATCTTTAGGCTAGAGTTTATAGTTATCCTATAACTTTCTAATATACTTTATAATTACTAGTGTAGTTTAAGCCTAATTATTACTACTAATAATTAGTTACTACTAGTAATCTAGGTATAAACTAATAAACTAAGAGTTTAGAAGCTATTACACTAATTATATCTAGTTATTACTAGTAATATCTAGTTTAATATAGTATTCTTATTCTAATATCTTACCTTTTCTACTATTTTACCTTTAGGTATAGAGATAAGCTATTTACTAGTATAATTTATACTTAATTCTAATCCTAACCACTAGTTACTACTAGTAATTACTACTAATAAATATAACCCCTTCCCTTAATTTATTAGTAGGAACTTTCTAGGAGCTCTTAGTAATATTTAAGTTACACTATATTTTAAATATAGTGTCCTAACTAGTAATTATTAGTAATAATAAATTATCTGTATTAACCTCCTATATATTATTCCTATATTATATAGAACCTACCGGATAATAACTTCTATTAAGATATTACTAGTAATTACTAAAAATTAAATACCGATTATATATTAAATCTACCCTAAAATTTTTAGTTACTACTAGTTATATCTAGCAGCTATCAGAAAACCCCCTATATAATACGTATTAATATATTAAGACTATTAGGTACGTGATAAAATATATAAAAGTTATTATTAGGCACTTTTTACTAGTAGCTCCTAGCCTACTAGTAAATACTTCACTCTTTCTAGTAGACTTAACCTAATAACCTAATAGCTTTTAGGGCTATAGTTTATTTTATAAACCCTATATTAGTCGCGACTAGTAGCTCTGACCTCCTACCAGTAGCAACCAGCCTACTGGGAGCTACTAGTATGAAAAACCCACCTGACAACCTGACAACCTGACAACCTGACGACTACCGCGCCGCCTCGGGGCCACCGGCACCTCCACCTAGGGCTCCCCGGCTTACTCAGCTTCACTTGACCCCGGGGCCGGGAGCCCAGGTGGGTTTGGTGTTTGGCGGGAAATTATGCCTTAGTGCCTAGGATGGCCTCATTTCAGGCCAATCCATCGGAAACCTATGCTGTGCTAGCTCCATCTCTGATTCTTGGCTGCAAGAGCAGCTGGAGTCAAGGCATCTCAGAGCGTCGAACACCGTCGTACACCGCCCCATACATTGTCTCCGCTACGGAACGTGACTCGCCCGTTTGTTTTCTCTCTCCCAATCTCGTCCATGTCACTATTACCGTTACTGGTTTTTTCTTTTCTATTTTTTTTTGTTCATAGGCAAGCCTTGTCATTCATCGACCCTACCTAGGTAAAGAATCATGCCCAAACCTGGCCGGCTCGCTTCCATTCTACGTCCATTCGGCTTGGTCTGGTTTTCTATCTGCTGTAAGACTTTCCCACAAAAGGCTTCACAATCTCTACTAATTCCCCCTTTCAGTACACTGGGAAGCTTTGACAGAAGCCGTTCGTCGAGATGGTCTCGCCGCACTTGGTCACCCACAGCAAATCCAAGATGCTGCTTCAGCAAAGTTGCTCGGTATAACCTGTAATTCACCCCGCTCCCTATATATGTCCTGCTTGAGCCAATTTACTCATTGGACCGATTATCCTGAACAGCCAGTGGCTTCATCGCTTACGAAGATACAACCATTGTTCCCTCATTCGTACAAGCTGCTAGCGGTGTTGTTCTGGAACTAGGCCCCGGACCAGGAAATCAGATTCATCGTTTTGATGTCTCTCGTGTCGAACACATCTATGGCGTTGAACCCAATTCCCAGTTCAAGGGCACGATCGATGCTCTCTTGAAGAAACATAATCTGCAGGATAGGTACAAGCTCATAGCTTGCGGCATTGAAGACAGCGACGTTTTGAGGGTGGAGGGAATCACAGAGGGCAGCTTGGATACTGTGTTATGCATCCAGGTCCTATGTGCCGTAAAGGATCCGAGGAACGTCATGAAGGAGGTGTGGAAACTCCTCAAACCAGGAGGCAAGTTTATATTCTGGGAACATGGGCGGAGTGAAAATCGCTTGACGGCTATAGCGCAGGGTATGTTTGTCTCGTGCGGAACAACCAAATTATTATTCAGGCTGGCTAACATGAGAAAACCCTAGCTTGCTGGAACCCTACCTGGTGCACATTCGTCGGTTGTGTCTTGACTCGGAATGTGTTGGCGGACATACTCGACAGTGGCGAATGGGAAAATCCACATGAGATTGAAAAACCTCATGAGCCGTTTAGTCTGCTGCCTAGAATCCAGGGTGTGCTTATCAAGAAAGCATAATGGAACCCCGCCATCTCCTAAAAGGATCTTACCGAATACCTCCTATAGATTATCATTAGCGCTCCGCAAAGCTTACAAATGGACACGGCGCAAAGCCCATCTCTCATTAGGCTATGGGCTTGGCCGTCGAAGCCCAATCCAACCTATAACCCATTTAGGGGGTTCCACTAGGATCTTGTAATCGCTATATTCTGATATCTCTACTAATTGTACGTACCATAGATTCTACATTCAAAATATATAATTTTAATCATTATATAAATGGAAATTTCAATTTCAAATCAAGTCCAACCATCGAATGTTGAAAATTGATATCGGATCAGATAGCAGCATAAGCGGCCGTCTACTCTTGTATATAGTAATTAAAAAGTCACGTTTCTCGGAAGATTTGTATTGGTTGGTGCTTTTTGGGCCCCTATCAAGCCCGGTGGGCTTTCACCCCGGGCCTATAGCCCACCGGTGGGCCCTAACATAGGGCCCAAAGCCAGCCCACTTGCGAGGCGCTATTACGTTCAAGTATTAAGGTTTTTAATTCTTCCTCACGTGACAGTCACGATGAGGTCAAAATGCCACCTTCTGTCCAATGATTTAATCTCAAGATCGAGCTAAATCATAATTATATATTGGACACATGGAGTACATAAGGGACTTAGGTCCTTCAACACATGACTTTGAGTCATCTTGTCTCCAAAATGAAGATATGGAGAATCCTGCGTCACAACGTGAGTATTGAATCATTTGGGCCTTCCTGCGAGTTTCAAAGTCAAGATCTCATCAGGAAGTAGACATAAACTCATCAGAGATAAATTCGCTGTTTGTCCCACCATTTGATGATCCTGCTTTCATGGGTGAATTGAATCGTCCACTATCTGAACGTAAATTGTTCATGAGTCAACAATCCGAACCTTTACATTGGCCGGAAATTGAGCCATTGGGCGACAATTTACAACATTTCACGCCGTCAAACAGCTCTTTCTTTCCATATTGCCAAGACACACTGTCGCCCTTCTCAAATTGGCAAAATGAGGAATCTACCTATCCCTCTCATAGTGATTTAGCAGGGGTATCGCCATCCAGTATTCCACAAGCTTGTCTTACACCCAGTTTGACAGCGGGGAATGATCAACCATTCCAACATGATTCACAAAGTCTTTCGCCGACACAAATTAGTAGCGGCACGATTGCAAATGGGAGAATACCCACTCCCGGTCGTCCTATGAATACCCACCCACGTTTGCCGAGGCGCAAAAGCCGCTACATTCTCCAGAGGTCCGGGAACCAGGTCATTCCGAAGTTCATTCCCGACCCAATTGGTCCGTGTGACCCTCTTCAGCGGTGGCGGAACTCTCCTCCCGAGGATGAGCCAGCATCTATGTCTGCTATCGCTGATGCCATCCATAAGTCGGAAGATGCCGGAGGTCGAATATATAATGGCAAAGACCGGCCCCCTCAGGGGCCATATCCTCAATTCTGCCACTACCGCCGGCCTAATTCACTAGCTAGCTCCAATAGTGGCTCGAGTGCTTCATCTTGGCCAAGTGTTACATCAACAAGATCTGCAACAACACAGGATCCACTGGCACCTCAAGACCACGTTGGCCATCGCCGTATTCACAAGAACAGACAGGATCAAAAGAAACCAGACGATGCTAGCAAGCGTATATTTTGCTGCACCTTTTGTTGCGACAGATTCAAGAACAAGTACGATTGGGTCCATCATGAGAAATCACTCCATCTGAATCTGGATAGTTGGGTGTGCGCACCGCACGGTGTTGCTCCGATTTCACCCTTGACTGGCAGACGACAATGTGCCTATTGCCTTTGCTTGGAACCATCGGTTGAACATCTCGACCAGCACAGCTCTCAGCTATGTTCAGATGGGACCCGCACGTTTCGTCGAAAAGATCACCTCGTCCAACATCTTCGACAGTGCCATCAGCTCAACACAATACCGCCGATTGCAGACTGGAAAACCCCTTCTCCCACTGTGACATCTCGTTGTGGCTTTTGCAGTCACCGGCTCATCAATTGGGATGAGCGTTCTGAGCATTTGGCCTCACATTTTCGTGAAGGTTTGACGATGAATGAATGGCGAGGGGATCATGATCTTCCGGCATCCATTGCGTCCAAGATTACCAATGCTTTACCCGTGTATCTGATTGGGTCAGAATCTAAAACCATGGTTCCTTTCTCAGCAACCAATGCCACCGTGAAAGACCATTTCGCCCAAATTTCACGGCGGGCAGACTCTACTATTGATGCGACGGTTGACACCCCTAATGAGGCGTCGTTAGAATCCTCATTTCAGCAACTTCAATCGTACGACACACCTCTGCATACTTTCACGGAAATATTGACTTCTCATCTGGCTCGGTATTCCCGGAAGCAAATGAGCTTGGGTATCTTGCCTACTGATGAAATGTTTCAACAAGAGTCGAGACGACTGCTCTACGACTCCGAGAATCCTTGGAATCAGACCATCGCTGATAATCCAGAATGGATATTTAATTTCAAACGACAATATATTGAGCAAACAGATAGTGCTGAATCAACAGGACAAACAGCTCCGCATGCGATGGAACCGCCCCACCATGGTGCAATGCTCCGCTAGTAAAATGGAAATTTTTACTAGAGCGTCACTACGAGATACCTCCCGGAGAAAAGTGGAAAAAGGACAAGGCAAATGCTTTCTCATACCAATTACACTTCTCGTCACCATCAAAGTTCGCCACTCATCTTCCTGTTAACCGAGGAGGGTGTTGAACACCCAATTTCTCGGTAACCAAGCACGGGAATAGCAATTTCATGAATATGGATCTTTTGAAATTGGTATTGGATTTACTTGACGTATTCCGACGCATCTCGTTGCCCGGTTCAATGGCTTTGGCATTGGGATGGTCCTCGTATTGTACTAAGTCGTCGATCAAAGACTCATTACAAGCCAATTCAGTTGAACCTCCTCCTGCCTTTGCAATTTGCTACATCTCACCCTGGTCCCTTTACAATCAATACCGGAAGAGAGGGGTTTTTTTTTTGCCCGAGCGCTTGGTTTCTTGATCTAATTCTACCATATTATCGTCCGGCGTGCTTTGAATCAACTTCTCTCGCGTTCCAGATAAGCATATCTTTTTAGAGCTCTGAGAAATGCTGAGAATGCGTAAAGATGGTCTTGTATTCTATTTCTAATACAACGTTCTATTCCTCACTGATCACATCTATCCATTCAGATTTATTATTTCCCAGCAGAATATCAGACATCCATCTTAGCAAAACCGCCATGTGCGGAATATCGTCGGTCGGAATCTCAATAACCCGCTCCTTGTACTGAATGCGGACCACCAGTTGCATGAAACAGGCAGTACCAACAACGAAAGTACCGAGTAGTCTTCCCTGCTCGGAGGCCTTGGCCAGCTCGGAGATGGTGAAGTTTGCCTCGACTGCCTCCAATGGTTCAATGCCCACTTTGGAAGCGCCAGCTTGATCAAGTCTTGTTTCTGTCAACTCCAGGACGCTCTTCCTTGTCACACCTGCCAAAATCGTATGTTCTGTCAGAGGAGCAGTGATAAGCTGCAGCTTCCCACCCTCCGTTCTCCAAATTGCGAAAAAGTTCGATGAACCGGCTTCGGTCACGTATCCTTCGGATCCAAATAACCAGAGAACCTGATCGAAACCATTTCTTTTGGCTTCGTCGTGCGCCAAAAGTGAGGGCCCATAGTTACCACTGATTTTGGCTGACCCCGCGCTACCAGGCCACGCGCGGACCATATCTTCAACACTGCAAAGAAGCTCGAGTCCCTTCTTGGCGGAGGGTGGAGGTGGCCAGTATGAAATGATGATGAATAACATCGCCTCTTGGGGAACCTGGAATCCCAGACATGGATCCGATCCGATGAAAGTGGGACGGAGATAAAGCGACTGGCCCACACCGTCCTTGGGTAGCCATTTCGGACCATCAACTGCACACAGCTTCTTGATCAACGCAAGAAGTTGTCGGGGATCGAATCCCGGAAGGCAGATACGAAGCGCAGATGCAAGCATCCGTCCGCAGTTATATCCCGGTCGGAATAAGCGCAGCGTTCCGTCAGCCCCACGGTATACTTTCATACCCTCAAAGCAAGCTGTAGAATAGTGTATAACGCTGGCAGTTGGCATCAAAGATAGTGGACCATACGGGACAAGCTCGGGATCGGTCCAACCTTGCTCGGATGTCCAGCGAATGCTGATCATGTGGTCGGTGCATACTTTGTTTGAGAGTAGCTCCGGAGAGCCAGGAGGAGGGACCGGCCTTGGGGAGGAGGTAAGATTTGTCTTGAGCCGCGTGGCATCAAATGTTTCTCGAGGGGATTGAATCTTCGGGTTGGTAACCATTCGGAGGACGGAGGGGGAGAGAAATGCGGCCGCATCCTCAATGGGAGTAGGAGTTACGTTTGCCATTCTCTTTTCGCCGCCGGGATTTGATCTTGGGTTCTGGATCTAGAGCTAGCTACTCAGAATTGTAGGCAACGGCCCTTTAAATATTGCCATAAAAATGGATCCTCTTGGGAGTAGAGTTTCTCTGTTCATTGTGATGCCGCAAACAGTCCAGAATGGGTAGGGCGTGGATGGTGGCATAAGGCGTGTAGTGCTCCCAGAAGGACCATAAAAGACTTATCGCTGGTGATTCCGTTGGGTCAACTCGCAATCTCTCGATAAAATTGACTCGTTGACTTACCTCAAGGGTCGATGCGAGCGAAGACAGGCCAGTCCTTGCTCTCTGTGGACTGTCGCTGTCCTCTATCGGCTCAACCGGACCCACAGGGCGTGAGGGCGTGGGCTTCACGCCCTCACGCCCTGTGGGTCTATGTGTTGTACATCGACAGAAAATGGAAGATAATTGACTGCGTATAATTACAATTGTTCGTCTTCATCTTTATACAATATCCAGATCTTGCTTGTCCTCATTCGACCTCTTTTCACAATGTCCTCCATTTCACTCGCTAAATCGGTGCCGCGCTTTCGTGTACACATAATCGGTCTCGGTAGCATCGGCACTTTTGCTGCACATGCTGTGTCTGAAATTCCGAATGGGCCGTCGGTGACTCTCCTTCTGCATCGAAGATCACTTCTTGAGACCTACTGCCAGAACGGAAATCAAATCCGATTCGAGTCCACAGACGGGAAGCACCTTGTTTCACGCGGATATGACTTGGAAACAATTTACAACGACCAATGGCACCTGACAACACCGCCAAGCCCAGATTCCCCAGTGGGTAGGGATGAGATCCAACATCTAATTGTCTGCACGAAAGCAACGCAGACTGTATCGGCCCTCCGCCCACTCGTCCCCCGCTTAAACCGTGCTTCGAATATTCTCTTTCTCCAAAACGGCTCCGGGGTGATCGAAGAGGTCAACAAGCATTTATTCCCAGATCCCTCATCTCGACCAAACTATCTCATTGGTGTGATCTCCCACGGAGTAACGCTCAATTCTCCCTTTAACATCACCCACACTGGGGTTTCGGCGACTTCAATAGGGCCTGTCCCATCCTACCCCTCAGCGAACGTCGATATACCGGATTCTCAGTCCTCCTACCTTCGTCAAACTTTACCCGATTCCCCAATCCTGAGCTTGACCTCATATTCCTACACTGATATTCTCCAAATTCAACTCGAGAAACTGGCCGTCAATGCTTTCTGCAACCCAATCTGTGCCCTGAACGACGCCCAGAACAAATTCTTGTTTAGTGTGCCAGAAACGCGGCGGGCAATCTTGACTGAGATCTCGGAGGTTGTCCTCTCCCTCGGCGAGTTGCAGGGCGTTCCCGGCTTAAAAGAGAGATTTTCGGTGGATCGATTGGAGCAGACGGTTCATGCAATCATTGAAAAGACGGCGAATACCACTTGTTCTATGGTCTGGGATCTTAGGTCAAGACGGGAAACTGAAATTTCCTTCATCAACGGGAGTTGGAGTCAGATGGGTCGGGCGGTTGGTGTTGCGACGCCAGTTAATGATGAACTTGTTGAGAAGATTTTGAAGATTCAGGGCTCGAGTAGACAGATTTAGATGGTTAATTGCACATAGTACGCTATGCGTATTAGCATCATCTCTCCAAAGGTGTTCGAAAGTTCGAAACACTTCATAAGTTTCTTGATCTTGATCATCCTTTTGCTTGCCAAGCTATAGATACCCTAAATCGGCTACTACCACGGGAGCGCCAGATAAAACCCGAGAGAATGTAATCCCACAGACCTAGTAAGATCCCCGGGTCGGGCGACGATTGGGACCTGCGATATATAACCCTCTCATGGGATAATTGCCAGGTCCTTCAAATGTCGAGACCAGTGGAGTTTTCCCGTGGAGGTAATAGGCGCCACTGGAAGCGTATTTGTTCAAGAGACTCAGCACGTCGCCTTTATCCCATGCTCCATTGCCTGCATAGTCGAAAGAGAAGAAAAGAGAGAATTTGAGATTTTCGGCGGCTATAAAGGCATTCGGCATGGAACTGGAGGTGGTGTCTTCTCCGTTTGCGATATTCAAAGCGAATGCGTCGATATGGGCATCCTGCGCGAGCTGGATCTCATTTTCCCAGTTCGAGACTGAATATCCGGCCGTATTTAAGACCATGAAATGGGCGAACACAGCACGGGAATACCCCTGGGTATAGAATAAGCATGACAGGAAAAGCATGTAGCGCCACCAAAGGAATGAGGCAGGCATTTTGCTAAAGCATGGAACGAGTCTAAATTGGAAACAAAAAAGAAAGGAATGATTAAGGAATGATTCTGGCTCATAAAAAGGTTATCAGAGAAGAAAAAAGGACAGCAGTGACTAGAGAGCATGCTTCAGAAAGTTCAGATGCTATCTTCTCTTCTCGTGGACATATAGTTACTTGTCAACTTTTGGCCCCAATTGCCACTTCATTAGCGCTCTGCCGGTGGCGGCTCTCTCATAAGTACAATCTCCCAGTGGGCCCAGATACCAGTCAGTGTCTCTGATAATTTTGCCGTGATCCCGATGCAATATTACTTCTTGACGAGAAATGGTTTACGGCATATCATCCCCCGGATACACAAATCTTATACAGTAGAGCTCTTCATTCTAAGATCAACAAGCATCCGAAGGGTCAAAGCATTCTATTTCATAGTTCGTTGGATCTCTTAGATCGCTTATAAAAGTCAATCGTGCCTCGGCTAGGGATAAGCCTCGCCAATGTTTTGGCTTTGCGTCCGGAGATTACCCCATAAAGAGACTCGGTTTCCGAGGTACAGTAGCTCGTAGGACGGAAAAAAGGCCGGCGTTGAGCTCACTAATGAACCCCTAACTGTCGGATGCCATAGGCATCCAGGCATATAGATCAAACATGTTTGATTTGCCATCATGCTTGCCAGTATAAATAGGATCTCAGTATCCTATTCATACTTGCTTTCTTCTTCTTCTCTCTCTCTCAGTCTTGCTTCTAGATAGAGAATATCATCATCATCTTCTCTGTCATCACTAACTTATATATTAGGGTGTGATTAGGCTGGGCTAGATGGCAGCGCCGTCTGAAATTGAAATAAGGCTAAAGCTTAGTGCTTTTTTAGTGCAGAACCCCCAATACCGACAGTTACGCCTCTGTATAATATTCATACCACACCAAATGAGCACCATTTACAACTTCTTTTGCTGATTATATTTGATGTCTTCATAAAGTCCATTTCTGGGTGTCGTTTCTTCCTCTGCTACTCCGGCTCATTCTAGTTTGACGGACACTCCCTTGCCAGTCATTCACTCCAGCTCAATATACTGCCTGCTTGGTGTGCATCATTCCATATCTTCTTGATTTGCTGTGCCATCATTATATCTCATTGCCGTGAGCTAAGCCTCAGGCCTCATCCTTGTCCACCCACTTTAATTCGCCTTCCACCCTTTTCTCTGTCAACATGAAGGCATTCAGGCTTCTGCTCTTCACATTCCTGTCCCTTTTCAGCCTTGGACAAGTATCCAAGCTCGCTGCCCCTAGCGAGATGCTCGCCATATACAACGCATATGTTTTGGATTTTGTCAGGAATGGAGCACAACGTACCCTAGGACCACAGCTAAGCAATGAGGCCTTGGTTGACTTTGGGACCTTTACGGCGCACGTCTAGAAAGACATTAAGTTTGCTCGACAGGGCCTTTTCTTGAGCCAAGCCCCAGAATACGGGAAGAATACTTTGAGCCAAATCATGAAAAGCCTGCCAAAATACTCAAAATACGACCAACTTCAGTTGCTAGAAGATGCTTCTGTGAAGAATCATCAGATGGTCCTCGAAAAACTTCGTCATGTCGTTCAATCGACTCGAGGTAGCACCGCGTCGGGCTTTTCAGACGCTTGGAAAACCCATCTCCCCGAATTCAAGCGGGCTTTCGCAGGGATCCAAGGAGCACGGCTAAGTGAGATGTTCTCAGTCGGACTAAGGCCATTGTTTGAGGACGAATTTACGACTTTAAAATCTTCATCATATCCTGTACTGGACACAGACGTTTCATACGTTTACCAGAACTGGGGTTTGACAGCGGCGTCTGAAGATAATCCATTAGATGCAATGAATAAATACATGGAGTGGCATCGTGGTCTTGACCCGGACCTATTTCAGCCAAAGAAAGCGAGAGCTGTGAAAGCTTACCTGTCCCATCGAGAGATTACCGCGTCGATTGGTAAGAGCTTGAGTCAGTTGGACAGCCTGGACAGTTGTGATTAGAAGATTTTACATACAGGATAGGTGTCGGATGGTAGCTCAAATCTTTATGTCTTTGGGATATATATATGATCCGGAATTGTCGACTATACAAAATTGAATCTGTATCTACCTACTTGCTTTCCATAATGCTCAAATTTATCAGAAGGGAGTGGTATGTTCTATATTATTTTGTACATATGGAGTTCCAGCATAGTAAGCACTACGTATTCTAGCTGCTAGCATCAATCTCTTGTGTTCGGCTGTATTCAAAGAACGCAAACTTCCGAATAAATGTGCCGCGAATGTCCGCGTTCAAGGAAATCCTCGCTTATCCTGTCTCTATCCTGCCTCATTTGGTTTCGAGCCTCGACTGCCTGCGTGAATGTCATTAAATCATGCTTCGGCGCGTCCTTCGTTGATTGTGATGTCTCGACCCAGCTTGGGTCCTGGGGAGGCACATTCTGAGTTGAGCAAATTCGATAATGCGGGTCTACCAACCACAAAGTCGCAAATCGAAGGTGCCCCGGCCGCAATGGATCTGCCAAACTGAAAGGCTCGGCCTTAGACCGCAGTGTACTTGGCCAAGCAAGAAACTGCCCATTCCGTGAAATCGGGATAGACCCTATGGTCTGTAGAGCCTCCGGGTAACAAGGATCATCGCCGAGGAATGACCAGCTCGGAATATCAAAAACTCGATCCATAACGTCATACTCCGCAATGTTGAAATCATCGCTCTCGATGTGTGTCTCTTGTTGGAATGAAACCTTTGCATCTTTGATGTTGTGCATATCGAAGTAGCATACGGCTGTAGAAACGATATGCTCATTAAGGATACCAGCAACGTTTTGATGAGAATCACCATGATACAAAGGCTCTTCGGGGGTAAGCTCAATAGTTGACACTCGAACTATGATCTGTAAGCCCTCAAATTGATCTTGGAGAGATATCGAGTAGTACTGGTGATCTAGGTCGGGAATTTGTGGCGTTTTAGGTTTATCAGGGTCACTCCATTTAGGCATAATCGCGCGGCCTGTATTTTCACCAGTCTTCCATTCATCGTATGTGAAGGAGATTCCTGGCTCAATGCCTTTCACGGCGTATAACCGCCTGCTCTTTGCAATTACCAATTTTTCCAGTTCTTCGAAAGAATTCCATTGCCATGGCTGTATACTAGCGAGAAGATCATGGTACCCAGAGTTAGGTAATATGCGGTGCCTCTTCTCGGGCTCAGGGAGCCTAAGATATTCTCTTATTCGTGATCGAATGTTAGACCATTCTTCTTCTGCGATAGGTGGTGTTCGTCCCTGTCTCGCTTTCTTCATATAGTTAAGCAACTTGGTCTCGTTATCACCGCCTTCCACTTGGAAGTCATAAGTTCTGATTCGAATTGGTGTCCGACCCTGATCTCCAAGGATAAGCATTTCGTTCCACGGTTGAATAGCGGCTGAAATGAGCCTTTCGAGCGCTGTGTATATACTCCTTTCCTTTGGATGCACACCATTGACATAGGAAGTAATCTTAGCTCCTCCTTGCTTATTAAGAGCAACCTCACAGGGAAGACATTGAAAGGCATTGGACCAGCGTTTTCCAATATACCGGGAATCCATGAAGTCTCTCGCTTTTCTCTCTTTGAGATGCATCTCATCCCATAAACGAGCTGGTTTCTCGGAAATCGGCGCAATCTGGGACTGTGATGGTCTCCAGGACTCAGGTCTCTCCAGATCAACTTTGCCCTCGTCGGTAAGGACTCGAGTTCGCCCATAAATAAGAGGATACATCAAGGGGTCAATCACATTTCGAACCGGACTCTCCGAACCACTCTCATTTAGATCACCCGAGGCAGTAGACGAAACAGATTTCGATTCCGAAAATAGCGGCGACATGGATTCTTGAAGCTCTTTGAGAAGACCGTCATAAACCTGAGATTTGATGACTCGTGAGTCCGCATCAAATACAGCAACATAGCCCGTGCGTTTGAAGTCAGAGGCTTTATCTCGTATCTCCTTTACACACCACTGCCATGAGGATTCATCGAGATCAAAGACCGAAACAGCGTGCCGATGCCATTCCTCTAGTGTCTGCGGGTCTTCGGACTTATTTTCCCAGTCTGGCTGTTCCGTGATATACGACATGAAATGCAGCATAGAAAGCTCTACGAAAAACAATTGTGGAATTTGTCTCCAATCGCAAATTCCATGTGCAAACCGATTGTCTTTTGGATGCTCATAGAATAGGGGTACACCGTTGAAACCAGGGACTCGCAAGGGACCGGTGCCGCTGTTGTCCAACTTGATAGATGGAGGGTCCATATTTTTCATTTCCGAGTAGCAGCGAGATAAAGAGAAGGGGATTTGGGTCGTTCTAGCGCGAACAAGTAGTCGGGGATGAAAGTGAAGCCGTTGGAGGATGGTCGCCATTGAGATAGAGCGGTGTATTAATTTGAGGATGATGCCATGAGAGGTGAGATGCGGCGGAAATGTGTGTGAGAGAGAGAGAGACTATAAGATTCCAGGTCCAAAGGGGACTGCTCGGGCCAAGTGAGTGGTAATTTTGATACAGGGCATAACAGGGCGTGTGTGTACTGAGGGCGCTTGTGATCTCTTGGTCTTGGCGCGGGCGCTAAGCTTATCGATGGCTTCTATAGCTTCCGTGGCTTATTTAGCGAAGTACACTATTGCTTCGCCACCCGCGGAGTTCCGGAAATCGATTATGGTTCTTGATATTGGCACAAGAAATTGAACTCGGAAATTACCAAACGCCACCATCATATCCATGTTTGAGACTTTCCATATTGACCCCTATAAAAATTGACAGATGGAATAATCTACTGCGCCTTAACATGCAATTCCACTATCGAGCGAACATCCAGAGCTGTCAGAAACCATGCAACCAACTTCAATCCTTGTTTTCACCTTTCTCCTGGCTATAGAGGGGTTCATGTCCTCTGTATCCGCCTCTTGCTTTCCCAGCGCCCAGAACGAAACCATTGGGTTCTTCAGTAAAGCACCTCTGGCCCACGGATACACTCATTTATCGCCATCTGAATGTGCTAATGAATGCGATAGCATGAGCACTTGCCAAGCATGGCTTTTCATCGTCAATGCGAAGGAATGTCAGCTCTATCGTTCAGCCCCTGTGGCGCAGGCAAAGAGTGCAGGTTTCATCATGGGATCGTGTGATACAGATGGCACCCGAGCGACTGAATTGGCATCAAAAGTGCCTCTACTAGCTTCGTCCTCTGTGATACATAGTTCACAGACTGCTCAGTCCTGCCCATCCAACGTAAGACCATCCCATCTGTTGACATGAGTCTATCTTTAGGGATTTCTCCCTAACAAACGATTCAGATCGCAGGACATACAAACCATCTGAACCGGCATAAGCGTGGTCATCATCACCTTCATCGACAAGACTAGTGAGTTCACAACGACCTGTCGTTCAGCGAGTTTTATGCTTATGTAACACCCAGGGCGAGCAGAAAGTGGCAAGGGGTGAGAATTCAAGTGGGAAAGCGAAAGCCATGTTAGCCTAAGATCCGGTGCACATGTGCTGGTGGCCTACAAGTTCTAATATTCCCTATTGCTCTACAAACAGTCCCAGGCCGTATGCCAACATGAGGATTCGGAAAGAAACCGAAGCCAAAGCGCAAATAGCGTAGTTCTGGCTAGATTCATATACACAACGAAGAGCCCAAACCGCTCTGACTTCAGCAAACTATAGGTAGGCATGTCTGCTGTGAATGGGATTAAGGGGAAGAAGCGATCAAGTTACCAGCGAATGCCATTTTTATGTGATCAACAGCTGAGTGCCTTGTCGTGTACAAGCTTCTCGAGTTCGCCTCATGCTCCTACGGGAGAGCAGAGTAAAATTAAAGAATAGTGGTTTGAAATCAAGCTACGGGCTGGACGTCAGTATACCGCTTTTTCATGATAAACCCGACCTCCGTACAAACCTCAAGTCTCAACTGTCTAATCAACCTTTTTAACTCTTAGTTTTTAGTCTCTGCCGTACTGGAGGGAGTGATATATAAATACAAAAAGATGGTTGAAATGGTTCATAATTGTTGAACGAGGTTGAAGTTATACATTGAAGAGCCAATCACAGTCGGGCCGCGTCATCGATCTGCTGCCTTCGGGACCTGAACATCCCAATTACTTCAACTCCCCCAATCCTGCAATTCACATTTCCTCTACCCTCATCGCATAGTCCAAACCTCAAGTGAAACCAGAGAATATCTACAGGTGTCCCACTTTTACTTAAGTCCAGGCCATAAATATGAGCTCTAGGGCGCAAGTCTGATTTGCTATTCTTATCCTCTTAACTCTCCGCCATTTGAAAGAAGATACTCCCAAAGGACAACCAGAAGAAACTTGATGAAAGAATTGCACGTGCTGCGTCATGTGGTTTCGCTCACGACCATCAGGATGAACGGGAATACAAAGACAACTCTATATACCTTAAACAGCTCGCTCCGGCAACTCTGGAGAAATATAAGGATATAGTAACAAATTGGGCATTATAAGTTATGCTATCGATAAGTATAGGGAGGAGCAGGAGAGCCAGAAAGTTGAAGGGGCGATGGGGAGGACTTTATAGAACCACGCACAGCGACGCACAGGGCGCTAAGACCGAGAAGACCAGCACTAGGCCTGATAGCGTAATTTGCGGAAGGAATTCCGACCATCCGATATGGTGTAGTGGCTAACATCGCCGTCTCTCACACGGCAGCCGGGGGTTCGATTCCCCCTATCGGAGTTTCTTTTTTCTTTTTTGTTTTATCTTTTAGATAAATAACGTCTGTCTTGATAACTTCGGGTTATGCCGGATTTTTTTCGAGTCACACACACCTCCTAGTAGGTACAGACTTGACCGTTTCGTTGTCTCTTCACACGAGTCTCCCGATGATTGGATACCTTTCAAGGAGGTATATTGTCCAATTCGGCATTATGTATAGAATCAATGAGATAAAATTCACGCCGAGGTATTTACGATCTCCATGATCTTGAAGTTTGCATTGGGTAAAAATGCTCTCAGATCTCATTATGTTTGGAGGCCTAATTATTTGGTGACACATCGGCGATGTAAAACTAGGAACTCTGGTATAGACCGTCCTTTCTGTGAGGTATAACCAGAATGCGCTGTTCCTGTACTGCATTTGTGCTGCTTCTTATGTGAATGGGCTTTGGCTCTTTACCCTCCTATTGATATAGAAATCTGATTCACATGCAAGCCTAGGATCGTTTGATCAAAATATGCAGACTATGAACAACGGAGCCAAATGAAACCTACACCTTATCTGCGCACAGTGGAAAAAAATTGAGTGCACCAGTGAGATAAAGTGGGATAAGAGGTATCGTAACGAGTCCTATGCCCTGACAGCCTTTCAATTTGTCTTGCTGCTCACCGAGTTCAACAACTTGAACTCAACAGCATCGCCACTGGTAGACAAGTACCCAATAACATGCTGTTCTGGTGAGTTAAACCAGAATGCCGCGTCTGTATTTGAGCCTGCAACCCATCTCACGTCATATTTTCCGCTCTCGCTCCTTTGAACAGGGACCCGGACAATCATTGGATGATCCTTCGGGGACCACCATCGGATGGCAGGCAGTGTATTTGTGATAGTGTTAATCAAGAGTTGTGGCGTTGAAGGATGCCAAATAATCTGTCGAACCGGTTGCTCGTGAACTAGAACTGATGCGAGTGTTGGGATGCCCTCCAGTGACCAAATCCAAACGACATTCTGACGTGCAGAGTCAACAGTCGCAAGGAGGCGACCATCTGAGCTGAAGGTCATCATCAAGACACCACGCGGTGGGCCTACCGACTCCGGGCTCATGCTCATGGCAGAAGAGCTGGATGTCTCGGCGTATTCGGCGTCCCCTGCAGCACTGGTGTATCGCTCGCGCCAAATATTGGGACACTGTTGGTCTGTGGAGAAGACATGTGAGAGTGTTGCTGGGGAAGAGAACTAATCAAGGATAATTAGCATATTCTGATGTCGATATACAGAAGAGAACTTACAGTGCGAGTTCGGAGCAGGTCAATATTCCCGTTGACCTTCCCCACGGCCAGTATTTCACAGATTCCCTGGTGGGGAGGGCTCCATTCAATTTGTTTCACTCCAAGATCGAAGGAATCGTCCACCCCAGAGGGCCCAGAATACGTCCTGAACAGTTGGCCATCAGCTGTGAAGACCAGCACTTTTGTGCCTGCAGTAGGAGTGTCCCAAATGGAAATCCATTTCCCGTCTGGGCTCCACTTCAATCCTTGTGCATCAATTGTTGGAAGCACAGTCTTGTGGACGAGCTCGTAAGACTGTGGTTCGTGGACGGTCAGTAGATCTGAAGTCTCCGGTTTCAATATGACGGCAAAGTGTCTGGTCTTTGTGCGGTACCCGTGGCCGAAATGATGAGCAAACTTGGGTGCCTTAATGACTGAGCTGCGCCTGGTCTTCAATGAGTGGACGCTGAGTTTAGTGTTCCACGCATGAAACACAAGAATTTCATTCTCATCGGCACCAAAGTCGACAGCTAATGCCCCCGGTTCAATGCTTTCAATCTCGGCGAGTATTTCAAGTGGAGTGAGCTGCCAGACCGAAATTCGGCTGTCGTTTGCGGACACCAGTCGCCGCCGAGAGACGGTCTCATCATCTGATGTACCAGGAAAGGCTTCCACATTGAAGTGTTTCAGTGATTTGAGTGGAATCTCTTTGATCCTTGCGATCTGTACATCCTTATGGTCCGAAGCCACATTTGAGTGAACAACTAGGCTCTTCCCACTCACATGGGCAGCATATAGTCCATCCTCAGATAAATTAAGATTTAAAGGGGCTGAGACATGGTTAAATTCGATAGGTACAAAAGGGTTCGGACTTTGTGGGCTTACCTCCTGGTCCTGTTGACGCGTCCATTGTTGGTGTCAAGAAATGATAGCAGTGACCACCCGGGAAAGACGTCAAATTCCGGATACCAACAAATCAAACTCACGATGTCAGCCCCTTGCTATACGCTACTGCATATATGTATCAGGATGAGATTTTTTTTTTTTTTCGAGCCTCGATTCTCATTGAAAGGCTCCAAGGCTTGCTTGATTTGCCTCTGGCGCGGCAGCCCTGAAGTTCATATCAGATTATGTAATCGATCAATAAATTGCCCCTGGACAATTTGCAAGGGACGTCAGAGCCGGGTGATTAGAGATTGATCAAATTTTTCTTCGGGTTATCAAGAGACAATCGATCTGACAAGGTAATGTTGCAAACATCAGATGCATCTCCAATTTCTGCGGTGACAAAAAGCTCAACGCCAAAGTCCATAACTTCCCTGGGGCCAATCTCGAAGGCCCGCGATAAGATAAGCCGGAAGATCATAAATCCGGCTCAGATAGGCTTCTTTTCGCAAAAGTTGTTCCTTCGTTGTGTTGCGACTACAGGCGATTATTGAGCTTAATCACATTCTTTTCTTTCAGGCGCCACCATAGCTGCTTTCAAGCGCCTCAGCCCTCTATTGGGCCGATTTTATCAACCGTTTTCCAGGTCCCATCTCTCAAAAATGACCTCCGAAACAAGTCCATCACAGACCATTGAGCAGACCTCCGCGGCTGCGCCTCAGCCTCAGGAGAAGCTCTTTGGGAGAAAATTTTATGAAAGCATTGGCAGCCCAAAATATGTTGTTGCCCCCATGGTCGATAGATCCGAATTCGTGAGTCCGCCTTCCCCGTAACAACTTCTGCAAGCCGAGATTAATGTTTCCCAAAGGCGTGGCGCATGCTCACTCGATCCTTCATGCCACCAGACGATCCGAAACCTTTGCTCGCATACACTCCAATGTTCCACGCACGGCTCTTTAGCGAACAAGAGAACGTTCGCGCCAAACACTTCCAACCTACCCGCAAAACCATCGGAGAGAGCAAAGATGAATTCTATCTTGATGGAAATCCCGCCATTGACAGGCCACTTTTCGTTCAGTTCTGCACAAATAACCCAGATGAGTTCTTGGAGGCTGCCCGTCATGTGGTACCTTACTGCGATGCGGTGGATCTGAACCTTGGCTGCCCGCAGGGCATCGCGAAAAAGGGACACTACGGAGCTTTCCTCCAAGAAGACTGGGACTTGATCTATAAGCTTGTGCATCGATTGCATACTGAGCTCCCGATACCTGTCACGGTGAAGTTCCGTATCCAGGAGACCAAGGAGAAGACCTTGGAGTACGCTAAAATGATTCTCTCCGCCGGTGCCAGCATCATCACTGTGCATGGACGCAGAAGGGAACAGAAAGGTCACAACACTGGAGTAGCAGATTGGAGCTATATCCGCTATTTACGAGATAATCTACCTCCGGATACGGTGATTTTTGCCAATGGAAACATTCTTAACTACGGCGATATCGAAACCTGCCTCGAGGCCACGGGGGCCGATGCCGTTATGAGCGCAGAAGGAAATTTATCAGACCCGTCCGTATTCAGCAAGCCGCCTCCAGTCGGCACGGAGGGGAGAGAATACTGGCGCGGGCGAGATGGAAAAGGCGGTTACCGAGTCGACGCCGTCCTGCGACGATACCTTGATATCATCTATAAATATGTCCTCGAACAACCCGTTCCGGAAAGGAAGCCACTCTATCTTCCATCCGACCCAGTTGATGAGTTTGCCGAAACCAATAATGCCGAAGATCACGGCCACGAGGATGGCCCACTTAAAAAAAAGCAGAAGCGAAGTAAGGCCGAGAAGGGCAAGAAGTCACACTCTCCAAACCTTGGTTACATGCAGGGTCACCTTTTCCAAATCTTGCGGCCAATGGTTGCAACTCATACCAACGTTCGAGATGCACTTGCTACATCTAAACCAGGCGATATGGCCGCTTTTGAGCATACCTTGGTTCTCCTTGAGGAGGCCATCAAAGTTGGACTTCAAGAGTATGAGGCCTCTCCCGAGAAATTTGAAACGAAACCCGATGAGACTTTGAAGGGATCTAAAGCAGTGATTGCGGAATATGGAAGACCTTGGTGGATTTGCCAGCCTTATGTTCGTCCTCTCCCCGAAGAGGCATTTGAAAGTGGCGCTATGCGGGAAAAGGGCACCAAGCCTCCCGCAAAAATCGAAGGTGAGGAGAAGATTAAGCCTAGGGAGACTGAAACTTCTTCTGAGGGCACTCTCACGCCAGGTGATGGTGGTGCCATCACTGCCACCAACATCACACCCGATCCTCTTGTGAGTGGATAGGAATGTGAGTATTTGATACATCACTGTTTTTGTGTCCGTGCTTTCAGCTACCTTTTAATCCATGTATATATAGATATTTTCAAGATTATATCCAGAACCTTGCCTGCATAGCGTGTTCTGAAGAATTGACATAAATACTTTGGCTTTCAGTTCACATCAAACTACAATCAATGTATCTATCTCTACTGCGTAGGTTGAGCAATCTCTCCCAAGTGTAACGAGTGTCCTTTTCACAGATTTCCCCAAGTCTCTTTAGATGTCTATCCGAATGGGTGTTTCTATATATCCCTAGCGGGAAAGGACTTGTGTGAAGTGGCAATTCTTCGATGAAAGCTTTTGTGGGAATAGCCCTGGAGATAGATTTGGATGAGACGAGGATGGGATGAGGGTATCTGGCTGTTGCTACTTTTATCTTGCACCTTCCTCTCTTTGAGATCTCTCTTCTTCCAATACTGTGCACTATTCTGTCAACCAATTCACTATCTCAATCATACTCTCAGCATTGCTGTTCTCTCCTTGTCTTTCTCCCTGTCTCTCTTCTTTCTTACTGAGGAAATATGGCATCCTCTTCAGAGCCCCAAGGTAAGGCTGCATTGAATTTGCTACTCTGATTCTCTAATCCAGCAAACCCTCTAGCATGGCCAATGGCAGATGCTGCGTTGACACAGGAGCTCTTGGACTTGCTACAGCAATCTATGCACTACAACCAAGTCAAAAAAGGTTCCAATGAAGGTAATTGTTCCCAAAAGTCTCTCTTTCATTTGACATTGTGGTTGATATGCTTCCAGTTACAAAGTCTGTGACCCGAGGCAATTCCGAGATTGTCATTCTTGCTGCCGACACCGACCCACTTGCAATACTGACGCATCTTCCACTGCTGTGCGAAAGAATGAATGTCCCGTACGTCTTCGTACCTAGCAAGCAGGCGATGGGCCGGGCGTGCGCGGTGAGCAGGCCGATTATCGCCGCGACTATCACCTCAAACTATGCCAGTGAACTCGCCCAACACATTGAGCAGACTAAAAGCAAGGTGGAGAGGCTTGCAATCTAATGGCTCGACGCCAAAGGATAAAGAGGGATCAGTTGAGCTTTGTGAAGGACTGTTACCGCAGCTCCTTGATCAACTTGTGGTTTGAGCCTTTTGCTCGTCACCTTATTGAACACAAATTTTGATGAAATCTTGCTTCCGCTATCGGCGATGTAGTCTTCTAGATGAATGCAAGATTTATTCTGCTCTAAAAGACGGCCTGTGTAGAGATAAGCGTGTAGGACTTCCCATGGAACACGTATGCGAGGAAGTGCGACTTGATATACAGGCTGCATTTCGGAAAAAGCCGATGGAAGGATACCTACTCGTGAGTCATAAAATTGCAAAAATGATATGCACACTAAGGATGACCAAAAGGACTACTAATAGGACCACTGAAACGATCACTGAACAAGAGGTGACAAGGCCGCACAAATGGTTGACTTCCCTGTTCGGATCATATCAAAATTTATTTTCTGATTTCACACTGTCCGCACTAAGTGACATCAGCTCAGCATGAGCATTTTTTTCTCGTCTGTAGACTCGATTTGCCCGTTGTGTGAGTCTCTGGGCCGTGGCTGGGGTTTCTGTAAAGGCTGTGCGATAGAAAAACGACGAAAAGTAGCAGCGCGTTTGCAATTTTACACGCCATTGGATATTGAACACCCGCGTAATCTTCGATTTCAAGGGGGTTGAAGACAACCCCCTGAAAAAGATCCGAATCTGTAGTATTCACACCCATGAGCCCAGCCATGTTGACAATGTCCTAAGCTTTGGATTCGGTCCAATAACCCGCGTGCTCTGCGCAACAGCATCGATCAATGCATTTGCAAAGTTTTGGCGACTGGCATCCCCATGTGACTCTGATCTGATACTGTATTCTTCCGATAAAACTCGGCGAACCTCCCATTCTGCATCCTCCTGTCCTTTAGGGGACTCAACAATTTCTTCCTTCTGTAACTCCCAGCCTGCCGTTTTCGCTAACGCACAAATAGTTTGTTGAGATATAATGGACTGAATGTTGTCATCTCGGTCCAATATATTGCTTCTAGAGTTGAACTCGGCCTGCGAGATTGCCGCTAATAGATGAGGTAAAGCAGCATTATCACCGCGGATATCAAGGGAGTACTCCGCAATAAGAAGGCATTTCGTTCTTCCACGGAGAGCTGCTAGCATTTGCTGCAATACGTCGACGGATGGAAAGTACCAAACCGAATGCACAAGCATGGCATAGTCGTAGACTTGCTCCGAAGCGCCCGAATCAAGAAAATCTTGAAGGTTTGATTGATAAAATGTCATTCTATCGCCGATGGGAGTTTGCCTTAGTTTGTCTTGTGCTTCTCCCAGAGTCAACGGTGTGCCTAGTTGGAGTCAGCTTGAGTCATATTTTTTTTGGCTATAGTCAAAAAAACCGTAGTCTGTAGGTGCTGGGTCAATCGCCGTGACATGTCCCTGATCTCCCAACATATAGGCTGCCACCAAGGTGCAATCTCCTTGCCCGCAGCCAACCTCAAGGATCCTAGAGCCCGGGGTAATTTTCCATTTGTTAAAAAGGTCGACCCTGTGTTGGATTTGATACTCAGATGACCGGCCGTCAAAGAGGCTTGTGAGGTTGATCACATCTGGAGACATGGTCGCTGGTTTGGGAAGAAGTTTGATGCGATCAGTTATTTTATGAGTGCGGCCAGTTGCTCAAATTTCAAGCTCCACTCCAGGCTGCAGTGCTGAGATCAATCTAAACGACAAATGAGTCATATTCTCAATGCACGGTGCTCAGAGTACGAGGTACGGCAGCCGGAATGGGCCAAACTTGACAATGGGGTTTCTGCCATAAAGAAACTAGTAATCGGCGCTAATGGGACCAGTACGATACCTAGAAAATTATATAGTACAGTTTTCCTATAGATTCATTTATATCAACATTATATGGCTCACTTAGTTTCACCTAAAGGCTACTGATCCTAAACACCACGTAAAGGTATAAGCTTTACTTAGGTGTTGTATATAGGCCCTATACGACTCGGGAGGATTATTATGAACTTATAAATATACCATAGATATACGAATTCATGAATAAATATACTATAAATATACCATAAATCAGAAGTTATATATAGAAAAGTCACTTATATAGAGTATACTCTTTCTACCTTTTTCTACCACCTTAAATCGACCAGAAAGGGGAAAATATTTTGGAGATATCTAAGAAAAAATAGGAAGCCTACTAAGAAGGCTATTAGAAAGACTACTAAAAACACCACTAAAAAGCCCTATAGAAAAGATATTAGAAGGCTATAGAAGTGGCTATCTGAGCTTGTATACCATGAATAGATAAATCAATATAAAAATGGAAATAAATATAGGTTTAGAATAGGCGGAATGTATTATATTGTATGTGACAAAAGGTGGAAATCTAGTGGTGAATCTTATATATATATCAATAAGTATTGTCAAGTTTAGCCCATTCTGGCTGCTGTAGTACGAGGGACAAAGCCACCAATTTTACTTACAGTTCAAGGAAATCCCGTATAAGTTCATCGAATAGCGACTTGAATCGGATTAGCTAGCTTGTAATATTCTTTCCAGTGCCGGGATAAGCCCGGTTACATGAACTGTGTCTCTCGCTCTGCGCCTTGACTCATTCTCTCTCATTTTTACCAATACGTGAATTATTCAATTGTAAAATCGAGCTATTCTTATCGACTGGGTCAGAGAGATGGGCCATTTTTCCACTTGGATTATCTAGTATTATGCTAGCGAGATTTAAGCATCGCCAGGAACACCATCAAACCACTCGACCATCGCATCCAAAAGCTGTGACCAGGCGTTGGTATTCGTCATTTGCTCTGGAACCAGTAGCTCCAATGTGTATAGCTTTTCACCTCGTGGTAAAACATTCAGGCGAGGTGGCTCAGGGGGATCTGGTCTCTCAAGTGGGAGAGCGACAAAAGCTACATCCTGGCCTCCCGCTAGAACAGAGACCTGCTGCTCAATGTTTTGAAAGTAGAATAAAGAGCCAAAGGTTGAAATATCTTGCGGCCAATCGGTGCACTGCCTCGCAATCTCAGACAGTCCCATGGTCTCATGGGGAATGGAGTTGAGGAATTGAGACTGGAGTGATTTTACGATTTGGGACTTGTCCTGAGTAGTGAATGGACTAGCAGGATCAAATTGGAAGAGTTTCATCCTCACAGGTACAATGTTCAGGCATGGCCCGACGACGGTCTCATGATCTGCAGTGGCAGAGGTCAATGTCCGCCCGGAGACAGCACGGCCAAACACAACATCACATTTCCCAGTCACTCGGGCAAGGGCTGTGCCCCATGCAGCCGCAAACGCTGTTGCCACAGTGACCCCTTTGTAAGGCAGAGAAATCTTGACGTCCCGGTACATGCGCATTTGCGTTCCGGGCGCAAGTAGGAAGTTGTCGGAAGTTATATTGGTTGGGACCGGTGCGTCTTGTAACAGGGAGCGCCAGTACACACATGATTCTCCCTCATGACTATTGGAAGTGGCAGATGTGATGAATTTTACATAAGAAGAGAATTGACCGACATTTGGGACTGGCCGTCCGTCAAAGAGCGCGCCAATATGTTCAGCTATCAGTGGTAAACTGATTCCATCATAGAGAGCATGGGAAACCCCCATCACCAATTGACACATATTGTGCTTTTGTGACTGGAAAATGAAGAACTTGACAAACGGTGCGCCGGGGATAAGCTGCTCTGCATAATCATTCAGACATACTCTCGCACATGCTTCATCTAATGGTTCACCAGGGTCATGGATGACAGTGACCTTGATTTCCAAGGTACGCAAAACAACCTGGATGTATTGGCCATGGTAGTCATGGGGCAGGAAAACACATCGCAGTATCTCGAGTGACGATACAAGCTGATGACAGACTCTTGTCAAATTAGCGGTGTCAGTAATGCCACGGAATTTCATGGAGAAATAGTTCCATTCAGTTCGAGGTTGCGTGAAAGCAGATCGAATGGCGTAACGTTGGAAATCAGTGACTGGTAAAATGTCGCAGATCATATCCTCGGGGGCCGAAAGAAGTCTTGCAACCTGGGATTTCCCGGGAAGGACCTGCCTTAAGGATTCCATCAAATGGGGAAGGTGGCCAGTAACAGGAAGGTCGGGATGCTGTCCTTTGTCTCCGAGGGAAAGTGACAGCTGGGCTGCCATCTGATCAAGCTGTGGGTTTTCAAAGATGAGGGCCACGGATAGAGGAAGTTCTTTTTGTCGAGCAGCCCCTACCAGTCGTATGGCCATGAGAGAATCGCCCCCAAGATCAAAGAAGTTCTCCTGGCGGCCTATCTCGTGTGCTGGAATTCCTAGCAGGGTCGACCAGACCTCCCTCAACGCCCTCTCAAAGTCTGTGCGCGGTTCCTCGACTGGCCCATTTTTTTCAGTCCCTTCCAACTTGATGTGTGCTGCAAATTCTCGGAGTCTCTTGCGGTCGATCTTACCCGAAGGCATAAGCGGGATCTGCTTCAATTCCAAGATTGTCGAGGGAATCATGTACAACGGGAGGACTTGCGTAAGATGCTTGTTCAAATTCTCGCGCTTTTCCTTCGGAAAGTACCGCCACCCTTGACTTGTAAAATCCGCATCCCCATTTAAGTTGTGGGACGACAAAAATACCGTTAGTCTCTGGGAGCTATATTCGGGGTCTTCGATAGTGCTGGCTTCAATGACTTGGGCCACTGCCATGGATGAAGGCCCAAGAAATCGGCTGACATGGAACTCGATATCTTCCAATTCCACACGCTGTCCACGTATCTTGACTTGCGTATCCGCTCGACCCTCAAATACCAATCTACCGTGGCTGTTCCAACTCGCCAAATCGCCCGTTCGATACAATCGTCTCCTCCGACTATGAATGACCGAATCGCCGTCGATTGGAGACAGCCAGGGAGGATTTTCTATGAATGCACTGGATTTCTTCTCGGGATTGTTCAGGTATCCCCTTCCAACCAAGGGCCCTTCGAGAACAAGCTCTCCAATGGCACCGATGGGAGCTAACTTCTTCGGGTGATTGCAGGATGTAATCCAGGCATTCAAGCCACGCGGTTTGCCAATGTTAACTGTTCTGTCAAAGTCCGTTTCATGAACTGCCATTGTGCTGGCTATCGTGCATTCAGATGGACCGTAGGCGTTGAGAACCTTTACCTTCTTCCCCCATCGAGTGATATCCTCTATCTTAACGGCTTCACCTCCCAAAGCGACATTCTTTATACCAGGTAAGGATTCCGGTTCCAGCAATCGCGCCAAGGAAGGTGTGATGTTAAGATAGTTCACGTCCAATTCGCGAATTGATCCCGCAATATTGTTACGGCGGTCATCTTCGGAGGGAATACAGATGCACGAGCCCGCATAGAGTCCATGGAGAAATGGCACCCACACAAAGTCGAAGCTATAAGAAGACAGATCAAAGATTCGAGTGGTGGTATCATAGCCCCAGTATGACTTCTGGTGAACGACCGCGCTACAGGCATTGGCATGGGTAATGACGATCCCTTTGGGAGTTCCCGTACTACCTGAAGTAAATACCACATACAGGGCATTGCTTCCCGACACAATTGGAATCCATGAGCGGTCATCAATTGGTGATGAATGTTGTAGGCTGTGAAAGAACAAGTCATTCACGATATACACCGCAGAAGAAGTGAGCTCTTCGGCGATTCCTTGACTTGTTGGCGATGCCAAAGTCAATCGCGCATTTACCTGCAAAGCGATGGATTGCAGGCGTTCAACAGCCTGGGATGGATCCACAAGGACCACCACCCCGCCAGCTATGATTACTGCCAGCATTATCACAGGCGTCCACATGCTTTTTGAACAGCAGAGAATAATTGGACTCTCTGGTCGAACTCCCTGTTCTACCACGAGCCAATTGGCTAGTTGAAGAGCCTTGTCAAACAGTTCCCGGTAGGTTAATTGACCATCCCAGGCGTTGATTGCAAATGAGTCTGGCTGTTCACTCACTCTTTCTGCGATTAAACAGTCAATCCGAGAATCAATTGTTTCTGGGAGGACTTCGTTCCATGCCCAAATCTGCTGTCTGTCCTGCTCCGGCAGCAGGTCAAGTTCTGAAAGTGAGATCCTTTCCGCCGTATGTTCGTGTTTGCTCAATTGCTTGAGGATGTGATCAAGCTGGAGCAGGATCCGATCTGCCTGCGGTCCATCGATAACCTGGTCATCAAAGCTCAGGCCTAGCGTGACTGCGTCAGTCGATGACATTGAAGATGAGCCACCCAAGACGCATTCCAGGACCAAGGAATACATGTGTCCGATATTATCATCGTCATTTCGCTGCAAAAACAAGAAGTTGTTCTCCCTGTCATTTTCATCCCGCGGCTGTATAACAAGTAATGATTGAAATTGACAGGCCTGGCGGCAATTTGCATTCAATCGCTGTAGGCGGCCAAGTCCATATTGCTCAAACGGAATCATTTGTGTTCCTGTAGAGTGGATATCCTGTAATAGCTCATGGAGCGGTAATTGCCAATCCATTGTTACCCGAATAGGAACCGTGGCAATTACGGGACCTGCAATCAGTTCAACCCCAGCAAGAGGTGCTTGTCTACCCATGACGGTCGACCCAAACACAATGTCATCGGAATTCTGGTATTGCGAAATGAGTATAGCCCAAGCTGCTTTCAAGGCTGTTGATGGGGTGAAATTGGCAGGCCACTTGATCCCATGTACCTCTCTTTTTGTGGTCATGTTGGCGACTGGCTGGTACTTGGGGCTGGGGAGAGTAGGGAACTGCGGTGCAGCGCAATCCGCCAAATAGCCCAACCAAAATCCACGGCAACGCTCCTCATCGACTTCCCGGATCAGATATTTGATAAACCTGCTGTACGGGATCAACTTCGTTGCTGGTATTTCGTTGCGATATAATGACTCCACCCTTCTCATGACTAAGGATGCAGACCATCGGTCGTAAATAGCATGGTGAATCGTCATCAACAGGGCTGCAGAGCCAGCAGGCCCGGTGCCAGAGTTAGAAGAGGACTTTATAAGCACAAAAGAGAGCATTGGTCCTCCAATGCCCATGGATGGTGCTTTTACCTGCTCTAGACTCTTTGCCTCCGACCATGGGGCCAGTGCTTTTGTAACAACCTGTAAAAACCCTTGCCCAGCATACTCGACTATACGAGTGCGGAGGACCGGGGTCTCGGCGATCACTCTGTTCCAAGCTTCTTTCAAGCGACCAAAATCCACGCTCGCAGGAAGCGGAATAAGACCACGAGAGACAAATTCATTCGCTCGGACTGCGGTTCGTGCTAACATCGCCTCTTGAATGGGAGAACAAGGATATGCATCTTCGATCTCCCATGGGTAAACTTGACAGGCTGCAGCGAGGGAGTCCTTATTGAGAGATTGTTCAAGCAGCGAAAACGCTTCAACAGAAATGGACAATGACAAATTCTTGTTGGAAAGCTCATCACTGACCTTGGTGGCTTGGTCTGCTAGGCGAGAAGTGCGTAGTACGTCGGCAACTTGCAAGGAGTATCCTTCTGCCCGGAGACCAGCGACGAGTCTCATTGCCGATAGTGAATCTCCGCCAATAGAAAGGAAGGAAGTCTGTCGACCAATTGAAGAAGAATCGATGTCTAGGGTGGTGGCCCAGAGACGCTGCAGTATCAGCTCGACATCCGTCTTTGGTAGATCATCGCGCACCCTTCGATGATCCAGCAAATTGGAGTAGTCAAGGAACTGATCGGTTGGGGTCTCAGTGGCTATTTGGTTCAATTTGTCCCGGTCAATTTCGCCAAGCTCTGTCATGGGTAGTTGGGGAAGAGTAAGGAACTTTGTGGGAAGCATGTGTCGGCTGAGCCTCTCCGAAAGTTGAACAAGCGGTCTTGAGATAATGTCCAGCACATTTGAAGGAGTTGTATCTTTATTTGTCATAGAAACAAAAGCCACCAGCTGTTTGGACATCTTTGGGAGGCTCACAATATTCAGCACGCAGTTCTCGACTTCTTCTGGGAGACATTCCTTGAGATGAGCTTCTGCATCAAGAACATGAATGTTTTGACCGGGCTTCCGAAGAGCAGTAATACACTCCCGCTCCATTTTTGATAGGATTCCAACTTCACTCAGGCTGGGGGATTCATGTGATGCTGTCGAAAGGTATGAAAGAAACATTTGGAGGTCTGACAATAGCTTCTGAACACCCGCCTTGCTCAGAATCGTCTCGTCAAAGCTCGCTCGAACAGCGAGGCCATCTGAAGTCAAGCAGCATTCTAGCATGACTGCGTAAGTGTTGAAAGCCTGAATATCGTCGTTACCACCCCCAAGATTGAATAGCCGCTGAGGAGCCGTGTCAAGCTGTTGCGCTGCTGGTTGGACTACCAAAAATGTGGAGAACTGACAGGCCCGCTCTGCATCATAGTTAAGATGGCGAATGCGTGAAGTGCCATAGTGCATAAAAGGAATCATTTTTCCTGCCTGTTTCTGCATGATTTGAACTAGAGTCAGGGCATTCTGCTCTTCCCAGTCTATCGTCATGCGTATTGGAACAGTCGTAATGGTCGGGCCACCCACCCGTTCAATTCCTGGCAGGGAAATTTGTCGACCCAACAGCGTGGTCCCAAAAACGACGTCGCTGGCTCCGGAGTGCTTAGATAAAACAAGTGCCCAAGCGGTTTGAACGAGAATATTTGCTGTGATTCCATAGGCGTTCGCCCAGTCAATCCCAGCCACATGAAGCTCCTCTATAGCCGTTGCGTATGGCTTATAGTTTGCCTCAGGAAAAGCTGGAAATTCAATCAGATTGATGTCTTGGAGGTATTTTATCCAGAATTGCCCAGCTGCTGATGAGTCCGAATCATGAAGGTATTGAATAAAGTTACGGTAAGGAATCAGAGATCCTCCCGACATGTCTCCTGTTTTCAAATTATCATATGCGCGGAATACTTCGCCGCCGAGTTGATTTAGGAACCAACCATCGTAGATGGCATGGTGCATCGTGAATATAACCTTCGTGGAAGTCTCGGAAGACTGATCCACAATCCCGATCCTGAACAGTGGTTCATTGACTCCCATGCCCGCATCGCGCTCGAGTTGTAGACATTCATTGAGGTTGGAGTACCGCGATAAGGGCAAGAAGCCTTTCAATACAACTTGGGCAAAGTTTTGATGCTTAGCACCGCTGAGATGATTTGTTTTCATATCAACAATCCGCGTTCGAATTATCGGATTCGCTAATGAAACGTTCTTCCATGCAAGAACAAACCGTTCCAAATCAATATCAGGCTCCAAATCCAGCATAGTCTGTGTGACAAATGATTTTGGATTCCGAGCTGCGAGCACCATCATCTCCTCTTGGACAGGGGAGCAAGGGTAAACGTCCTCCACGTCAGCCGTATTGCAACCGCAGGTTTTCGAGAGTCTGGTACAAATTGCATTTATTTGATTGGGCTCCGGCGCCCGTCCCAGCAGTAATGAGAATGGGTCGGTGCATATATTGGCAGCATCAGACTGGGCGTGATGATCGCGTTTTCGTAATAACCCTGCTAAGTTGGAAAGGTGTGGGTTTTGGAGGATGTCCGCAACGCTGATACCGCCATACCCTTCATCATGAAGTAATGCTACAAGGCGCATAGCTGCCAGCGAGTCTCCACCTTTGGCAATGAAGTTTTCATGGGGTTGAAGTGAAGTGGGGTTGGGAATGAACAAAACTTGTGCCCAGAATCGCCCCAATATCAGCTCATCCGAGGTCAACGGTCTGATTGATTCCTCCATTGATAGCTCCTTAACTGTCTCCACAGAGTAAGGGTCAAGTAATTGATGGGGAGAACTTAGTGCTATATTTCGTAGCGTCTTGCGATCTGTTTTTCCCGAGGCTGTCATGGGTACAGATTGGAGTGGGAAGAATGCGGATGGTATCATGAATCGAGGGAGTCTGTCGGACAGTATCTTATCTAGCCCTACAATCAAATCGCCTACCCGGGACTTGATGTCTAAGGTTGACTCTCCCTTTTCTTGGTCAATATAAATGAACGCCAGGAGCTGCTTCTGGCCGGAGGGCCACTGGACCGCCTCCACAATCGGTAGAATTCCATCGGGTAAGAGCTGACCAAGATGATATTCAACTTCGCCAATTTCAACGCGCTGTCCATTGATCTTGATTTGTGTGTCGGCACGCCCAATAAAGCAAATTGAGCCATCAGGTTGGTATCTTGCCAAGTCGCGAGTACGAAACATGGGGGAGGTTGGTGCGAGTGCCACTCCCGGCAGATAACCACCGGTAACCTGCACTAGAGACTCTATCGTCTTTTGGTCATCGCCGAGATAGCCCTGGCCGACGATGGGCCCGTCGATGAGTAGCTCACCCACTGCCCCAACTGGCGCCAGGCGATTGATGTCATGCAGGTCGGCGATCCAGAGGTTGGCACCCAGACCAAACCCAACACTCTCTGCATCTTCGACACGGGTAATCGTGCAATTTGCGGCACACATGATTGTGCACTCCGATGGTCCATACGCATTGATGACGCGCACTCGTCCATTTGTTTTCAACCACGGGTCCAGTACGGTGCGATTGATCTTTTCGCCAGTAAGGATCAACGTGCGTAGTAGTGGGAGTTTGTTTGGTTCCAGTAACCGGGAGGTTGAAGGCGTCAACTGGGCAAACTCGACCTTCATCTGCTGTAAGACCGCCTGAAGATTATTGATACGGTCTGTTTCCGATGGGACGCACAAGCAACCACCTGTCAAGAGAGTATAAAACGTATTGTAGACATATGCATCAAAGGTGTATGAAGATGAATCAAATGTGCGTACACCTGTGTTGAATCCCAGAGTGCGCGCTTGATGGGCAACTGCGGATGAAAGATTTGCATGGGATATGGTGACACCTTTCGGTGTTCCGGTACTGCCCGATGTAAAGACTATGTAGAGATTATCTGATGGCGACATATTGTCTCCCAACGCAGTTGTCTCGGGGAGCATCTCCTTGAAATGCTCATCAATAATCACTACATGGCTGGTGATAGACTGAGCTATCTCAGCCGTGTCTGGTCTTGTCAAAATAGTCGAGGATGGTAGTTGAGTCATGATTGCTGCTAGACGACTCCGAGGCTGATGCGGATCAAGCAAGATAAAAACAGCTCCAGCTTTCGCAATAGCCAATATGGTTATTGTCGTCCATATGGTCTTGTCAAAGCAGACTGGGACAATCTGTCCTGGGCCAGCAATCTGGGTGTGTAACAAATACTTAGCCAGCAGTGTTGATTGTTCATCTAGCTCAGAATATGTGAGAAGCCCATCCCACGCGTGCACAGCTGGTCGATTTGAACGCCTCTTGACTTGTTGGCTGAAAAGGTCGGTGATACAAATGTCGTTAGTCCGCGGACGACACCCATTCCATTTCCACACGAGAGCTTTGTCTTCTTCGCATATGGTGTCCAGGTTGATGATCTGTCTTCCCTGCTTGTGAAAATTCACATCACATAGCTGACGCACAAGATTTGTGAACTGAAACACCATTTGTTTGGCCTGACTATCGTTTACGATGACTTCATCGATATGAAATCGTATAGCGAGTCTACGCAGGCGAGTAGATAGGTGACATTCCACAATTAGGGCCACACTGCCCATATTGCAGATTCCTTCTGTTGGTACGGGTTTGTCATTCTGATGGTAAATGGGTATCAGCGTTCATAATTCTCACCATAGGTCAAGAAAGTAGAATATTTACCTCTTGTTGGTTCTCATCCGTTTCCCGAATTAGCAAAACTGTGCGAAGATCACAGGCTTCTTTCGTTCGTGGACTGCAGGACCTGATGCGGTCCAATCCCCCCATTCCTGGACCCTTTCAATTGCCTCAACTCGATTCTGGATGCTTTGTAACCACTGCACGAGGTCTGAGTGCCAAGGTATCAAAACTCTCAAAGGCATAACATGGTTCCAGATGTTTTGGATACTTAAATCATGATCATTGCTGAGAGATTCCCTCCGTTGGCTGGCCACATTTGTTCCAAATACGATGTCCTCGCTATTGGCATATTGAGCCATCAGCAGTGCCCATGCTGCTCGTAAGTTTGTGGACAAGGTGAACCGGTCATCATGAAAATTGTTCCAGTCCAGCCAGTTCACCTCGTATTCAACGATGTGCTTAATCTCGGGCTGATAGCCTGTCGTAGGGAGAATTGGGTATGGCGAGGCTTCGAGGTCGGCAAATGTATCTTGCCAGAATCGATGAGCCATTTGGAACCAATGATGTACGAGGACAAAGTATTGTTAAATGGGTGATGTTGAGGTGTCCTTAGGTCGGGCTGCTGGGGAGACATATAATCCTTCCCGCGTTCCTGTAGCTCGCTGGGGCACCAAGACCCCCAATCTAGGAAGGCTGTCAGCATTTTTCATCAATGGACATTTCTACGTGGATCCCCTCAGTTTCGTTGTAGCGAGGCATCACCATTGTCTCCGTGGACAAGATTATTGGCCAAAAGAGATTGACCTATCGATGGTTGTATTTCCAGGTATGAAAATTACACAGTCGTGTTTTGAAAGCTGAAAATTACACAGGGGAAGATCCGATGTGGTCAATCCGAGTGATGAGACGCGTCAGACCCCTGGAACTGTGTGGATTCATAAACAAGCCTCGCTCCTTCCACGGTTGGCGTTTTATGCGTTTCGTAAGCAGGAGACGGGCCTCCGCCGGAGAATCCTTCGAGCCCGATGTAACAACAATGGCTAATTTTGGTGCCTCAACGCTCTACTCCCTAATCCCTGCATCCTAAAGTTACCTGCCCGAAACTTTTTCTTTGCATTATCCTTCTCAGGCAAAGTGCCAGAAAGGCTCTCGTAAGAGGCTCAGGGAAAACTCAAGTCGTGAGCACCACCCACTGCTACCTGTATGCCGACACGAAACCCATCCGCACCGTCGACTCGCCCACCGGCGGAGCCGGACGAGCAGGCACCCCTTTTAGGGGGGGCACGAGACGGGCGATGACGACCATTCCAAATGTACCTCCTTTCCCCATCGTCGTCTCTTGATCCTTGTATGCATTTCCGTCGTAGCTGCCGACTTCGGCAATTACCTTGGCTATGCCCCTCATATCGAAATTCTTGAGTCGATTATCTGCCGCCAGGCTGGAAGCGGCAACTCGTTTGGGATAGATGACAAGTGCAAGTCTCCTCTCGTGCAAGGAGAATTAGCCCTGATAAATGGATGGAAAGACACATTTGACCAAGTGCCAGGAATCCTCCTCGCGCTTCCTTATGGGTTTGCTGCTGACAGCATAGGGCGCAAGCCCATCATGGTCTTTAGCTTGGTTGGACTCCTTCTTGAAGAAATTGCCATGCGATTGATTTTTTTCTTTAATTCCGTCCTACCACTACGGGTGATTTGGGCGACGCCCATTTTTCAAATCATAGGCGGTGGACCCCAAATAGCGACCGCTATGGCCTACGCCATGGTTACCGACATTGTGCCAAGTCATCAAAGGTAGCCATTATACCTTGGTCACATTTATTGCGAATCAACTAATGAGGACGTTTTATATTCAGGGCATCTGTTTTCTTCATTTTGTCTGCTGCAACTCTACTCGGCGAAATCGTTGCTACACCAGCATCTGCATTCCTAATGTCGTGGAGCCCGTGGATCCCTTCACTGTTGGGTATTTTCTTTGAGTTTTTCGGACTGGTCGGAGCCGCTCTCGTCTCTGATGTACGTCTCAATTCAACGCCATGCAACCACCAACAGGTTCTGGAGGATGAGGTGGAGAGCGAAGACGAAGAAGACCAGGAATACGGACATAATTTGAGCTTGGCGCACGATCCACCATATTTACGTTGGAAAAAAGCGGTACGACGGCAGTGGACCCACATTCGACACGGATATACGACATTTTGGAACGTAAACCTCTTCTGCACTGTCGGTGCATTTTTACTCGCAAGTATAGGTCGCCAAGCGCTACAACTCATTGTTCAATATGCCTCAAACCGCTTTTCTTGGAGTATTGCGCGTGCTAGTTCACTCATCACGCTGAAGGGCATCATAAATCTCCTCACTTTACTGTTTATTCTTCCTTGGGTGTCCAACTGGTTGAATAAACATTTACTTTTGTCCTCCGCTGCCAAGGATCTCCGTATTGTGCAAGGTAGTGTGTGGCTTCTAACTCTGGGTTCTGCCCTCATGGCCGTTTCCACCCATCCGGCGATATTCATAGTGGGAGTCAGCTTGCTCGCATTCGGATGGGGCTTCTACTCGGCCCTGCGAAGCTTGGCCATGGAATTGGTATCGCCATCGCAGGTTGGTGTTGTGAACACGGCGATTGGATTTGCCCAAAGCATCGGTTCGTTGCTCTCAGGGCCCATTCTAGCTGCCGCATTCCGTCGGGGCTTACAAGAAGATGGGCTCCTGGTGGGACTACCTTATATGCTTGCCGCAGGTCTATTTTTCCTATCCGGTTGCTTAACAGGGTGTGTTCGAGTTCCGCGGGGAATAAGTGGCAACTGAATATTGTCCAAGGACTACGATTCTGCCGTTAGATCTCTACCTGAATCATGGAATACGACGGTTTTCAAACCCATTTGTATATATAAATGAGAAGTAAAATATTTGAATATATCATGAATAGAGCGAGGCAGGTAGATAGATGAATGGGTCTCGAACACGTCTGTGCATACTAGCTGCATCTCGCAGATACAGGTATATAATGTGACTCCTGCAACGATGTGCGAATTTGACCGACCACATACTATCGGGGTTGAGATCCCTTGATATTCTGATCATTTTTCCTCATTCGTGCCCCATATTTTATCAAGAGGAAGGGCACAGGAGCGAACGCCAATGCAATAAAGGCCAAGAGGCTGTTCCCCCATCCCATCCCCAGAGCATCGTAAAGACCATGGCCTGCCAGAGGCAACAAGCCTCCGGCCAAACTTCTAAGAATGTTCATGGCCGCTAGGGCGGAAGCAGAATGTATCGAGAATGAATTCACGAGGTAGACTTGCGCTGGCTGAAAAATACCCATCATGGCGAATCCAAAAACTCCCAGCCCAACTAACGGTACCGCCGGGGAAGCATTCGTTTGCAGTGACCACCCATACCAAAAGAGACCAATGGGAGCTACCAGGCTCGAAGGAACCATCGGCCACAGATACTCCTCTGGAGGTATTTGTTCGCTCAAGGCAGATGCTTTCTTTTTCTTTCGCTCCGTGACTTTGTCAGCCGCAAGACCAATGGTAAAAATGCCTGATACAACGAAAAAGGTTATTTAGTGGTCTAATGTAAACAAGAAATTTCTTTCCAAGCCATTTGAAGCAGACGGGATGACTGATAAAAGAACACAACTTACCTAGAATAGTTCCAATTCCGGTTCCCAAGTAAACTAAGCCAGATGAACCGGTTGATAAGTGATACTTGTCCTGGAAAATATACGCCAGTGTGGTAAAGACAAGATATTGGTATCCATACACCACTGCCACGTACATGGCAATTATTGTCACCACAAAAGAAGTTAGCAGAAGCCTAGGGGGACGAATGAGAGCTGTTATTACGACTTCCTGGCGAGAGACCCCAGGGTCGAGGCGAGACTTCAACTGCGGATTACCTGTCTCCTTACGAAGTCTCCGAGTCTTAGCTTCCAGTAGTACGGGTGCGTATGTCTCATGGATCAAAAAGGGGGACATTATCGTCAAGATGGCCATCTACCAAGCTGTCAGAACATCTTCCGAAAGTTATTTTTTGCATTCAATGCGCTTTCATAATTTTGTTTCCCCGCTGCTTACCGGAATAGCAATAACCCAAAAAATCCACCTCCAGCCCGCATCTTGGCTCAGGTATCCTCCTGCAATGGGAGAGAAGACCTAGACGCGATGTAATGTCAATATCAGAAGGTTTCGGCGGAGACAAATAGAGGAAGCCGTGAGAAACGGGGAGGGGAACTTACAGGCGCCACTAACGACCCTAACCCCCAAATAGCCATTGCGGTCCCCATTCGCTCCGGAGGCATGAGGTCGCCAATCGTACCTCCACCCAAGGCTAAAGGGGCTACTCCCGCACAGCCAGAGATAAACCGGAATGCCAGGAACATTCCCACGTTCGTGCTCAAGGCACATCCAATAGTGACCCCAAGAAAGATCACATTTGTCACATGGTAGATGATAGCGCGACCATACAATTCTGACAATGGCGCTACTATGAGTGGGCCAATAGCGAATCCGATCACATAGATCGACACAACAAACGACTCCAGCTTGGTATCATCGGATCCAAGAGATTTCATCACATCATGAACTGCCGGTGCTAGCATGGATGAAGCGAGCGAACTAGGCTTGTATCATCAAACATCAGTCTCCCGCATATACTTGGCTATACTTGGCCAAGCCGTCAAGCCGAGCTTGGCCGTCTTTTTGCACCTGCAGAGTATACCAAGCTATATCGAAGATAACGAATAGGCTAAGAAAATAGCAGTACATACGTGACAAAGGTGAGGAGCGAGATGAAGCCAACATGGCACCAACGATATTTGGCGCTCCAGTTCATAGGGTTCGAGGGATCCGCATCACCATCCCAATATACTTCATTGGGATCAGGATCATGCACGTCGTGTCGGTCTCCGAGGCTGTCATCCGCAGGCAAGGCGGGATGTGGGGCCTTTTCGGCTTGGTGGGTGGATGCCATGTATTTCCAAATGTGGGGGACTAGGCAGGAGATGGGGCCAACTGTTGATGAAGGGGTTGGGGCGAGAAAATGACTCTCTGGTCCGCGCGATCAATAAAAGAGTGAAGATACAGCAAACGATCCTGTTTAAATATATCTAATCTATGGGAGATAACACTAGCGTATTATAACACACTCGTACGGTACTTGCACTGTATACATATCCTTTTTCTGCAATAAAATTTGATCCGCGATTCAAGGGTCCGTTTTCAATGTTTTGTTTACTCAAGGGGTGCCCGGATAGTGTCCCATACAAATCTGTCAGTAGGTTTTAATGGTGAACAGCATACTTTAGAATGGTACGGAGTAATAAGTATTCAACCGCGTAAAAGCGATTCAAAGCGTACAGAACCGTTCATGAGCTGACAAATCACATGATGCAACCTTAGAAGGCCGAAGGGGCAATTTTAGACGGCCTAACGAGATGTGCAGATTGGCTAATGAGATGTCGCGACTTGAGAATAGAGAAATCAATTGGATATCAATAGATTGAAAATTACTAGCGCGGTAACCCTGATTTCCATCAAATCGTACAGGCGGGTAACGGAGATCCGGCGGAGTTCCCGCGTGGGGCTTAAGGCTTGGGAACAACCCTTGGAGCCCTTGGAAGACAAACCCTAACTTTACATTACAGCCTTGGAAGCTTTCCTTGGGAAGCAGGGGCACCATAAGCACAGGTTCGTGAATAGAGTATATATGGTTCTTGAACCTTGCAACATGGATCTTTTGCATTATTCAATTTTTTCATATGTCTATGATAGTACGAAGGACGATATTAGTAACCCGCGTTGTTCTTAGCTAATCATCCTTTTTGGCAAATGATATGAGATATGCATAGTAATATCTATCATTTGAAATATTGATTATAGTTACGTACATACCTTCAATACTCCTCACTTAGATGGACCTAGCCCGCCGTGATTATCTATGGTTATTCGCGTCAAGTAAGCACTAACATATTTGTTTCACATTGGGTGGGCTCGTGAGTAGCGTTTGATTGTCACCTTCAGAGGATCAGTTTAGCGCCTTGTAGATGGATCTTAATCCCTGTACAACATATATATTATGGAGTCGACATTGGCGGGATGTCAACATCCATTGGTGAAAGGCACTCGCGCTTCCACCTGCATATTTTCGGAAAATTTTCTTCTCTATACAGCATGCGGTACCCCTCATCACCAATGGTACTTGTGAAATTTTTCATATTTTGTAGACGATAGAATTCGTTTGTAGTCATACAGACGAGATAGACTAGACCGCATAGTAACTCTTCGTCGCATTGCTACGTATCACGCAATTCGCCACCACAAATTACGCTCGGCTGGAACACGCTGTGGGCTACGGAGTAGGTACTTTATATCACGTCTATGATAGTGTTCTAATTTGATGTAATCCCGCCTCTACACGATGCTTCAAGTGGGTCCCAAACAATCATAGAGATATTACGGGGCCTCTCGTATGGAACAGAGACATGTAGACCTTATCCTTCGAGAAAAGCTGGCTTTGGGCTTTTAAAGATTTAACCGAAAAGAGTATGTAGCCAGGTAAGCTGGTCTATATAAAGTGCCTATATCTCGAGAAAAGTGCCAGTTTCCACGGGATTTTTCTCTGCTTCCAGGAATTCTTACTTTTCCAAAGTTATACGGTCAATATCTATATCTATCATGGGTAGCATTGCACCAGTGCTCGCATATGATATTAACCATCAGTGGGCGACTCCACATGCCCAACATACATTGGCCTCATGGTCCGAGTTGAACAAGCACATTAAGGCTGGTACCATCCTTATCGATGGCCAGTCGTTGGATGTCGCATCCGTTGTCGCCATAGCCAGGTTAGTAAAGCGAACACCGGCATCCAATGAGAGTCACTGACAGGATAATTCTAGAAACGGTGTTGGCATAGCTCTTAAAGAGGACCAAGGTCTCATTGACGGCATAGAGGGGAGTGTTGAAACCCTACAGGGTTACCTCTCGAAAGGCTACTATCTGTATGGTAAGTGCCTTTTTGCATCATTCTGATAGTGACCATGTTTTCTGGCTAATGCAGCTGTTTAGGGGTCAATACCGGCTTTGGGGGTAGTGCGGATACTCGCACGCAGGATTTGTATGGTCTTCAGAGAGGATTGATGCAGCTTACACAGAGTGCCATCCTGACCAAAGCGGACAAATCAGATGCCCCAAGTGGTCATGAGTATCTTGAGTCCCACAGTATGCCTAGCGCCTGGACCAGAGCTACAATCCTCATTCGATGTAATGCCAACATTCGTGGGCATTCTGCTATGACTCGCAATGTGGTTGACAGCATGATTAAATTGCTAGAGAACGATATTGTACCTGTCATTCCACTTCGTGGCTCTGTCTCAGCATCGGGTGATTTGATGCCTCTAGCATATATCTCTGGGGCAATTCAGGGATCCCCAGATGTATATGTGCGCGTTGGTGGTCAAAAGGGATTACCGCGTGTCATCACTGCGCATCAGGCCTTGGAGGAGGCTTCAATTACACCCATTGTTTTGGGGCCCAAGGAGGGCCTATCACTCATCAATGGAACGGCAGCTGCCGCTGCGGTTGCTAGTCTTGGATGTTACGAAGCCAATCAGCTGGCAGTAGTGTCGCAACTGCTAACCGCTTTGACGTCCGAGGCTCTGTATGCCAACAATGAGTGGGCACACCCGTTCATCGCCGCAACGCGCCCTCACCAAGGACAGATTGAGGCTGCGCAAAATATGCGGACCTTCTTGCGAGGCTCAAAGCTGTCTTATGGCTTGGAGCAGACCAAAGACCGATTCTCGTCTGGGCTGGCACAAGAACGCTATGCATTAAGAAGCTCACCACAATGGCTCGCACCACAGCTCGAAGATCTTCTCAGCGCCGAGAAGCAGCTCCATGTTGAGCTCAACTCGACATCTGATAATCCCGTCGTTAATGTCCTCGACAACGATATCCATTGTGGTGCAAACTTCCAAGCCGCCTCAGTCACCTCAGCCACCGAGAAGATCCGTCTGGCATTGCAATCCATTGGCAGAATGCTTTTTAGCCAGACTAGCGAAATGATCAACCACGACCTCAGCAATGGCCTCCCACCCAATCTAGCAGCTGATGATCCCAGTATCTCTTTCTGCCTCAAGGGCCTCGACATCAATACTGCCGCTTATACCTCAGAGCTCGGCTTCCTTGCCAATCCGGTCAGCAACCACGTTCAAACAGCAGAGATGAACAACCAAGGTATCAACTCTCTAGGACTCCTCTCCGCACGCCAAACTCTGGCTGCTGTCGAGGTACTTTCTATGATTGTTGCCAATTCCCTTTACACCGGCTGTCAGGGCGTGGACCTGCGAACTCTCCACCGGACCTTTGTAACCAGTTTGGAAAGCCCCGCCCGCCAGCTCATCACGAGCTTTTTGCCCGACGAGAGCTGGCCGGTAGCCACGGCGCATAAATTCTTTGACTCGTTCTGGAAACTTTTCGAGGAGGCTTGGTACGACGGTGTTGCGTACGATGCGGCCGAACGAGCGCACAAAGCATCCCAATCTCTGACAACGGCTATTGTAGCGCAATATGACCGCATACCCGCGATAGTATCCATTGAGAACGTTGCTGGGCTCTCCAAGGCGTTCGAAGCTCTTATCCTGGACTCGTATTTGGCTCATCGCGAGGCGTTCTTCCGAAATCCTACCACTTCTGAATATCTCGGACAGGGAACCAAAGCAATCTACCTTTTCGTGCGCGAGAAATTGGGAGTACCCATGCATAGAGGTTTGATTGAGCACCCTGTTGCAGGAGATAAGGATGGTAATATGATCGATGGCCGTCCTAAAAAGACAATTGGTTCCTGGGTATCCATTATTTATGAATCGGTTCGTAACGGATCACTATATACCGAGGTGTTCCAATTCTTGGAAGCTGCAGGAAATGTCAAAGTAAGCAAAGGAGCAAGCGGGACAATTGGAAGCAACGGAAGCAACGGTGTTCATTAGATAGTGCAGAGGTTATTTGCAGATGTGATGGCCTACCAGAGAGAATATCAAAATCGAATGACACATCAATGGCAGCAAAAAGTAAAAGGACATCTTTGTAAGATCATTTATTGGCGCGTTCTCTAGACCATGAAGAAGGACCTTTGGCGATTCGAACAAGTGGAATTTTTATCATCTCAGCTCCTTCCCGGTCCTGTCTGCTGTCGCTGAGATCAATGGAGGTTTGCCCATGCTAGAACACCAGTGAAGTCTAGCATGTCGACAAATCAATCCATTTAACCTCAAAATCCCCGACCTTCAGGGCTGGGCTTTTTGATTTGTCGCTCTTTCTAAAACGAACATCGAAGACTTCAGGTTCAGACAATTATGTTCTCAGCAAGTGCTCCCTGGCATAGTCTGTCCTCGGTAGGAATATAAACCAAGCATCTTCAAGCATTTTTCTTCGCATTTCCATTCAAGCCGACTGTCCTACTTCTTTTGGCCTCAGCGAAAACTGCCCCACAGGCTCTCACACTGTCAGCAATAAGCACTATGTCAACACATTAGCCCAATTCCCACAATTCTGATACCAAAAACAGTAAAAGAAAACAAGACCACTTACAAGCTGGAATCACAATCCAGAACCCATTCAACAACACGAAATACCCATAAAAGTAATACCCTTCGGGCCTTGAGTACTCAACCCCATACACCAGAAAGTCAAACGCACAGGTCCCATAGTACAGTACATCCCCGTAAAGTTGCCCAGTGGAGATGATTATCTGCAGCGGGTGTCGGAATGGATTCTCCGCGACGATGAAATATGCAAGGACGAAGGATAATGGGCCCCAGCACCAGGCGGTAATGGACTCCATGGACATGACAAAGGCGTGCGAAGTGAGATACCGCGAATCAGACATAGAATACTCTTTCCAGAGTTGCGCGAGGAGGTTTTGGGAGCCTGGAAGGGTGGCAAAGCTTATGGCATAGTATCCCTCAAGGATGAGATGAATGCAACCGCCTGGTCGTTTGTTAGGATGGGTGTATGTATAGATATGGGAGGGAAGGCGTACATAGTGTGAACCAAAGAACTTTGGACAATTCAGGGACCGTTATGCGAGGGTTCGCATTCGTTGCGATGGTTTTGGCAGCTGTTAGGACGATAATGCACGTAACAGCGAATGTTGATACCAACACTAGGGTGCTCCATTTGTTAGGAACGTAGCTGGGGATTTCTAGTCCCACAGGATAGTAAGAGTGGGGAGTCATGATATGTATTCACAAATGAAGTGTGGGATATACCTAGGTAGTATCATGTCAGGAACTGATCTGAATATAACATAGCTGGTGCCTATCAGACAGGGATCTGGTGATACGATCCGGAACAAAACGCGCTCGGTTTCCGTGTCGCTGCTTCCCTATCAATCGCAGTGATTATGTGATCAATCTGGACGTAGTTTCGAGTGAATTCAGACCAATTGAATCTACGTTTTTCTTTGCACATCTTCATTAGACCATGATTTTGATTGGGCTACTCCAATCCACCCATGTATGGAGCCCTGGGGGGCAACATGGGTATGTGTCAGCTTCAGATCAGCCATTCTCCACACTCTACCCATTTCAGCTATCTTTCTGGGATCCATCTCTACTTATTTTTTAGGCGAGAATTAACAGTTGATTGAGGATTTGAGGGACGGGTCGAGCTGTTCGCCTAGAGCACCAAGAGCAGGAGCTGACTACTGTCTGGCAGCCTTTAGGGGGTCTTTTAGAAAGATGGCGATGAGAATCTATGCTGAAAACCACGAAATTAAGAACCTTCAAGAATTTTGTGTACTGTCTGAAGAGACTGGAGTTTCTCGTTATGATCTGGGACCAGTATTTATCTGTGCCCCTCCCAGGCCTGTCTGTATCCGCGTTCGGTTTGGGCATCCTTGCCTTGGCCAGTAATAGCGCTGCCTATATCTCGTAGTAAAACCTCACTGGCTACCCTGAATTTCTGAATTCAAGCCTACTCAAGCCTCTAAGGTTTGAGCCTCAACCAGGATAGTTCACTCACTATCATTCCATCGTAAATTGCGACTTCGGATGCCTTCTGTCTGACTATCGCCTTGCCTGCATCAGTTGTGTAGAAGGCATCGAGGAAGATGTCCTAAAACCACTCCAGCTGATCAAGGCTCCCACGGTACAAGAGGGTGTTGCATTGGCTCTCCAACTAGGTAGTTTGTATCTGTTGTTTTTCATGAATGATTGAAACGAAGATCTTTTGGATGCAAGCGAGTTTGAGGATGATGACAGCATCTTGATTGAGTCGAATATATCGAGAATTTACAATTCATGCGTTGGTATTGGGAAAATGAGAGAAAACAATGCCAACAATTACAGTTACATCTTCTGCTTGCGTTCTGAGATAACAGTCTACTAAGATCATGAAGTCGAAAGGAATAGGAATCACGTCCGATGTCACCACTGCCCTCTTAATTTCCGGTACTAACCAGTGCTCCTGTTATACAGTCTATCAAGCGAAATCGAAGTGCCAGCAAAATAGAATAATATATTGAAATCTTCAAGGGCATCTTGTCCTTGTCTGGGATATATATACACGCCGAAAGCACTGTCATCAGTTCCATCACCGGGATATTGACGTATTCACAAAACAGTACTCTAACAAAAAAATTGGAAAACATCCACTTTCAAATATAATCATCATCTTCAACCACACCAACATCACATCCACTAGAAGAGCGCTAGCGCTTCTCCTGGACCTCCTCAATCTCTTGGCCACTGTCACTGCTAAGGCCAAGCTCGCTCTTCTCATGTGCGACATGCTCGCTGGTGCTCAAGCCCAGCGCGTGAGACTGTTGAGTGATCTCCTCGAAGGTCAGCTTGGGCATGTCGTGAGCGACCCTGAACGCCAGCTTTCCTTCGTTATTGGCTTTGGCGTAGATAATGTCGATCTCTTCAAGATCACGACCAGCTGTCTCAACATAGAAGAAGAAGCCGAAGATCAAGCCGATGAAGTTAAACAGTGCGAAGAAGAGGTAAACGCCCCATGGACTTTCACCAGCGAAAAGCGGCGTGAACATAACCACGGCAAAGTTGCAGATCCAGTTGGTGCAGGTCGACGCCGACGCGCCAACAGTACGGGTACGGAGGGGGTTGATCTCCGGGGGGTAGATCCACGGGAGTGGCAAGAGAGTGAATGCGAAGAAAACGATGAAGAGGAAGATACCAACGGCAGCGCCCTTGGCGTTCTGCTCGCTCTCCTTGATCAAACAAGCGAAGGTGATGACAAAACTGAGACCTTGGCCCAGGAAACCAATCAAGTATAGGTTGCGACGGCCAACTCTTTCAATCATGAAAAAGGAGGGAATGGTTGCAATGGCGTAGACAGTGGCGAACACACCACCCATAATCAGAGACAAGGTTTTCTCCATGTGCAGATTTTCCTGGAAAAGCAGGGTGGAATAGTAGATAGCGGCGTTACAGCCGGTGAACTGCTGGAAGAACTGGCCAGAGCAACCAATGAGAAGGCGCTGGAGGTCCTTGGTCTTGTTGGCTTTGAATAACGTCTTCCAGCCTGCCTGTGAGCGCCTCGAGGCTTCCACGTCCTGCTTCAAGAAATTGAATTCGCTGAGTACCTTGTCTGAATCAGGAGTGGTGCCGTTGAGCTTAGCGAGCACTTCACAGGCCTCCTTGTCGTATCCTCTAGACACAAACCACGATGGAGAGTCAGGGAGCATCAAGGCACCGGTGGCCACAACGATAGCAAACAAGATCTGAAGTGCCACGGGGAATCGCCACTGGACACTGTCTGCCGCGTACGAGAGGCCGAATACTACCCAATAGGCGATGAAGGTGCCACCAGCGATCATAGCACCTTCGAAACAGACGAGGAAGCCACGGTTGTGAGCACCAGAGCATTCCGATTGCCAGACTGGGATTGTGGCCGTGTTCATTCCGTTTCCGATGCCTGATACAACACGGCCGATGACGAACTGACCGACTTCCCAGCTTCCGGTAAAGCAGGTGCTGGTTAGCACAGCACCAATGATCAGGATGCTGGCACCCATGAAGATCAGGCGAGTGCGGCCGAATTTGTCGCCGAAAAACATAGAGAACAAGGCACCGAAGAAACATCCAAGCTCATAGCAGGAAGTGACAGCACCGCGGATGACGTTGACATATTTTGTTTCCGCCTCAGTCCCATTTTCGGGCATTTCGAGAATTGGGAAGGAGTTCACAAACTCGTCGCCGTTAAGAAGGCCAGCCATCATGCCCTGATTGTAGCCGAAGAGCGAGAAACCCACGACGGCAGCGACGGTGATGCTCACCCGGAGCGATCGACCAGTCAGGCCGCAATTGGTCGTCCACATGTTGACGGTACGTACAAAGAGCCGTCAGTATGGGGGAGGGAGGCGGGGTAAAAGAAAGATGGGGAAGATTGGGGATGGAGGGATTGGCTTGTCTTATAGCAAGCACCTCCATGGGGGATGTAAAATCCTGACGCTGCAACCTTGGTCAAGCCCCAAACGGGCAAGTCTAGCGAAGGCAATGTTCCCGAAGCGGAGACCTTGGCACTTGGCGGGGGCCACTTGGCGGGGGTACTTGGCGGGTCCATGGGTCCACGGGTGGGTCAGGGCGTGGATGACTAATTTGGAGACACCTCCACTGACCACCCGTCTGGGCAGGGGGAGGCCCGGTTTTCAGTGCTCAGGGCAGGATCTCTGCTTTTCAAATCTACCATGCTTTTTTCTTCTATATTCCAGTCTTGACTCTATTCTCATCTATTTGACATGATAGAGATGCTTTACGCTGGCATCCTTTCATCTTGATATCACTGACGCCAAGGTCTTTTCGCCCCAATATGACGTCGAAAGTTTTTCGCCGACTTTCTCCAAATCGGCGCTAGGCAAAGTTCACCCACATATTGTCAAACTCCGAACCAACGAAACCCAAATCTTTGGGGCGCGGCATACGTCACACGGACCGGTGCAATCTCCTTTTTAGTATCAACCCGGCTTTCCGACCGCGTTGTGGCAGTAAGTGGCACGTGGCGTCGGGATTGATTCGGTATCCCCGTAATCGGCCGTGTGTGTATGTGTGTGTTTTCCGGGGAGCAGTCAGGATGGTTCCTGGGTCTCCGAGGGTCACCCCAGGGTTCAACTGTTTACCCAGTCGGTACCGAGATTTGCATATATATTATTGTGTCTTCCAATCGCGCCAGGCGCCCACCTACCGGGCTGGTCTCTGGTTCCGGCTTTTTTTCTTCTCCGCCAAGAACTGTAAATTCTCAATTCCACCCCTTTTAATCTCGCGTACCTCGAATCCTCGTGGCACTTTGGATGCAGTCTCCGTAAACAGCGAAAATCCATCACCTGGTCTACCATATTTTCGGTGCCATGGATTAATTTGTGTGGAATGAGAAAATGATTAGTAAGGAAAACGGAGCTGAACTTAGAACAAGCAATGTCATCCCACATTGCCAGAAGCAGGCCAAGCTTACAGCCAAAATATACTTTGGCGACGACATTAGGACTCGCCAGACTTGCCAATGTGTGTCTGTACCTACGGGTTGGATTCTTTATCTATGCAAATTTTCGGACTTTAACAGCCGCGCTAATGTCGAGTCACCTGTTATGGGAACTTGTAGACGGTAACATCGCGGAGTCGACTACGTAGTATCGCCGAGTACAACATGCCGAGTACCATATAATGAAAAAACATTGAAAGTCATAATCTGAGCGCATCATCGTTCCAACTTCCGAGGCGGTTTTTAAGGACCCACTACGTAAGATTGTCTAGATATGGGACAATTCAGCGAGCGATCGGCAAGCAAACACAAGTCTGGTGAAGGGCACAACGCCTCAAATTATTCATGCTTGGAGTAGGGGAAGTAGAGCGATTAAGCAGCGGAACTTGGTCCAGGGGTCGGGCTTGGCCAAGAGTGACGGAGGTGGCGGACCTTCCGATGTTGGTAATGCGGGTGAAAAGTAAAATGCCTCACCACATAAGATTTGGGCAAAGGTGGAACACATAGGGCGGACTACACACCCAAGGCGTACTGTACAAGGAGGGCGCTAAACCAAATGCGCCAAAAATTGTAGCCAATCATCGTGACATATTGCCAAGGAACCCTAATGCATACAAGCCACCGATGTCAAATACAATTCGATTTCACATTCGTACATCCGATTACAGTGTTACCGCAAAAGCTTTAGCGCCCTGTGTTCTGCCAGTCAAATATCCACCAATGAAAAATAACAAGATATCTGGCGGCATGACAAGTTGAGAAGGCGGTAATGGAATGGGCATTGACACTTGCGGACTGACTGGAAAAAGGTGTGAACTACATACTGATAATTGGTTAATAATTATTACCTGTATTTGTATTACCGAAGAAAAAAGCAAAGTGGATGTACGCCTCAGAGGTCATTCTCTGTCGTGGAAGGGCATCTGTCCAACCATGGTATTTTAAATGCCACCAGAAGACATACTATCCACTGTAGTATCTACATCACAGATGCTTTGGGACGTGGAGCTGATATCACCTGTACCAAAAGTACTTCCAGTCACCGGGCTTGTCATGGAAAATGTGGAACGAAGTGTCACCGAAGTTGTTTCCAATGATCGTACCCAGAGTGGTCGATACTAGTAGAGCAAGAACATATTGGTACCAGTACACTCCCGGCCCGGCAATCCGTTTTTCGCTTCTCGGCAACAAGACTTTTCTTAGCATTGTCAAATGAACCCTGCGCTTCTTCGGCCCGATTCATGTTTGTTTCAGAAGACTGCTCCTCGGCGGCCGGAGCCTGAGCGGCCAGAGCATTAGTAATGGAGTAGATGATTACCTAGGTAGGTACGCCACGGCTGCCTCCTGGGTTCTAAACCGCTCCTGCGACAACATTCAAGGCCTAGCATCCAGCGCATCGAAGCGTCGTCCTAATGACGCGCGATATGAAAGTTCCCACCCATTCCAGCCCAAAAAAGGAAATACGCAGCTTGACTGGTGGTTTAAATTGAATATTCCACGTTCTACGCGAAGATTCATGGCTTATACCACTACCAATAGTTTCCAAGCCTCCTCTGTAGAGAGCTATAGTTCCCTTTTCAGCACCGCCTCCGCTGAAATTCAATTTGCGACCTCACAGTATTGGTCCGCTATATCGGGAAAAAGAACAATCTCGCACACCGAGCTGGCCTAGTATATTGTAGTCTTCTTCAGGGAGTATGAATAAGAGTTTCCAAAGTGGGGCAAGGCTTCATCAAACCGCCATTGGTTCTTAAAACCCAAGATCATACGGCGATTTGGTGGAATCGTCTCTCCATAGTATGGGGAGGTTTTGGATTGAAAGGCTTCCATGTTCGAAGCTCAACCGCCACCTTTGCTCGATCGTCATCTCTCATCGGATTCTCACGGAACAAGATTATCAGTTAGCCCCTTGTGACATTCCATCGTGGATTATGGGCTTCAGAATTCGCTTCAGGTTTGGATTAGCAGAGATGCGCAGGGTTGCAATGTTCCATCATGTATCCGTCAAGGTCAGCTTTCAATACAAGCTGCGCGGCCCTGCAGATGAGAGTCCCCATGTCCAAAAAAGATGCAAAATGATCAAGATGACTTGAACATAAGAATTTCGCCCTATTCATTCAGGGACCTTGAGGGAAGTGTAGAGAAAATGCTTACGGAACAAGGGGGACTCTGAATTAAGCAATTTTCAGTGAGGGGGGAATTATTAATGATAGTCCCACTTCTCTGCATTGCTTACTCTGTACGGACTACATATATGAACCTGCAAAAAGCTCCTCGTATTTTCAGAAATTCTTCCCCAACCAATTCGTTCCTCAAATAATGCTGAAAACCTTACAGCCAACGTATCATGTAGGAATCTCCCTGCTTCTATCAAGCTCTAAACAGAAAGAGATACTTATAATGACTAGGATGCAGTGGAAAAGTTGAATTCCACTCAGTCGGGATTCAAGGTGCTAGAGGAAAGAAGGAGGCTTGGTGAAAAGCTGGATAACACAGCTGTGGAACAGATGAGAAAATGGATATGCCGCGTTGGACATGATGTGAGTTAGTTCCAAAACCTTTTATTCGTGAGTCCTCTCCAACGGGCGTTTTCCTACAGATTAACGATCTCAGCCGCCTGAATGTCGTTCATGTTGCGGGTACGAAGGGAAAAGGCACAACATGTGCCTTTGTCAATTCCATTCTTCAGAGCTACCAACAATCGGTTGGAGTTCCCCGTAAGATTGGACTTTATACCTCCCCTCATTTGGGAGTGGTGAGGGAGAGAATTCGAATCAACTCTTCTCCGATTTCAGAGGAGCAATTTGCCAAGTACTTCTTCGAAGTCTGGGACGCCCTCGAATCGAGTGCAGTTAGGGAAGGTCTTGATCCCGCTCATAAACCTACCTACTTCCGATTCCTCACTCTGATGGCATTTCATATTTTCATAAGAGAAGGTGTCGATGCGGCTGTTTTTGAAGTCGGCATAGGGGGTGAATTAGACTCAACAAATGTTATTGCACAGCCATCGGTGACTGGTATCACGACCCTTGGAATTGACCATGTGACTACACTCGGCGATACGATCGACAAGATAGCATGGCATAAAGCAGGAATTTTCAAGACTGGCTCACCCGCCTTTACCGTTCCTCAAGTGCCTGACGCTATGGATGTCCTACAACAGAGAGCGAAAGAAAAGAATACCGAACTCGTTACTATTGCGATCCACCCTGCCCTTTTCAATATTGACCTCAAGCCAGCAGAAGATTTTCAAAGGACAAATGCTTCCCTCGCTATAAGTCTTTCACTTTCCTTGTTGAACCGACTCGGAGTTCAGGTGGACCTTGGCCTTGAAAAACTCCCCGAACAATTCATCAACGGTCTCATGAACACAGTCTGGAGAGGAAGATGTGAGACCCTTACAACCGGAAAGCATGTTTGGCATCTTGATGGTGCACATACAGAAGAAAGCTTGAAATTAGCAGCCTCGTGGTTTGGGCGCGTCTCAAAATCACAGTCAGTTCAGTCAAGGTATGGACCGCTTTGCCACTTCCTCCTCGTGGTAGGTCTCCTCTGACACTGATCGCACTAGGGACACACCAAGGGTGCTCATATTCAATCAGCAGTCTACAAGAGATGCCGAGGTACTTCTTCGAGCTGTCCATAGTCAGATATACAACCATTGCAAGTTGAATTTTCAGCACGCGCTCTTCTGTACGAATGTAACATACAAAGGCAACACCTCCAAAGCCGGTAGGACCTACACCATGCACTAGGTCAGCTCTCAAGGAAGGATACTAAAGTAGGATATTGTTTACAGATCGCCTCAACCGGAATGTCGATCCAAAGGAGCTCCAAAGCTTGAGCCTACAACGCCGCATGGCTGAGCTTTGGCATCAGCTTGATCCCATGACAGAGACAGCGACATTGGCTTCTATCGAAGAAACCATCGAGTATGCAAAAAGCATTGGCTGCGACGTGGAAAAGATAAATATTTTCGTTACTGGAAGTTTGTATCTTGTTGGTGGCGCACTTTCGGTCTTAGAAGGGAGGGCTTCGCCCTCCAAAAAGCCACAACTTAGGAGTCGACCAAGGGTAGCCAAGCAGGCCCCCCCCAGTAACTGCACTCAGTCAATTCCAAATCGCACCTACTGCATTCTCAGAAGCAAATTTCGGGTTTTCTTCTGTCATTTTCAATGTCTGCATATGTTGGTTCCTGTCGGGACCTCTGAAAATATTGGATATCGGATTTATCCCTCCATTTTCCCTAGACTAGACCATAAATACAAAACATATACCGATTTCCTCTCTCCTGCTTCCTTTTTCTCCATGATCTCCCCGCTCTTCCTCGGAACTATGCATTGTTTAGCGTGTTTCCAGCATTGGTTGGGACGCTTGCCTCGGCCTCCGAAGCTGCACTTGCAGTTGCAATGGTGAGGCCAGCAAAGTTAGAGAGGAATTTAGTGTCCGCCTTCTTGAAGGGAGTCCCGCTGTCTGTTTGAATATTCGTCACGCAGTCCCTCTGGAGGTCGCCGGAGCATGCTTTGTTTGCCGTAGCACTCGGCGAACTAAAGAGTTGACCAACAAAATCCCGGACAATTTGGCTAACATTTTTGAAAACACAACCTTCAAAAAGACCTTGGCCATCATCGGTGCCCTCAATGGCGTGGCCGTTGTTATTCTCCCACACGCTATTGACGGCATGGAAGAGGGTCTTGCCGCTCAATGCAGGGCTCCGGCCAGATGTTCTGTACACATAGTTGTCTAGCGGACAGATATCAGTGCCTCTCATTCTTTATAGATCGAGAACAAAGAATTGTGGTTTAAAGCACTTACTTGCAAACGTGATTTGGTCGTCGGCCCCGACAAGTTCCAATCCCCAGTATTGTTGCCCGTCACACGAAGTAGAGAAATTAGTTGCGCCATTTATGAAGCTGTTAGAGATAGCGACATGAGAGTTCGCTTCTTGGCCAAAGACATAGTGTACACGGCCAGTGTATTGAGTCTGAATACAATACAATTAGCATTCGGTAAATTGATTCTCAGGGAGAGCTTGACTAGCCGTAACATGATCAATCCAGATATTTGAAGTGTTAGAAAGTGTGATCGCGTCGCCACCCCAAACAAGTTTTGGATTGAGGTTGGTGATCATGATGTTTTGTACAATGATGTTGGAGGCGTCGACTATTCTCAGCCCTTTGCCGAGGAGTACGCCCTTGTTTCCAACTCCAATTATCGTCTTGTCTGAGTGAACACGGATTCCTGTGACTCCAGCAGTATCCCATTCATATGGCTCAGACTTTTGACCATCACACCCTTTTCCGGTATCGATTGTGGACTGACAGCCATCTTCAAAGGAACCAAATACCTTGCAAATGTTTCCTTTCGTTGTCCCTTCCGTTCCGATGAAATCATATGTCTTGTCGATAATAACAACTTGAGGATCATCAGAACCCAGAAGCTCAATTAGATGCTTGACATCGGTGGGATAAACTGGTGTCGCGTCTCCACCTCCCGTCACTCCATATGCAAACCCTGGGGGCGAGCCAGTAACAGAAATTGTATCGACCCTCTTTGCTGGGAATTCTGCCACTGCCACAGCTGTGAATAATAGAACAAGGCTGAATTTCATGTTGAATTTCAAGTCTGAAGTCACGGTTATGGCTGAGAGGATGTCTGGCAGAAATGGTGCACTTAGATAGGAAACAATACAAGTCTACTAGGGCCAGTCACCCTTCTTATGCATCACTCCTATCAAGGTTGCTATCCCTTTTTATCAGGACATTCTCGAAATTGTCTCACATGAGGCGATGGAAAGGTTTATGTGAAACCCATCCTTGTATTATTTTTAAGTGGGGCTATGAGCTGATAATGCAAAATGCGACATAGTAGTCCTATAAGAGGTTTCACATGTCGTTAAGTCATTAGCATATCACGGCAGTCTCCTAGCCGCCAGTGTGCCAGTAGACCTTTGTCCATATTAAATATTTGCCTCCTAGCCTACCGCCAGATTTCGATAACTCACCAGGAGCTTTTTATTACCCTTGTATATATTAGATATTATATATGGAAAAGACCCGGAGAAGACCACTGAATAGACGCATATGCTGTCTACCAATGGACACTTCGTATCGACATGAAACTACTCCACATTCGGTATGGTTCTACGTACTGTGGTTTATCCTAAACATGCTTCCATTCCCTTCATCCTACAGAAAATCCGTAAAATATATTATCATTCGCGGTGTCGCGAATTAGTCTTTTTTATGTGCATGAACAGCTTATCATCTGCATACAGCATAGGTACAACATGCATATTCAGTCAAAATCTGCCCCACTTACACTGGGGAAATTTCGGAAGATTGTCCCAGTAGTGATTACCGTAGGAGTGATCTACAGGGGAACGAGGCGATCTATACTCTGTATCTGCCAAGATAGCCCCGAATTTAGCTCAGCGCTTGATCTGAGACAGAGTCAACTGTCTTACATAGGTTTCTATTTAACGAAAATAAGTGTAGACAGCCACTTTTATGGCCTTATGATACCTTTTGAGTGGTCTTTTGAGTAGTCTTTTAAGTGGTCTTTTTAGTAGTCTTTCTAATAGCTTTCTTAGTGGGCTTCCTATTTTTTCTTAGGTATCTTTAAAATAGTTTTTCCCTTTCTAATCTATTTAAGATGGTAGAAAAAGCGGGAAAAGCATATTCTGTGTAAGCGACTTTTCTATATATAACTTCTGACTGATGATGATGATGAAAAGATGAAAAGATGATAAACGTATTTCATAAGCGGCCCCTCCTCGCCATGAGTAGTAGTGATCTCCCCCTCCTGATCAGCATAAGAAACCCTCGAACGTGTCCATATTTCAGCGACCTTTCCCGGTAGCTAAGGTGGCATATACTTAAAGGAATTCCTTCACGGACCACATTGTATAGATGTGAGTATGTGTAAGACCTTCCAACGATAGCTGAAGGAATATGTGGGCTGAATGCCAGTATACGCAGCGATATTGATGACTGAATCATCAACCAGTGATAAAGTTGCCAAGGGTATGCTAATTCAATTCTCTTGCGTTTTCATGACTGTAAAAAAGTATATTCCACTGACGCTGTCGAACGATGGTTTGATCATTTTAGCAACCCCATTAGTCGAGTGTTTAGTACATACGAGTCACCTCGGTTATAAAGCATAAAACACACTTGATATGGAGCTCAGAGCATCGATGGAAATATTTTTCGTGAAATTAACTCTTCGAATATTTATGGGCGAATCATGAGTTCGGGACCCCGAAGCTCTAACATAAAAGCAGCAACAGCTTTGAAAATATATCGGGGTCATCGATCCAAGAATCAATCATGATCTATGACTGGTAGACTATGCCTAGCGCTGTATTGATAGATAGTCCCGAGTATATAATAAATCCTACTTTATACTCCGGGACCAATACTGAGTTTTATCCTTCAAGTTACTTTTTAAATAAAGATGAGAACTACCGATAGCCTACAACCTTCTGATAGGTACCCCAAACGCCACTACATTACCAGCGTTGACTCGAGGGAAGGAAGTGTTATATTTGATGCGGCGGCCCCTGAGATTGTCCGCCAATCTTTCAGTATCTTCCCTTTATACAGTGTACGACAAGCACCAGCAGAGCTAGAGCAGGACGAAAATCTCGATCAATCCTTCCGTCAAGTGAAGCATGAGCCTTTCGCGGCTGATGAGAATGGTCAGCCCTTGGTCCAATTTGTCGAGGGTGTGCTTGACCCACTTTCCAGTACTGGCACGCATCGATCTTTAACGATTGATTTCATCACGATCACCCAGGGATCGGTCATCCTTGAGTTTGAGAACGGAGTCGAGAAAATAATTGGAACTGGTGTATGAGCTACCGTAACTTCCTATTGGGAAAAACAAAGCTAATAGCACCTCAGGAATCTGTCATTCAGCGTGCCACTGTACATCAATGGAAAAATCCATCCGATACAGACCCAGCTAGGTTTGTGGGTACTACGATACTATGCCATCCATTTAGTGTTAATGGCTGTCCTGTGACCACTAAAGCATGGTAAATACAAGACCTTTGCTGGATGCAGTATAACTCGTCGCTTTTAGTTCCATATCCTAGAAAGGAAAACCGTATGTATCAGCTATAAGATCATGATACATTCGGCATGTAGCTATAAAACACTGGTTCAATGCGTCTTGTGGCAGAGTTAATCTTAATATCACCATCTTTCTGAGAGGAAGCTGCTTTGAGCTGCGTAGTATCCCTAGACATACCACGGAAAATACAAGTAGGCAGCGTAAATCTATTGTGCTGAATTTATCTGACTTAGCCTCCTCGATGGAATTTTCCGAAGCTCGCATTGTGGAAAATCTGTAAAGGTAAACTTGTAACGCCTCCGAGCTAAGCTCCAATGCCTTGTATCGTGAAATCTGACAATATTGCCGGGATATTATATTCTCTTGTCGGTCAAATAATGATACAAGCCCTTTTTTAGGTCAGGACATTTTCAAAACGGTCTAGGTGTAGTAGTGCAGTAGGAAGAGCGCGAGCATCGTACCCTCAGTGAGCCTCAAAAAACGACGGCAAGCAAGAAAGTCACATAATTGAGAATGAGCCCACTTTGGATTTGATTCTCTCCCTTAAAACTCTTGGGGATACGGTGAATACGGCTTGATGAATCTTAAGAGAGACATGGAAATCGCTGACGCTAAATCGTACAAGCTGAAAATTGGAAAAACCAGGTAACACTCCAGCTGTCTACGAAGCTTGAAAGCCCAGCCTGGAATAATTTTCCACTCTTTCTGGGCTTCTGGTACCCCAATTGTCCTTCTGGCGTATTACGTTGAAGAACTAGCACAACGCCTTGTACGTCAGTATAGCAACGGTGACATGAAACATGGTTACCTCCATCATTGGAACATTTTAGTGTCGAACGGGGCTACTGCAAAGTTACGCAGATGTACTATGTCATATAAGGCGATGTAGGAAAACGACAGCGTTGTAGCAAAGAGTGTCAGCGATCTAAGATATTTCTTACCCATCGATGAAGATCTGAGTGGTGACACTTATAGGCTCCATCGCGGAATGAAGTAGCTCGTCATAGACGGTATTCATCATACGTATTGATTGAGTAGTAAAACAGTCAATCGGCCCTGGTTAGGATCCTAGACAGAGGCCTAGACGTACAGCCCCCCACCGTAACATTTGATGTTCGTTAGGATTTCGCTGCTCAAGGACGCTGATGCATAGCAGAACCAATTATATATAGACTGAACACGGCGATCAATACCGTTCTGGCTGTCCAAAGGATTATCTTGTGAAAGATGATAGGAGAGTCATGATGAAAGAACGCCCACTTCTATAGAGATTTATAGACATAAGCAATTCAATGTGGCAATGCGACTATCTAACCAAGGCTTAGGAGTATATTTAATAAATAGCCATAGGCCTGCTCTTTGGACTCATCTACGTTCAGAAATCACAAATACCCTTCTCAACCCATGTTGTATTTTGCCTCCTCGAAATGGATATCCAGACACAACCATCTCTACCAACATCCTGTGAGACTCCCTTTGTCAATCTAGATGTCGGCCAAACGAAACAAGAAAAGCCTCCTGGTATGTCATACTATAGAAAATGGCGTTACACCATTGATGCTTACAGTCCATACAAAGAGCCAAATGAATTTCCAGTCCTTGACTTTTCTCTATTTGATAAGCCAGGCGGCTTACAGCAACTTGCAAACAAGGCCCAGACAGCATTTCAAACTACAAGTATGTTTGAATACTAGTGCGGTTGGTCATACTTTAACAATACATTAGGTTTCTTCTACATTACCAACTTTGGACTAGATGAAGCTGAAGTCAAGGAACAATTTCGCCTTGGAAAAGAAATTCTCGAGCTACCGAGCGACATCAAGCAAAGATATCTGGCCAATCTAGCTGATGCCGATTACAATGGCTGGAGGCCGGCTGGGGCAATTGAACAATTCCCCGGCCTCCGGGACAACTGGGAAGCCTACCATATTTACAAGGACAACAGCCAAAACCAAAGAACCCACCCACCGCAAGTATTGGACAACAAAGAAATGATTTACAGATTTCATCGTCACTGCCACGAAAATATTGGATTCAAAATGTTCCGTATCATTGAAACCATTCTTGAAATTCCCGAAGGGACACTCGTTGACCCACACAAATACGACACAAACTGTTCCTCTTTCCTTCGCTACGGGAAATATCACCCACGTACCGCTGAAACCAATGAGAAATTCAATAACATGTATGTGAAAGACCATACCGACTTCGGTAGTCTCACATTTCTGTTTTCGAACCCCATCAGTGGATTGCAAGTTCGAGTTCCGGATGGCAGCTGGAAGGACATTCCTCATATTCCCGGAAGCTTGCTCGTCATCACGGCCGATATTCTGCAATTTTGGACTTACGGCTATATGCGCAGTACTGTCCACCGTGTCCTGGCACCATCTTCCGAGCAGCAAGGCATGAAAAGATACAATCTGATTTACTTCATGCGGCCTGCAGATCGTGCACTTTTGAACTCTATTCGAAGCCCACTATTAGAAAGACTTGGATTCAACGACAAGAATGAGAGTGAAGAACTTGTTCAAAGGCGAAGTTCAAGTGTGCAGGATTGGATTCTTAAGCAAACTTCGAAGAATTGGGTGCCTGCCTCTGACCAAAGGGAGACTGAGTCTGAGATTGATGCTCTCTTCAAAAGCAAAAATGCAGATCTATGAGTAAATGAGACTTCAGACATTAGGGATCCTGAGAATCACTGTGCCCGTCAACTATCTTTCTTTCGATTTCACATTCACTTGACTAGGGTCTAATTTCCACATTGTCATACGGGAATCATATTTCTGTTTCTTGCGTTTAAATTTGCCCTGATATTTATGACACGTTTTCCTCCTGGTCGTTATCTCCGGATATTGCATTGTCATCAGGTGTGCCTTTCCATTGGACGCACTGGGGTACGTCCTCATGGTGCGGTAGCATGTAGCAGCCAATGTGCTAGTAGACTTTTTGCTAGCAGTAATATCAGGCATTTACGTATTTTATCAAATTTTTCAAATACTAAGTGACATCATCTCCAAATTCCACCGGACCTAATATATCTAAGTCAAAGGCACAGTGGTTAAATAGATGGCCAATTCCAACCGAAAACCGCTTTCGAATTTTGCAAGTATTGAATTAATCGGGTTGGATGGATCACGGTCTATGATCTCTTGCAGGTTAGGAAAAGGTTTGATGACAGAGAAGATGATAATATTCTCTATCTAGAAGCAAGACTGAGAGAGAGAGAGAGAAGAGAAGGCAAGTATGAATAGGATACTGAAATCCTATTTATACTGCCAAACATGATGGCATATCAAACATGTTTGATCTATATGCCTGGATGCCTATGGCATCCAACAAGGTTCCATATAAGTGACTTCTTCATCTTCATCTTGGATTATGGGATGTTTCTCGAACAGATCTTCTGGGTGTGGTCGGAAATAGCGGGGGTATAGGAGGCTTTATAGAACCACACAGGCACGCACAAAGGCAACTGTGCAAAGTTTGATAATGTCAAATTATGCAAGACTTCGCATCAACATCCGATATAGTGTAAGTCGGGGTGACGATTGAAAGGCCACGATTCTGCGTGCTTATTTCAAACTAAGTCGTGGTGTTTCCATATGGCCAGCGGCAAGGTGTGGGAATTTTGGAACTACACCAAAAACGGTTTAGTTCATTATGCCTACGGGCTCTAGGAGTTACTACAACGTAGGCAGTATTCAGTACCTAGGCGGCTCTATCGTGAGCAAATCATGATACTTATCTCAGGTAGGATATAGATAAAAGGGGACTTCCATGCTCCGCGGAATGCTCTTTACTCTAATAGACTCCTTTTTATTATCTTGCTATAAAGATGCCCCGAAAGTCCCACCCGGATGACTTATTCGACTGGGATTTGTTTGTGAACGAAGAAGAACCGGAAGTCGAGGGAGATTTCGCTGGGGTAACGAAAGGCCACCTACGCCGTGTCCAATCCAACTTTGAACGGTCAGAGCTCCTTAGCTTTGAGACATAACAAAAATTAACAAAAGTAGATTTACACAAAATCTCAAGTCACCATGTCCTGAACATTGGCTAAAAAACTTGACCCTGATCGAAGGGTTTCTGCGTTGGTATCTAGGATCACACGACCTAGGCTACCAGTCTGCTTTCCTGACCTTTGTAGGATACTTCCGGATGTATTACAGCGAGAAGATAGAAAGCGAATTTCCCTTTAAGTTGGGACGATAACTCACAAAGGTTAGAACAAATCACTTTAATTGTACAGATTGCTAACTTAGTAAGATGGTGGCCGTAACACTGACTGCTGAGTACGATCTGGATAAAAGCGGGAAAACACAGCCACCCGTGAACATCGACGATGTGCTGTACATCATATATCACCTTCTCGCCTAGTCTGATATAGCGTTCCCTACATTCAGTACTGGCATGGATACCCCGAGAACTCCCCCTCCCCGCGGGATAGACAAGCATTTTGGCAATCAGGGACCGAGAAACAGGAGATACAAAGTATGAAGAAATGGAGAGAGTTGATTGATTCGAAGAAGAGGAGAGAAGATAGAAACTGCAACTTACCTAAATATGGATCGAAACTATGTAAAGGGTACGTGTGAGGTAGACGTGAGACACCACCACAACGGTTCTCGGCCACCTGGTGTGTCGCTTTCCAAAGTTTGTCGCGGCGCTCATTGCTTGAAAACATGCGGCTAAGGGTTTCCAGGAACTGAAGATGAATTTGAAAAGATTTACTACTTAGAAAATCCGCTTTAATCACCTGGACAATAAAGAGGCGGTGGTATTTATATGACTCAAATTACGCATAAGGTAATAGAGCGCTAGCAGCGATCTCGTAGAACAAATTTGTTACGCACACAACCCTATGACTATAATTGGGATAGAGGGTATAATAAAGCTGGGAAACTACTATAGAAGTATACACGTACACACTAGGGAAGTTAGATCAATATCACCGCGTATAAAGTTCGTAGGGTCCTTGGAGAGAGGCCTGCGAATGTTCTGACATATTCTGCGCGCTTTGTTTAGACTGAGAAGTCTGCTGGGCCCTTTACCCATATTCTGATGTTTGTGTTGAGTTTGGTGAAAGCGCAATGGCCTGATCTTAGGCCAACTCATGAGGCCTGCTAGGTTTGGTGTCTGGAGCTTCCACGGGCGTCGTAGTTATTATCGAGGGAGGAGGTTGCTGCGAAGACTGGTCTGCCACTGCACTGTCCTGACTGAAAGTCCGCTTATATTTTTGACGACGATGGGAGATAAACCAACAAGCTGCAGCAACGGCCGCCAAAGCAGCAATACCGCAGCCTGCGCCAATGCCAGCCTTGGCGCCGGTTGAGAGACCAGTGCTGCCGGTCGAGGTCGTCGAGTTGGTCGAGTTGGTCGTGGGAGAATTTTCGGATGCAAGTACCGTCCAAGAGTTTTCCCAAGTAGGTTCCCAGCTATTCCCAGAGGGTGTGATGGTGGTGTCACTATCGCTGATGTCGACAACATTCTGAATGTACGAATAGTCTGGTCCAGGAGCTTGGGCTAAAAACCAGGATTTCTTGGACCAATTGACGCCGACGAAAGCAGCCTGTAGAAAAGCTCGACCAAGAGCTGGAGTGGAGTTGGTGCCCATGCATGGGAAGTATTGTGTAGAAGCGGTCACCAAGGGGGCTTCCAGAGTAAGGTTCAGAAGAGCGAAAGGGACCTTGATGGTGATATCCTCGGTTTTAACGCCATTCTTGGTGAAGGTGAAACCTAGGTAGCTGGGTGATGTCACAATTTTGCATGACTCGTAGTCGGCTAGCCTCTGCAAAGGGTAAGAACTGACGAATCGCAGGACGAAATACGAGTATATGTCGGATGCCATAGGCATCCAGGCATATAGATCAAACATGTTTGATATGCCATCATGTTTGGCAGTATAAATAGGATCTCAGTATCCTATTCATACTTGCTTTCTCTTCTTCTCTCTCTCTCAGTCTAGCTTCTAGATAGAGAATATCATCATCATCTTCTCTGTCATCAGTATACCAGGGTCTGTGGGCTATTATACCAAGGGTGATAAGATCCCTACATTTTGGAAGGAAAATAAACGTATACCCATAGGCTTGGTTCCTGTTGTGGACAGAATTTGGTCGAAATGTGGGAATCGGAACTGGCAGATCTGTTTGATGATAAGCATGGCTTTGTTCGATTGATTGATCTTAACAAGGCTCTACCCGCTGCCCCTGCCTTTCCGCTGCCGATTACGTTGTCGATCGCGGTTAGACCGTCCAGTTATGGTATTTCGCCCCTAATTTGTGTTCGCTAAAGAAATCAGTGCAGTTTGGGGCCACGAAATGTGGGGCGGCTGGACCGAAATATCCACTCGCTTCGGAGCAGATTTGGGGTCTCCTGAGCCGCTTCGTGTGTGCTGTCCTTACCCCGGCGGTTAGCTTGCTGTCATTTTCAACCTGGCTAGGCTGACAGGTCCAAGACGAAGGTTTACTTCACTCACACCACGCCATAAGTAAAGATACGGCATTGATGGCTAATCGCTAGACTTTGCAAGCGATCACACCATGACCGTAACCAAAACCCTACGCGCTGCATTTGTCCTGATATCCATCACATTACTGCTAATCTTTCTTCGGATTCGCAGCAGTTTTGGCTATCTTAGGCCACAGGTTACTGTCCAATTTGGGAAAGAAGTTGACTGGACTCGCTTTGCATACACGCAATATGTCACCAACACTGATTATCTGTGCAACTCAGTCATGCTATTTGAGGCCCTGCATCGTCTCGACAGCAAACCCGACCGCTTAATGATGTACCCCGATCATTATTCGGTCGCTGATGACGATAATTCGAGGGAAGCGGAATTACTCCGCATCGCTCGGGATAAATACAAAGTCAAGCTCAAGCCCATTCAAGTTCAAAGCAGGAACGGCGGTGACCGTAAGTAATCTCTCCCTGCGGTATACACCACGGTCGCTTTGCCAGTACCTTCCTTGAAATGTCCCTCACAGCTTATATCAACCACAGAAACATGGGCAGAGAGCTATACGAAGCTTCTTGCTTTCAATCAAACACAATACGACAGGGTTCTGAGCCTAGACTCTGACTCCACTATCCTGCAAGTCTGTTCATCGCAATGTTGTCTCATCGTTCCCACTAACCCCCCTACAGGCTATGGATGAGCTGTTTCTGCTCCCACCTTGCCCCGTCGCAATGCCACGAGCCTACTGGCTTAATCCAGACGACCGAGTTCTAAGTTCGCAATTGGTTCTTGTCGAACCGTCCACGTTTGAATTCACTCGGGTTATGCAAGCAATTGCCAATGCAAGCTCTGACGACTATGACATGGAAATTGTCAACGATTTGTACAAAGACAGCGCTTTCGTCCTGCCACACCGTCGCTACGACCTTTTGACAGGGGAGTTCCGCGGCAAAGAACATGCTGGCTACCTTGGAAACCCGTTGGAAGAATGGGATCCCTATGCCATTCTCAACGAGACCAAGTTTCTCCATTTCTCTGACTGGCCTGTGCCCAAGGTTCGTGCCAGGATTCCAAAATCGCTTTCCAAAATCGACCCAAGATGCTAACTAGTGTGAATGATAGCCATGGATCGAAGCTCCCAAACACATTATTGATGAAAAGCAGCCCACCTGTGATTTCAACCCTCTGACCCAACAGGAAGATGACTGTCGCGCCTTGAACATTTGGTTGGGCATTTATGACGACTTTAAGACACGACGAAAGGTACGCCATATTGATTCCTCTGTCACAACCATCAGAACGTGTTGTTTTCTAACGAAAGCAATAGAATGTATGTAAAACCAGTGCAGCGTAAGCGTAATTAATCCACGAGATGTCTTCACTATCTCGGCATACTGCCACTGCATATGTAAGATGGGCCAGTGTATTCTCGCATCGTTGGATGCTAGACGTCTATCGATTTTTCCTTCTATTTCTCTATGGCGATGTACATATGCTGTTTTTATTTGCGAGCCATATATTTGAAGCATATACCCGGGCCCTCGAAGCTTACTCTGCAAGTGATGATCCAAAATATGCACCGATTGTAGGGAAGTCTGAAACTCCGTCTTGAACATGGTATGACTGAGTTCACAGTCACAAGGCTCTCAGGGGCTATACTGACGCTGATAACACTCTGGACGCCGTAATCAGCGTAGGCATTAGTTCAGTAGATTGAAGCATCGAACCAGGTCCGTTTTGCGCCGCCAGCTTCTAAATTGGTAAATGAGCTTGCAGAGCATCGTGCGAAAGGAAGATATCATCTTATTTGAATTAACAATCGTAATTCGCATCAATATATACCGATGTTTAAGCTTTGTGGTTAGCTGATTAAACCTTGAGATTTTGTGGTATATACATTGAGATAGCTAAACTCTGCGAAACAAAGATTACATTGGTAATCCTAATAACTTCCGAGATTTCATTATTAGTATCCGATAGCTTATCTTCGTATGTATCTCATGTTTAGTGGAACATGTATTTCAAGCCAAGATACGTATTTTAAAAGCTGTAACGATACTGTTCTGGACATCATACTGCATAGTATTTTTGGGTTAGGCGCCCCCCCCTTTAATTTCAAGGAGTATCATATGCACGTCTGCCTCCGTGGCAGCCTCCTATAGGCTTTCGACGATATAAGCGCCAACCCCCCAAATATCCAGTGACCAAGTTTAGAACGGTTCAATATATGTGAAACATATTGCCGCCGATTATGCATAGTGGCCGGGATTGCCCTGATTTATCTTTCCATTTTAATCAACTGATATCTGGTATGAGTACTTTATGACAATAGTTATGGGATAGGAAGATCGAGATCTGATCTCTTCCTTCGGCTAGAGACAGAGATTAAATATATTAAAAAAGTAAAGCTTATACTAGGGTATAAGAATTATTCTAATTATATAGAGACTACTATAGATCTCTTTTATCTTTATATAGTAAAAGGTAAGCTTTACTAAAATATCTGAGTATATAAGAAACTAGTATATATATAATATAACTTATATGACAACCTGGAAGGTGGATCTTTTCTACCGAAAAGATTCTGCCAGATATTTCTGTCTTAACAGATTTTATATTATTTGTATATTTAGTGGTGATAGGACCCTATAAAGGATCCTATCTTATAGTTTTCTTTCTTCCTTTTCCTTCTCTCTTTATACTTAGTATTCTCGTTAAAATATACTCTTTTATTTAAAGAACTAGCTAGTAATATAATACTAAGTACCACTTTTATCTCTAATAAAGTAGTATAACTATATAGACTATTATTATAATTATCTGTGAGAAAATGAGAGTTCAGACATTTGGGATCCTGGGAATCACTGTTCTCGTCAACTATCGTCTCTTATCATTGGACATGACTCCCAGGGGGTTGCTCGTGGGGGTTTTGTTTGACCAATATCAGACCTTATAATAAAGAATGTACATGAAACGAGGGCAAACGATAGTACTCGAAGGGAAGTACTTCTTCTTTTAATTTTCTCCGTTTTTATTTTCTTTCAAATTTCACTTCCCTTATTTGAAAATTCCATAGTAGCAACATTTTGAAGTTGAATCTCTTTCTGGATGATCTAGCCATCATCCACACTCAAACCCCAAATAGAGACAAGAAGAATTCGGTGCTGATAAGGATCGACCACATTATCCATATTTTTTATCTGATTATCAAAGGAGAAGTGAGAAACAAGATAATCTTTCCTTTCCTTATTCAGTTCAAAGCCACGCGATCTCGAACAACATCTGCATTCTAGAGTGCAGTGTCCCACACCAAGCGCCCCGGCTGAACTACTCGCACGTTGAGCATCCGAACAACATCCACAATCACGACCACAACACCCACCTCTAGACTTGCAGTCTTCAACAAGAATTGGATGCATATACCACAAAGGATTGGATCTCCATAACTCAAATGCCCGTTTTAAGGGCCCGGAATTACCAATGATCCAGCCACGGATGAACCACCAGACTCGTGTCCGCATCCAATTATCTTGGTAGAGTGTGCTCATCTCGTCCTCAAAGCTTGGAATGCCAGTGCCCCAGAAAGACGGTTTTTCTTTCACTTTGTGCCGTAAATCAATCTCCTTTTGACAATTCCTTCGCAGCCTTTCTTCGCAGTAGAGTAGGTCAATAAAGGCGTCTTCATCATGCACCTTTGACTCTTTTTGGTAAAGATTGTATCGAAACACCTGGAGATTCCTGATACACCCTTCTCGCTCAAGACGAGCTTCTTCTGGTGTTTTGTCCCCTGGTAAAGATAGCATCTTGGGCTCCGACAGCTCGTCGCCCTTTTCAGAGCTGGAGAGGGTATGCGTACAATCAGAACAGGCCATGGCAGCGCAAGATCGTCCGGCGGGTCGAACTAGAAAGATTTGAATATTCAAAAGCCTTGAATTCTCGTCGACAGGCGTCAAAAATCTGTAAGATTCCAAAATAAGGCGAAATGGCGAGTCGTCTTGAACGGAAACCCACGGCCAGCTCAATATACGCCTCATTATGACGCCACACGATTCTTGAGAACTTTATTCTAAAAGTCCGGCGATAGGTATAGGTTTCAAACATTCATTGATACCTAGTCGAGTATCCTAATGCTAAGCTTGCTTTACGGCATGAGTACCTTGAAACAAGTTCGCTAGTCTGTATCCGCTCGACAGGAAACTCCTGGCGAAGATATCCAACTCTATAGATAGGCCTAGCTATCTTAATTTCGAGTCTCCTTAGTAGCTATCAGTGACTACTATAAACATAATATCTCAACTGGCCTGACAGCCTAATAGTTTGAAAAGAACTTCGGGAATTTTGATGATATAGTCCGAAAGGTAACTACTATTTAGTATGTTTTACTATTATCACTTCAGTTAGAAATCTCCATCGAAATCACCCAAATTCCTCCATTCAGGGAAGCATACCAACCGATAACCGCTTTCGATTTTTGCAAATATTGAATTAATCGGGTTGGATGGATCACGTTCTATGATCTCTTGCAGGGTAGGAAAAGGTTCCATGTAAGCGGCTTCTTCATCTTCATCTTGGGTTATGGGATGTTTTTCGAGCAGATCTTCTGAGTGTGGTCGGAAATAGCAGGGGTCAATCTTGAGCTCGTTTCCAGAACCCAGGGAGACTGGGATGGTCTGTATATCGAGCCATTCAAGGTCGTGCGGAAAAAGAAAGAGATCTTCGAAATCCCGAAGTCGTATAAATCAATCTGCCCTAAGTGCTTTCCAAAGATATAGCGCTGTATCGGAAAGCTTAGTTTATTAGATCGTGGACGATGTAAAAGAAATTACTATACATGTGTAATCATGAAAATAGAAGTAATACAACCTAATTTGTCTTACTTTAGCGGCGACGCTCAGCGATTTTATTTAATAGTAAAAACACCTTACTATACAACCGGCGGTACGAAAGAGATAAAAAGTAGCGTACGAATATAAGATATTCGGGGAAAGTTACAAAATAATGAACCTCGAGTATGCTTAAATGGTGTAGAGGGTTCTATAGAACCAGACAGGCACACACAAAGCCAATTTGCAAAGTTGATATAGTCAATAATGGGTCAGACATTCATCCAAGATCCGATATGGTGTAGTGGCTAACATCGCCGTCTCTCACACGGCAGCCGGGGGTTCGATTCCCCCTATCGGAGTTTCTTTTTTATTGTCTTATTTTTCTTTTCTTTTTTTTTCGCAACTACTCCGTACTCTCAAATGTCTTTACGATTTTTTAATGCCTGTCCAACTATCGCTATCATGTACATTGAATAAGATAACTCTGGTGGAATCGATGAGTCACAGTGCATAGTTTCTCAAGCCCTCGTCGTACTCTGACTCACTATTAGTGGGATTCTTATTGCTTTGGCCTATCACAAAAAGTCAGGCACTGCCATTCCTTAAACACTGCTTTATGACTGAATGTGAATCATTCCAGGATTACATCTCCAGCCGCGAGAGGGCTGAGTCTTGCAAAAGTGAAATTCAGATGATAAATCATGTGTCCAGACTATGCCACCAGGATGATATATATATTTCATCCGGTTTCCTGCACGGGTGCAGTGAAAACCAACTCGAAAACCCTGATATTCTTGAACTCTTAGAGATGATGGTTTCGAATAATCCCGAAAAGACGGATGTCAATAAACTTATGGAGAAAGAGGTATACGCATTCCAATCAGAGCCAACATGCGAGCCCACAAAGCAGGATCAGCGAAGTGCGTCGGTTGAATATGACCCCAAGGCCGGTGAAAACAGACTACGTCCAGCAGGAGGTAGGTAGTTTGGTTAAAAAATGTATCCATGACAAATCTGACAAGTCTCAGATATTATCAACCGCATTACTTGGGATTCGGCATTTGAATGCAACAACTATGTTATTGGATTCGTGGACCGATTTGAAGGACGATTGGAAATTCCCATGGGCAGTTGGAAGAAGGAGACCACCGATGAGGAATTCATCCCACAGCATCGGGTCTTATATATCAGACATATCGATGGGGAGATCGTTTGGGATCGAAGGAGACGTATTGACAAAATCTTCTTGAGTGGAAACTCGGCGTTCAAAGAATTGGCCTTTCTTGCCTAAATGTACCGACTGTTTTGTTTACTTTGTCGAGCGTTGTGCCTTCCACCAGAAGGTCCCGAGGTCAACCTTCCCGGAAGTCTTTTTCTCTGTCATCTTTCACTCTCATCACATACTCAATTGACACCACCAATGGACCCTTGTAAGAAGAAACCGTCTTTACCTCGCTTGACCACCAATGTTCCCCTATCACAGAAACCACCCAATGAATCATGCAATGCTCTATCAAAAACCCTCCCAGATACCAACGCACCGCCGATCATCATGCCCGAGAGGCCGTCGAGAACTTCATCGATGTTTCAGGAGGACAAGCCTGATGAGAACATCGTGCCTGGGAGGCCTTTTGCGTCAGAAAGCATGCCTCTCTATGTTTCGCAGCAGAGTGTGGACGATTCCCCGTTAACCAAGGTGAAGAAGTTGTACTACGAAGATGCATTCACAGCCCGTGGATCACACAACTCGCCCAAGGACCGTGTCAATCATGAATCTGTTGTCGTAGTTGAGCTCAAGACCAACATAAAGGTTTGTGATGCACTGACAACTGCTCGGTGATTGCTATCTGCTAACACTAACTAGGCAAAGGATGATGCATCCAAGTTACTGTCGGATTTCGCCCACTGCCTAGCCCAGGTCTACCAGCGTCCGGAAACATCAATGCTAGTTACCATAGACCAGAACGCTGACTTGATCTTTGGAAATACCTCCGGCTCGGCGTACCTATTGAAGATTACCGCTCTCTCGAGTTTGATCGGACCGCTGACCAATATTCGCAACACGGGCCTGATCCAATCAACTATCCAAGAAATGTTTGGAATTGCACCTGACAAAGGAGTAGTGATCTACAATCCAGCAAGTGAAGACAATCTTGCAACCAATGGAACGACCGCCAAAAGTGAGATCGACCGCCTCGAACGCATGGATTCTGGGAATAGCCCCTCGATCTTCAAGTCTATCTCGCGATCGATGAGCCGTCGCATGAAATCAAGCAGCGGCAATAGTGTTCCGGTTTCGCTTACTCCAGTCATGAATCCTGATGTCACAACTCCTACCTCGATGTCTCCCATCGCTCCAGGTCAGCTCCATCCGCCGAGGCCACATCAAGCAGACAATAAAAAGTCGCTAGACTCACCAAAGAACGAAAAAGTGCAGCAGATTTTATCCAGGGACGAAAAGCCCGAACGAACCTTGAAGAAAAGAGAAAGCTTGAAGAGCTTTGTTAACCGTCGTCTGGACGAATTGGGCGAGCTGACCACAATGAAACCATTCACAGCCGCAAAGGGAAAGAAGGATTGAGTTCTGATTGGGAAAAGAAAGGATGCCTGAGCAAATCGAGGGATGTGTTGAATCGCATTGGAGTATCTTCTTAACAGGGCTTTGGAATATGCCTTCACTCTATCAAAACTTTCAGTCTATATGGTTATCCCATGCCGCCTTGGCTACAGTGCGCTGAGTCTTCCAATCAAGTTAAACTAGACTCTGTCCAATTTCAATCTTTTTACCCTCTATATATCCTTTTTTTTTGGAGCTGTTAGAAATATGTTGCCTTGCGGACATGTAAAACACAGTTCCGACGATAAACACCCCAATATCTTGGTGCCATGCCTTTTTAGAATCTGTTCCCTTTGCTGTTTTCACTTTCCACCAAGCCTTCGTAGGGAGTATGATCAAATTTTAGCTTCTTCGTTTGCTCTCTCCATCCACAACGATACCATGTCTGACGCAAGTGATGACCAGGCTGCGGCGATCGAACACACCGATAGCGATGAGTCGTTAATCTTGATGACCTCGTCGCCGCCTGCTGTAGCCGACTTTGTCCAGGAGACCCCCGGCGACCTATTCGACGCCCCCAACGGCGCTGCTCTTATTCGTGAGAACCCCTCATCTAGCTACCCATTGTTCCACTTGAATTCATTTCTAACCCAGCCTATCTAGATGCGTGCAACTGCCAAGGCATCTGGGGTGCAGGCATTGCCCGTGCATTTCATGAGCGGGTTAGTCAACCAATATATCACCCACTGACGCGACAAGCTAGAACTAATAAAACGATGGCTCTATAGTATCCCGCCGCTTACGAAATATATCGCAAGCACTGTCTCAATTACCGCGATCACCCAGTCACCGACGTGATCACCGATCTACGCGATGAGGACTCGCAGCCTTCTCTCGTTGTTCACCGTCCCCTCGGCACCGCACTCATGATCCCACCCCAGCAGAGTGACTTCCTACTACACCGCCGTCGCCATTGGATAATTTGTCTCTTCACTTCGGAGCATTATGGCAGCCGCGTGGATCCAGAATACATGGTTGTCAATAATACTTTTGCTGCCCTACAACACCTGAGTGAACAACTACGAGTTTCTCTCCATCAGGGCTCTGAAAGCAGGAATGAGCGACCACAGAGGCTCTACTCCAATCGATTCTGCACTGGTTTGTTCAAAGTTCCCTGGGACCGCATTCGTAAGTTGATCGATACGGTCGGTCTGCACATCAATGTGTACCACCCCTTTGAGGCCAGTAATCGCCGCGCTCGTCCTGTTCGCGTGGTGCGTCCCAGCGAGATCGACTAGGATCAAGAAAGTCAGGTCATCTCCTTCCTGCCCGCGAGCAAGGTTTTCGGCTAGCGGGCTTCTGCCGGGTGTGTTGAGGGAGGGGAAAGAGGGTTTGACGACTCACTTTCATTTGACGAGGATTTTCGAGGCCAATAGCCATGGAAAGCATGTACTTAACTTTGATACACGAACAGAACAAAAAAGGGAAAGGTAAAAGAAAATAAATCGCCTGGACAAGGCCGTCACAACTAGAAAAGTAGGGCGTCCCCTCATCACCTGACAGCGCGTACTGTACTCGCGCCCGCGTTGTCTTCCGATTTCTCCACCATTCACCAAACCATACTTATTCCTACCACATTACCCATACACCGACCAGGACTATCTAGGACACCAGTATGGCCGGTGAACCTCAGCCGGCTCAAAAGCGCCCACGTCTCCCCTTCAAACCTCCCAGTCGCACGACTAGCGCAGGACCATCAAGCTCCGCGTCAAAGGGCAAAGGAAAAGCGAAACAGACTAGCACAAAAGCCTCTGCACCCACAGTTGTGCCAAAAACAACAAAACGCAACCCCACAGCTCAAAGCAAATTCATAATCATAGGGAAACGTTCCCGACCCGAGTCTCCGGCACCCGATGCCAATCCCGGCTCCGAATCTGAATCCGACTCCAATGAATCGAGTCGCAGCCGTTCGCGATCGATCTCTCAGGAGCCAGACTACATTCTTGCTGAAATTACAACTACACATCAACCAGAGGACGTGACATCCAGCGAACCCAAAATACCCTCTAAACTGCTTACGCGCTTGCTGCATCAGCATTTCCAGAATGAGAAGACCAAGGTTGCAAAAGATGCTAATAATGTTGTCGCGAAGTATGTGGATGTTTTTGTGAGGGAAGCCATAGCCAGAGCTGCTTATGAGAGGGCCGAGTCAGATGGAAATACCGGAGGCAGAGGTCTTGGGGACGGGTTCCTCGAGGTATGTCTCCATTCTTTTATGCCCCAACTGGCTATGCTTGGGTATTCTGATTGGTGATATAGGTCGAAGATCTTGAGAAAATGGCGCCGCAGCTCACGATGGATTTCTAGCTTCGGCATCTCTCCTACGAAGGGGTCATGGCATTGGTTCATTTCATCATACATTAGGGCTTATTATTTATTGTTCAAGATACCACGGAATCAGCAGCACGCGTGCAACACGTTTAATACAAAAAAAACATCTTCAAAGGCAAGAGGCCTGGAAGAGTGAAATATCCCTTGGGTTCACATACTCGGGTGGCTTTCCGACGGTATGATCCTCAATAAAAGGCGGCACTGCTCCAAAGCCATTGGCATTGTGAAACAGAGAAATATCTCTGTTGACTCTTTTTGACAACCATGCATTCGCCACATAGGCTGTGTTCTTTTTGCTGAGATGAACAACAGCAACAGGAAGCTTGTTCTGCTCGGGTAGGTGGCCAAGCTTGGGGTCGTAGGTTGTGTGACAGACATCGAAGACGAAGAATACCCGCGTTCGCCACTTTTGAGCTGCCACTAGCTTTGTTGTTGGGCGACTCTCTTGTGGGATATAGAGATGACTTGCTTTGAGGAGGCGGATAGCTTTGGGTAGGAGGGCTTCTGGGTTGTTTTGTGCTTTTGATATTTGAGAACTCCGATGAGATACGATGACTAGGACTCGGAGGGGGTTTCCTTGAGACATGGTGGACTGTAGATGTGAGGACTAGTCCCTTAAGAGGGGTTCAAGAACGGGCTCTTACCAGGATAGACAAGACGGAATGTTTTGGATTGTCTCTACGCCTTGTCTGATTTTGCTAACGATTACACTGCTACGAGGATCTCTCAGCGTTCTCGAGTCGAGTTTAAATATTTTTTTTCTACTGGTATCATGAGGCACATGAGGGCAAAGTTCGGTGTCTAACCTGGACTAGATGAGAACCTTCCAATGACCCGATAGTCTGGTCGTTCAAACTGGAACATTCGCCAGGGGATGATCATCTGCGACATTGCACAGAAACCATATGTAATGCTGACAGCCATGCACAAGGAAGAGACAAGGTTGCTTCGGCTGGACATCAACGCTGCCGGGTACCTGGTGACTGGGTTAAGTCGGGTTAGGATTCATGTGTCGGTCTGACATCAAATTATGTACAACATAGCAGGCCCACAGTATGCATCGGAGATGATAAAATAGAAGCCAGAGGATAAAAGAATTCAACGAAAGCAGGATGTCACCAAAAATGTTGTACTTGATCGCCGGAAGGCGGTGGCTAGTGGATTTTCCCCCCCACGCGTGTTTTGGTTCTTCAACGCGTCAAGCCCAGCTCAGAGGACCAATCTTTTTGCGATGGATGATGCGACAACCTCCTTGCTCACTGAGCACTTCAGTTACACACCCTTGGTACGTAGATCAACACCGATATGTATTGGCTCGCGCTGCACGCGCGATTTGCGACCTGTGGACCCACCGTTTGCTAGGAATATCGCTGACAGCTCCCTAGTCTCTCATAGATGACATTATCAACTCGATTAACAACCTGATCTACCAAGCTATTTCCAGCTTGGAGGCCGGACTTCTCAATACGCCCCCTGAACGGCTCGGTTTCTCTCATGACAGCAGTGGTCCCAGCATCGCGGAAACGGACGAGGATGGCAATGTGGTCTATCCTGAGGCGAAGCTAGAGATTGAAAATGGATTGCACCAACTCGAGACTCTGCTAGAGGCCAATGTTGATAAGGCATTCGACAAATTCGAAATTTATGTGCTGCGCAACATTCTCACGGTGCCCGCAGACTTGCTCTCTTGGGTACGGTTGAAGCACTACGAGGTATGGACATTCACAGGTTTCCAAATATCAACATGCTTGAGATTTTGTAGTATGGAGTACACTAATCCGCATTGTACTAGGGTCTATCTTTCGGGTCTTCGCCAGACACGCCGACGCCAGAAACCATACATGCGCAACGCAAGAAGTTGTTCGAGACGAAGAAACTAAATCGGTCGCTCAAAGAAGAACGCGCCCGAAACGACGCAGTTATCTCACAACTACAATCTATCCTATCGACAGTTGAAACAGCGAAGGCAGATGGTGTGTCTATGACGGCCGAAAATAAACCAGTTGATTTGTCCTTCTTGACCTCTACCCCATCTGCACGCCAGCTTCGTGTTGGTGTCGACGCTGGGCCGAATGCTAAACCCACGCCCCTGACAACCAACACTACGTTTATTCTCTCGCAGCTGCCAGCGTTGCAGATGACACTTGAGCAGCTTCGGCCAAAATTGGCAGCTCTGCCCAATGCAACAGTGCCAATGGAAGCCAGGTCCAAAAGAGACGAGAGAAAGGAATACATCGAGAGCAGAATTCGACTCCATCTTGAGCGGGCTGGCCAGCTTGCTATGGGTGACGAGGGCAATCCAGTGGTCGCAGGTCGCAGAATCGACATCAGGGAGGCCCACGCCCTTGAAAGCGTCGCAAACATGCTTACGCAAGACAAGTCTGTGTAAGAGGATATGCATTTGAAGACTTTTTGGTTCTACGACTCTATTATTGGATATGTGCTGGTCGCCTTACTACTAAGACCAAGTGATACTCCATGTCTCCTGGGTCTTTCTGAAGGGGACCACGTCAATCTTGTCTGATTGGAGGATCTCCGAGATCTTCTCGCCCTTCCTCTCGATGGTGATGAATTCCTTCTGCTCCTCCGGGAGCCCATAGAAGGTGCGTCCGAACTTGCTCATGAAATTTTCGACAACCGCTGGCGTGATCTCGTCCTCCTTGAGGACACCGTTATCGCAGGCCTGCTCAAAGGCATCAATCACAACCTGAGTGGTGTATGGTTGGGTGAAGACGCCCGCAGCAATCTTCTCCCCACCGCGCTTGGATGCTGCCGGGTGCGGGGCGCTGTCCGAGCCGAAGAAGAACTTTGGGTTTCCTGAGACAGCAGCACGGAGAAGGGCGTCACGGTCGGCTGGAGTCTTAGCAACGGGCTTGCAGAAGCAGAATGGGTCGCCAGCCCACGAGTCGATGATAATGGATAGGTGATGAGCAGTGATGGTACCAGAAACCGTGGGACCGCACGACTTCACAGCCTCCACAGCCGCAGCAGTGGTACAGTGCTCCAAAATGATGCGCAGCTTAGGGAACTTGGAGTGCAGCTCAAAGAGCTTAGGAAGGAAGCGCTCTTCCGCAGACAACACCGTCACATCGCCTCCGGAGGGACTTTCTCCATGCAGGTTCAGAATCATGTCTTGTCGCTCCATCTCTTCAAAAACGGGGTAGAACTGCGTGTAGTCGACCACTCCCGCGGAGGAGTTGGTCGTCACACCGGCCGGATAACTCTTAACACCAACGATGCCGCGCTTCTTAGCTTCGATGATGGTCTCCGGGGTCACGGACTCGTGGAGGTACAGCGACATGAGGTAGTTAACATTCGGCTCGAGGGCTTGGAGGCGCTTCTGGTAGTCCAGAGCACGGTCGACGGTCGTGATAGGTGGGACAAGGTTGGGCTATCGAGTATATTAGATTTAGCTCAACGAACAGCATTTGTTCCCATCCTGGAAAATTTTCCTTACCATAACGTAGACGGTGTTCACACCACCCTGTCGGATCGTGGGAGTCACCAACTCCATCATTGGACCTTCACGGAGATGGACTATGCTTTGGTTAGCTGCATCTCAACCCTCAATCCCTAGGATTGCTTAGTACCATGGAAGTCGGCCGATGCGGGGAGCTTTACTCCCTGCAGCTTCGAGAGAGTCATGATTTGAAATTGAACTTCAAGCCAAGTTGCAAAAGCTATGATAGATGTTCAAATTAAGAAAGTCGATCACTTTTGCCCCGCCATTTCGCAAAAGATTCTGCCGATGGCGGTGGCAACGGTTCCAGTTGTACTTCCCCGAGGTCTTGACTTCTGGGAATTCTCGAAAATGGGAGATTATTTCGACATTGAAGAGTCAGAAGATGTGTGACCATCTAATTGTCAATCGAAAGTCCAACCTAATATGCCCAAATATCTTTCATCTACCGAGTGCGCAGTAAAACACCCCTGAATACGAAGCGCTATGCACAATCGCACATCTGGGGTAGTATCAGTACTCGGGGAGAAACATTGATATACAAGGACCAAGGCCTAGACCCATCCAGGAGATACGAGAATGTCTCGAACAAGCAAGGCCAAGATGTGTGTTCCTTGCCGCTGGCACTCACAATCCTCGGCGCTTCGCCGTTACCTCTCATAGGTCACGGCCACGGGAAAATTAGATTTTCTCAGAGACAAATGAGACCTGTTCCTCAACCACAATCTCACTGCCAATCCCGCTCAGACCCTATATTTGGGACTACTAGGCGCTTTGTTGGTGCTTAGCCACTGAGGTGTCTGCCAAGTCTGCATGCTGGCGCCCGGACAATTATCCTTCGGGGATGTACAAGTCCCAGTTGCAAGGCCAATATTTACAGGGCTAGACACTCCTGCGAATCTCACTAAGAGCCCAGGACCAATTAGAGCGGACGGTTTCCCGTCGAGGCGCTCTGCATGGCTTTATGCAGTAATACGGGCTGAATGTCGTCTTCGAAGTACGCGCCCATCCTATAGTTAGGCTATTTCTGTGATAGTATAGCGCCCACTAGATTAGTGCCCGGATCAATCGCAGGCCTGTGTCCTACATATATACATATCCCATATATCCTTCAAATAATTACCTGAAGCAGTTGTGGAATATAGTCACTGAACATCGTACCTGACTTTGCTTTTTTTGTTTATCATATCGCCCCTGAGGGGTTCTTCCTTCTTTGATATCAATTCCTATCTAGAAGTATCCTTGCCGGCAAGGTGATCTTTGACAGTTACACACTCTCCTTTGAAACCCTCTCTACTGTCTCACGAGACCCAACGACACTCCTTCATCATGACCTCAAACTCGTCCCTCGCCGGATCAGGCACTGCTTATTCTTCAGACATGGAGGAATCGAACTTTCTCAAACGCAATCGTATTATCCACTTTGCACGACTCGGTCTATCTTTCCTGACTTTCGGCATTGCTATTGCCGTTGTCGCATGCGAAGCTCCACCATTGCGACATTATAAGCACACCTCGCAATGGGCGAGTGCTGGTCTCGCACTGTGGCCGTTGAACTTCGACCTTCGTCCAACAACAGCCGCCATTGCGTGCGGTTGTATAATCTCCATCTTGAACTTGGTATACATTGCTGCTGCACTCCTACCATCTGTGAGTCTTAACCCCCTTCCCACTGTGTGACAACTCTTGGTAGCATCTATTAACACCCATTCAGCCACATTCCCGTATCAAGCCACTGAATATCTACGCCTCAGCTTCAGCAGTTGCAGGCTTCTTGACCGCTCTGGTCGGGATCCTGTTCATAGTCTATCTCCCTTCCTCGGATTATCCAGCAGGGTTTAGCAAGAATGAAACCCTCCACACCTGGACCTGCAAGTGGAAGACTGGGGCAAGCAGCATTAAGGCACCCTACCACTTTGACCGTGACTGCATCAATACTCGTGCGGGCTTTGTGTTGCTGTGTGTACTTGTTGGAATGGAGGTTTTGATGGGACTCGTTGCTGCTGCTGGCACGTGGTACCAGCGGGATGTTGCTCGTCGTCGGGCGGCGCAATTACAACTCGAGAAGTTGGAAATTTCCACTAAGCAGGTGTATCGCAATTGATGAGCGAATGGCCCTGGGAGGCTTAGGTGTTGTGTAAGCGTGGCGTTGGTTCGTTGTCTTTTTACATGAATGTATGGTTATTCTGTTGAATGGAAAGGATGTTTTCATGGTTATCTATGCTGGACATTGACGTGTGATGAGTTCAATAGTTTTGGTACAGCCTTACCCTCTTCCTTCCTTTGGTTATTTACGTATGTGACATTATACGACTTGTGTTCTATAACTTGATTAAAATCGCTTCGACAATCGCTTCTTCCGGGGCGGTCTCAAAATGCAGCTCCTACTCCTAAAACCACAAGAGCCATCCAGCTTCCAGCATTATTCGCAACTGCAGCCCCCTCTGATGGAGTCGTTGACTGTTCCTTCCCAATGAAGGATTTGGTCGGTCCGGCAGTGGTCGACGAGCTACCACTGGTTGTTAGACTGACATCTGCGCGGGTCGGTTGAGCAGCATTGGACCCGGGGAGGGTCCATGAGGGTGCGACGGTGGTTTCTCCTTGGTCGTATGCGTTTGCGGTGGCGCAGTCATTTACGCTGAGTTGTCTGGCCGCTGACGACTCTGGGTCATTCTCGGAGCAGTTGACATAACAGCTGCTCAGGTAGATCAGCACCGTGATGTTGTTGGTATGAGATAGCACCTTGAGGGCAACAGTCAGACAGGTGGTCTACTCACTTGGCAATATTTGCGGCGCCTGAGCACTTGCAGTCCCAATCACCCGCAGAACACTTTGCGAGCCCACGCTTCATGATCGCAACGCATGAATCTACAACTCTGTTGATTATGAGAAAGGAATTCTAAATGACAGAATATGGGTTTCTGGAAGCTTACTTTTGGGAAGCGCAGTTCGAATTGCCGTTGGTGCTTGGGGATGTGGGTGCTGCATCTTGAGCAGCGATGAGGGTAGCCGATACAGCAAGTAGCATAGAAAGATGAGTAGTAAAGAGACGCATACTGACATTCGAGAAAGCCCAAAACGAAGAAAACGATGTGCTAAAATGAAAATGATATGCGCGCTGAGAGGAATTGATCAGATGTGAGATAAAGTTAGAGCAGATTTACTCGAGAGATTCTAAGACTATAGTGGGCATTTGACAAGCTGCATTTTGAATGTTACATCCATCTTAAAAGGCACTGGAACCATTGAGTTCTCTTTCAAGTTCCATGTCTATTCCCGGCAGATTTGGCAGGAGTCCGAAGAAAGCGCTCCCACGTGAAGATGTATTCCAGACTCCACATTCTTGGCCAGGCATTATCTAGTGTTCACACTATCTCTGAGGAAGCTGCATGGATTCAAGACGGTGATTGAAGAATTTGACTATGAAAAATGGTTGCTTGCGTGTGCCGAGTTGGTATCTCGCCCGACAAATTCAGGTGAAGATGGAAGCGGTTCTCTTTCTGCTCCAGCCAAGCTTGTGAGGTACCATGGGTGCCGATGAGGTAGTTCTTCCACATCACGACTCTCGCTTGGCGTCGCATTCCAGAAATCGGGGTTACATTCTTCAATCGATGTTCCTGCTTCCAAGGTTGCGTTGGCCAATGATGCATGACCAGAGCCGCATTAAGGACATTCAAGTCTCCACTACTATCATTTACACATTCCAGGCTTTTCTTTGCGACTGATTACATACAACTGCCTGTAACCACAGACTGGTGCTTTGATGGTCGGGTCACTTTGAATTCTAGTATATAAAAAGCTATCTAAAGAGTGCCTTCTTATCTTAGAATCTCCACGAAAAGGTAGCCAGCGCCTCGATTTTGACCTCTATGGGTTATTGATAAGGTGACCGTAAATCCCGTCTGCACTTGGGCACATCGATAGCCAAGGGTCTGCCCACAACCGAGTCCTTTCTGCCTCGGTGAACTTGCCAGCTCGAGGCCTTACTTTGGTCGGCAATTATAATGGCCTAAGTGATGCCAAAATCGGCACGCCTTTCGATATGGAGGCTGCCAATACATCGGCGTTGTACTACGACCTCCCGATGATCGTATGAAGTTCAACCTTTGAATTTTAGATACATGAAGGGGACACTCTAAGTACGTAAGTTAATCTTGAACAGAATCTGATCGGTGGGAGTCGAGATTGATTCAAGAAGTGAAGATTGATGTTTTGATATTGGATATATATCTGGATTTATTGAGAAACACCACTACTTTCTCGTGAACCTCTGTAATTTAAAAAGGTTCTTGATCAACGCATTTTCTTATATATTTCTACGTGATACAGAGAGACTGCTAGTGACTGATCATAAACCATTCAATTTAATAAAATATTACCTTGAGGATTAGGGTAGGAAACGGACGTAAAACAGAGGTAATTTATTAATCCCAACAAGGGGGTTCAACGTACCTTGGCATCCAAATTCACAGTATTTTTATATATTGTCTAGGGCCCATTTAGGCCCCTATTAACCCACAATGGGCTCGAGGTATAAGCCTATAGTCTATCGATGGGCCCCAGGACTGGGCCCAGAGCCCAACCGATTTGCGGGTTTATTTGGGCTAGGCTTTGGGCTTCTTGGGCTCTGCGGAGGTCTACGAGCCCTTCGAGGGTGTCTGGGAAAGAAACCTAGATGCCTGTCCAAATGTTTCCAGATCTTGCTCTAGAACATCAAACAAGAAGTGGTAGGAGATTTCATTGGAATTCCGAAAAATCACGTATCAAAAATACGACAAAACTCCTTGTCATCTTGCCTTTGAGGAATCTATGCCATGATGTTGATTTCGGAGATGATACATTAGGATACCGCCTTCGGCAGAAATTCGGCCTTGTTGCGCCTTGCCTTCTATGTTGTACATCTCTTGTTTAGCCCCGACACGAGAAAACAAAATCATTCACCATGACAGAATCTACTCTGCCATCAAATCAAGATCTTGATGAGGAGCCTTATGACTCCGCCGAAGACGAAGACTTTGAGCTAGACGCTGCACCGGACGACTCCGACTTATCTTCCGATGCCGATGAGGCCGAAGAACCCGCAAAGAAGAAGCGAAAGACAGACACAAAAGCTCAGATACCCAAAGATGCAGAACTTGACTCTGGAGATGAAGCTACCATCAGGAAAGCGAGAGAGAAGAAAGGAAAAAAGACCAAGGGAAAGAAGCCCAAGGGTAAACACGCGCCTGATAGTGACGATGACGATGGCGACATTGATATCGACGACGATGAAGGAGGCACTGGGGGGTTCGTACGAACTCGCGCAATGAAACAGCAGATGTAAGCTTTCTGTTATAGTCTATGTACCTGACTTATCATCGGGTTCTAATAACGTTTCCCGAGCAGACAGGAAGAAGAGCGCAAACCGTTGGCCAAAATCGATGGTGCGACCGTCGATGTGGACGCCCTGTGGGAGCAGATGAATGCACCTCAAGGCCAAACCAACCTGCAGCCACCCCCGATCCAGCCGCTAGCCGAATCCACCCCCGCCCCCGAACCGACAGGCGAAACGAAAGCACAGGACAAGGGTGCTAAAGATGCGGAACACAAAATAGACCCTGGCATGCACGCTGATCAGATGATCAAGATCAAGCGCACCTACAAATTTGCCGGAGAATGGATCACCGAGGAGAAGGTCGTACCCAAAAATTCAGCCGAGGCTAAGGCGTTTCTGTCGAGTGGAGAGAATGTCGAATATACCGACGAGACTGCCATAAATGCAGCTCATAACCTGCGCCGACCGCTTCGCAAGATTTCGCGATTCGACCCCAACCCCACTGGTACAATCAAGAAAAGCTGGGAGAAACAACTTGTTACGGATGCGCGCGGTCCCAAAATCAACACTGTGGAGAAGTCAAGACTCGACTGGGCCACGTACGTCGACTCTGCAGGTATCAAAGATGAGTTGCGCACTCATAGCAAAGCCAAGGAGGGTTATATCGGTCGCATGGATTTCTTGGGTCGTATGGAAGAGAAGAGGGAAGAGGAACGGCGGGCTGCACGACTCAAAGGTGTATGAAAACAGTCCTTGTGCGCACTCTACCAAAACTCTCTATTGTCCCGGAAACACTCTTCTGCTGCGGCTGCAATATGGACGTGGATCCATATAGAGTCGTTTTATTGCCAAGCCCTTTGCAACCCCGTGCTTGTTGCAATGGTACCATTTGGGTAGCTCTACTTCGAGAAATATCTCACTACATTCCGATTGAAAGTGTGAGCTATCAAAGTTGGACCCACGACCCACCACGGTGTGCCCTACATCCACTGCAGGGCCACGAACATGACTGACATCCTTGCTTTAAGCTTCGAGCCTCCATACGGCCATTCAGTCAGCTCCCCACAGTAGACCCACCGGTCTACATTCATACCCAGTGAAACTTGATCGTCAATCAAAACAATTATCATAAGATCATATCAACGGGAATTCAAATCTGTACTATCAACATGTACTATATAGCAACAATCCAGAGATACCATTTCAGCGACACATAATCATTGTGCAAATCACCAACAACAATCTTCAAGCCGCACTAATTCCCATCCCCCATTTACTTGGGCACATACTTGATGCCAGTCTTGGGGCAGCCAGAAGTGGTGACTAAACGAACCAAGAGGTCAGCAAAGCACTAACCAAATAGTAAAACGATAAAATGATAAAAACTTACGCGTATCAACAGCCTTGTATGTTCCATCAATCGCATTGCCCTTGACGTTGTAGAAGTACCAAGCCTGGTTCAACTTGCCACTCGAGCAACCCAGGTAAACCTCCGCACCGTGCAGACCAGTAAGAGCCTTCTGGATCTGGGCGAGAGTATATGTCTTGGAAGTACTCGGGGTAATGCCAGCAGCAGCAAGTGCCTGTGACACACAGTCAGCAACGGACAGCACAGATGAAAGAACCGAGAGGGAATCGGGGACATACCTTGTATGTATCCAACTTCTTGAACAGATCAACCGTCTTCTGGAAGAAATCACCGACTTCCTCCTGCGCCGTGTAGCCGGAATAGCAGCTCGGCTCGATGGTGTTGATGCAAGTACCGTGCTTGCTCCACTCGTGCGACCAGAAGTCCTCGTTATCCCCGTTGATATCAACCCAGTACTCGTCCATGTAGTCAACCAGGTCGCTGCGGTCCTGGTCCTTCAGGATCGCTGTGATGTTGGTGTAAGCGCGCTTCGAGTCGCAGCTTGCTTCGTATGTGCCGTCGCAGTTGTCGGGCCTGGTGAGGGAGGTGTTAGATTATTTTCTTATAGATTAGGCTGGATGTTAGGGCTACGTACCACAATCCGTGGATGGTCCATGAGTCGTCGGGACCAGTTGATGGGCTGGTATCCCAGAATTGAGTCATGAGGAGAGCACCGCCTGGGGAGTTAAAGCAGCAGGTTGGCTCTTCGGAGGAGCTTGAGCAGCTGAAGACGGTGCCGCTTTCACAGGTTTCAAGGCTGGCGGTTGTGCCGGTGATTAGGGTCATGGCTGCTAGGGCAAGCATGCCCTTTGTGGATTGAGATCGGAACATTTTGTCAAGATGGGATTGAGAGGGAATTGAGCTGAGTGAATACATGTAAGGGGATCACACAATGGTCTTATATATACTTGAGTCCCGATCATACTCTGCATATACATTGCCAGGCACGAAACATACAATGTAGCACATGCACCGATAAGAAGAAGCTGATTTGTTCTCGGACGTCGCCGCTACACCTATCATTTCGGCAACGAAGTAATATAAAGTACAGTAGTGCCGGTCAAAGTAGGCGACGATCACCGAGCGGGGCAAGTTGCGTTGTGGACTTTCTCCAATGATGAGACAGAAATGCACAACGAATTCAACCGCTAAGTCTGAGTCCGACGGTTTTCGTCTGAAAAAGGCTGACGAAACGCCTCTTGAGGTTGCATCGTCCCGGGCTACTCCTTCGGATCTCCGACTTGTTGATTCATGTTGATTCACCCCCCGCAAGATTCAACCCGCCGATCGCCCCCTTGACGAACCAGAACGCTTAGCCCTGGATCTAGTAGGCTTTGTTTTATCTTCAAGCCGTTGCTTCGCTTAGAGGGAAATGGCCTGTTGTATCTTCATAATGTGATTACTACTGGATAGGATACACAGGTTCCCGTGTGTGCTGTGCGCCATCTCTGCGGGCCGACAAAGTGTTCCCCACATGAATGGACTCGTGTCAAATCGCTTGGACGTAATGAAATTGATCAGAGAAATACAAAATATAGAGCCTACTGAGATAACAAAGGTTCCTGTTCCTGTTCCTCATCATTGGTCTGTGGAGACGGTCCCAGTCGAATGTTCCAAAGGGCGGTGACAGCAAGAGCGAAAAAGAGAGACGCTTGCAAGAATGGCAGTCCCGTCCACGCAGGCCCAAGGTGCATGCCTAATTGGAAGAGTTTGGCAAACAATGGGCCCGAAACGAGTGTTCCCACACCCTGTGCAATGGCAATTGCCGAGTACAAGGTGGCAGCATGGTCGGGTTGTACGAGGGAAGTAGCTAGACTGCGTGTGCTGATCACGAAGGACGAACCGATTGACAAGATGACCTGTCCACCGATCAAGATAGCTGGTGTTGGGGCTATGAAGATAATGGCGAGTCCAATAATACAAAGCAGGCCACTGCCTTTGCTAAAGAAATGATCGCTACGTTTTCCGCGGAGATTGAAGTATTTGGCGGCCAAAAATGTCAGGATTGGCATGATAACCAGATATGTCACAAGAGCGAATATCCCGCGCAGCGAGATCAAGAGACTGGCCTATAGCATAATTAGCTTGGTTATTCGATGGAGAGAATAGGTACATACGCGACCAATACTCCAGTCAAACTTCTTTGACACATACTGCAGAAGTAGGTTTGTACATTGTCGACTCATCATTGTAACAAACATCACAAAGACCATTAAACAGATATTGAAATCGGTCCAAATGAAGCGTGTCGACTGTACAAACTCATTCAATTGTCGGGTGATCTCCTGTAGCGTTGACCGCTTGCTTGGAGGTTGGGATTGTACGCTTTCGCTGTCCTGCTCTGGGCTTTCTCGATCAAATGGAGTTTCTTTTGTGTGCCTGAGAGTCTCGGGCAGGAACAAGGCTGGAAGGCATCCCACAATGATGATGCATATTGATAGCATATACGGAAACATCGGACCGAAGGTCATCAGATAAGCACTGAGTGGAGTGGCGAGTATCTCTGCGATTTGGACACAAGATTGTAAACGGAAGAGCGCAGTTGCTCTGTATGGATGTTAGACCTATCACATGGAGGGATTGAAAGATAACAGTACCTCTCATCTTCGGAGAAGACCTCGGCAACTATGACCATGGCAATGGCCGTGAGAACTTGGTCGCCGCCGCCAATAATTTTGAATATAGATGACATCCAGACCATCCGAAGAGGTATAACGCTTGACCACAGGCCTAAGAAAAAAGGATCAGTAAGACACTAACCAAAGAGTGCAATGACTTACAAACTATCCGAACCCAAATCTCTCCGAGTAGAATGCCCAGCATACTAAGATAAATGATAGGCCTCCGCCCCCAGTGGTCTGAGAGGACGCCATATGGGAGGGAGAGGACAAGACCTACGTTTTCCAAATGTCAACATCCTCAGATCAGTGTCTCGTGGAGTATATACATACCAGGGACCACATCGAATGTGTTCTGATACCCAATCACAAGCGCCAGTTCTCCTTGTACAGCCTCGGATTTACACGGGTTGGACACTGGTGGAGTCAGAGTCTCATTTCCCGCCCCACGAAGAGTCGCTTGGTAGTTTCGACAGATGATTTCCTCATATACAGCGATTTGGGGCGCGGAGGACATGAAAAACCCGAAGTCGGCCGATAACAAGAATATAGCACATACGATGCAAACCAATAATTTCTTTGGATGCTGGGCTGGCTTGACCGTATGTGAGCCCAACAGTGGCTCTGTCTCTGTCATTGTGTCAATAGTTTGAATGGGAGCAGACATCAACCCTAGTCAAGGATACCCCTAGACGACAGGAATGTCGAGAAACTTGTTAGGTGACGCGATCTTTAAGCTAAATTCCAAAGTTGCCTCTGTGCTTATGTGAGTCCGATGGCCGTTAGATTGCAGGGTACCTGCACCCCCTCTCTTTTCTTTTTTTTGGGCGGACTTTTCTTTGAACTTCACATTCTTTGGCCATATCTTAATCTTCTTCTAAGATCGGAATACAAAACTCCATTGGGTTTCATTGTCATGTCCCTCTACGTCATCCCCAGGTACTGCTTCTCTCCAACGCACGCCTTATCTTGAGACTCGGAGCTCGGAGCTCGGAGTTCAGACGTGTCTTGACGGCCTAATCATCAGCTCCACGTTTTCATGACGCATAACGCTTAATCCAAGCCAACCACGATTTGGCGTTAGGGGAGACATGTCACCGTTCCCCTGGACTCATATCAGCGACACTCAATCTAGCAGTTCAGGGCCCATGAAACCACCAAACTTCCCAGCCCGAATGCCCCCGGGATGACCAAGAGAAAACGTGGTCTTGGGTAGTGCAGTCATGTAATTGTAAAATTCGTCTCTTTGCTCCCGATCCTAACGCAACCTGACAGGCATCTTCCCAGCAGAGACCAAGCCCACCGCCATGCTGGCCTTTCTCATCAGTCTGGCCCCAAAGCATATACCAGTCGGTCCTTCCGCACACCGATAGTCGAGGCTTGCGACAAACCATCACCCCCAGGTCCACCACAAAGCAGAAAGATGCCTGACCGTACGGAGTAACCGAAGCCTCGATGATATGCAGTGACATCTCACAAAGACGAAACCGCTGACCGCATTTCCTTGGGGGCTTGTCCACAGAACCCTGCAAGTTCCCGTCCACAGGTCTCGTCTTTGCCTTCTGCATGCGCCCGAGGCTGCGTCTTGAGATTTCATATCTGACCGCCACAAGACTGCATGATTATGGAGACCTTGAAATTCCCGAGACTGGGGGATTTTCTCGGAGGATCAAACGAAAGTCTTCTTTGCTTTTTTTTTTTCTTTTCATTTTTTCTCTCTCTTCTCTTGGCCTACGGGTTTCCATTGCACGGCACACGCGGGAGTCGGGTGGCGTCCACGTCGTGAAGCGCGACACGTCCGGTTCTGGACTTACATCTGTCGGAGATGAGATTCTTATTTGTCCGGTTAACTTGTCAATTTTATTGGCTACTACCTTTCACGTGCTTCTATGTCTGCTTGGTGATTTGTAATACATGTTCGCCCCCGGCGCCTGGATGGTTGGTTATCTTTTGGTGTCACGGATCGAGTTTGAGCCATACACTGAATCACACAATTCGGGCATGAGCTAAGCAGATACTTGCTGGCAGCATGTGGATAGCTTGGCATTTAGCCATTCCACTCTCTCGGGCGCTTAGATAGCCGAGTCTTCTGCCTTTGCACTACTATTGTCGCCGTAGAATCTTGATATTGCATGTCATTTGAGATAGCATCAGTTCAATGACAGTAGGACTCTCCTGGTAAGAAGATCAATAGTAAACCCTCAATGTAAAAAGCCCAAGTCATACCTAGGGTTATCAGAAGCATCACTCCCTCTACAGACTCGCAGACAAAATGAAGCCTCCCAATCTGTCTCACATCTTCCTCCCTGTTACATTTTCCTTTCCCGCCCTAACCCGTAGGATTTGTGCCCAATCTCCAGTCATCCCTCTCAAGTATGTCAAGGGTTCAAATAAACAATGAGTTCATCTTACAATCAATTGAAATAATTCTCAAACTTTAAGAATGAAACAAGTAACCTCAAGTTCGGCCACCGATATCGCGTGATTGAATAACAACAAGAGAACCAATGCGTTGTTACGCATTCTCCAATCTTGTGTTCTGCTTATGGAAAAGCAAGTTCTACGTCAGAAAGGGACGATTTTATCCGTTCCTAGCTAGGCAATATAGTTTTTGCTAATCATTTCGAGTGACAAGTCTCAATTCAAAAATGCGGCTTTGAATAGAGCCCTCGAGCATAGATGGGAGTATTATTGTGCGGAGAAGGGTGAAGAAGTCACAGGCAACGTAAGAGTTGAGAGTCAGGTTATAAGCTCACGGCAAGTTAACACCGGATATCGAAATCACTCGTCGACACTAACTCACAATCAACTTGGCCCCTTAATTATCTGTGGTCATTCCTCAGGGCAGGCAGATCGTTTCTTGCAGATGCCTCCCCTTGTAATTTGTACCTCTGCTAACTTCTCCAAGATATGAGAAACGAAAAAGGACAGAAAGGAGCCATCATCCAGGCAAGTAGGTGAAGCTTTCATTGGTCAAAGAAAAACCCTCAAGCTTTTTCAGCCACCGGATTTAAGGCTGAGCTTTGGTGAATTTCTTTCCTTGCTTGATTCAGTAAGTCGGATTACCGATTGGAGATGGGACTGATGAAACACCGGACCTTTTTGGTGAGAGGCGCGAGCCCAGGGCTGATATAGACCCATCGGCAGATGCAAGAAACGATCTCCTCTCCATAAATGAATTATTGTGCTTGTCCTTATTCCTATCTTCTGGCATACTCGTATTATAGTAGTCCGAGTCGACATCTCCCGCATATCCAATAACGCTTCTTATGGCAGTAGGTTTATCCACTGGGTCGTCGGTTGTAATGGTAACAAACTGGCCGAAGGATGTGCATCTTTCCAGCGGTGGAGGTATATGCGGATCCCTGGGTTTGCTGGGTTGCGGGACCAGGAGTCATGAACGACCTTCTCGGGGGTCTTTCTCTGCGAATTGCCAAGAGTAGGCAACCAGTGGAAAGCAAGGTCAACGGACGTGCTCTATTGACTGATCGCAATAGGTGAAGATAATAGTTTATATCAACATGTGGTGTGAGCAGCTATTCACTCACTCTCCACTCACTCTCCAACTTCACCATAGGGAGCCCATGCTATCGGCATGTTTGCAGTACTAAATTATCATTTGGCATCCTGCCTACCTCTGCCTTGAGTAGAAAATTTAGTTCGGTATTCGTAAACACGCGTCTAGTGTGCCTTGTAAATCCCACTCACATCGCAGATGGCGCTGTTGCTAGGACTTAGGAAACCAGTGCCTTATCAGCAAGCTTTGTCTAGCCCAGGTCTCGCAAAGGATCTATGTTGATGAGCCGGAGGGGAAGAAGAGTGTGACGAGAGAGCTCCCGCAGTGAGAGTTCGTCATCTGTCCTCTCTGGTAGGAGCGTCCTTTATCCTAAATTCGTCCAAAACATCGACATTTGGACCAAGATGGATGTACACGGTGAGTGATTGTGGTTGGAGGAAAGAAAGAGGAAGGTGGGTCGGCGACGGTGCATGTGGGGCCGTAGTCAGGTGACATGTATTCATCTCTTCGTTCGCCTTCGATTACTATATGATTGAGTTATTTTTTATTGGGTAGACTAAATTTGTAGATCTTGTATTCACAGTCCAGGGTTTTGAAACCAATTTTTGTGTTGAGTTTGAGGCCGCGGAGGGTAATATACTGTCAACGTGGTCCAAAATATATCTTGGCGGGGATAAGTCCAGACAGCGAAAGAATGATTCAGAGTACACACATTGCTCGCATAGCTCAAGATGTAGAATGATAATCAGAATTTTTGCTACGTTGTGATAATGAGAGAGACATGCTTCTACACCTCAGGTGATCTAGAACACACTATACTCATGTTTGCATAGTATATATCTTGGGGCCATCAGATATTGAAATGCAACGATATAGCACAAAGAAGTAGAGACATATATATATTAAATTCAAGTGACCATCGCATGTCATTGAAGTACATTAATCCTGATACAGAATGTATTTACTTGTTTAAATACAATCATTTCGGCCAAGCTGCCTTCGCTAGTCGAATCCTACCCAACCAATGACTACAATAGTAACCGTAAACCATGTATATATACGCCTACCACAAGGTAACAAGATCTCTCAAGGCTACGATTATCCTGGAGTAACAGGTAGAGTAATTACCAAGCTTATTTATAGGAGAGTTCTGATCATCATGAAGGCAAGATGCCTGAGTCTGTTAATGTTCACAAATCCAGCTCTTGCTGATCTGTTATCATTGCCCTTCAAAGTTGGAAAGGATGAGAAAACGCTATCAACGAGAAGACCAGAAGAAGTAATAAGGGATGCAGAGATACGTCAGGTGGCCGTATCTAAGGTTCGTTGTTATCCGTTATTCCACCTTGTGTAGCACAGGAAACTCACAAATATGATTTCAAGATTCCTAGTTAGATTTTGATCCAAAAAGATTGTACTCATCCATGGATGGGGCGGAAAGCCCTTTGACCAGCCCAATAGACACCCAGATGATGACCATAGAGTTTTGCGCTACATGAACCCCAACCTAGCTTAGCATCTCTGGAAAACCTACGCAAAGACCGTACGACTATCAAACTCTCATCGGATGGCAGATCGGCCGATCCCAATTCAGAGTCACACAGAGCTTGTCGAGACTCGCCCAAGGCAATAATGACCTAAAACCCTGTCTGAGTGATTCGCGTCACAGGAGTCTATCCCGAGCACAAAGTACACGCTGAGACCCTAGCATACCAAACCTAACACGACACCCATGAAAGCAAGAGACAACAAGAATAGCATTCAAGATGACTTCCTCATTTGGCATCAGAGTCGCGGCGTGGAGCCAATATGTAGGAGAATTGAGACCAGCATCTAATAACAGCATGTGAGTCTCCCAAGTAGGCCAGACAAGCACCGGGGAGGCGCAAGGGCCCCAATAATATGATATCACCAGGCTCCATCCACGATGATCCGCAATCACACCAATCAGGGGGCGCCGCTGCCAACCGTACGGGCTAGACATGGTTCGTGCTCTGCAGGGTTTCTGCGAAGCACCTATGTCTGACATTCTCCAGATAGTTCGATGTGCAGGGTCGATCCCGTTCTCCTCGGGGCTCGAATCTGGCCTTTCTTTTGCTTTTTCGTCAGGCTCATACGATCTTGGGTACCATCGTAGCTACTTTGGTATTAGTATGGCTTAGGTTACATAAGATTGTGGCAGCGGGCATGCACGGATGGGCCGTTGGAGTGATAGAGTAGGCCAGTATGCTTGGACTGGTATGTGATACGGGATTATTGCAACGCTGCATCTCTGCAACACTGTAAGGTTTTCTTATTGTTTTCCGATTCGCAATTCAAGCAATAGAAGCCAAACACGTTGGAGTTTAGTTTCAGATGCGAGTCGCGAATCATGGTATAAGATACAGTGGTATGTGTGCTCCTTCATCGCGACTCACGTCGCGCTCCTGGGGGTCCGACAGGCATACAGATATGATGTTTATAGGGACACGAGGGTCTATCCTGGGGAATCCCCAAGGGTAATCAGGCTTGATAGAAACATACCAGACAGGGTCATCATAGCGTCCTCGAAAGCATTGGGACATAGACTTTCGCCACAATAGAGCTGGTTCCTGGGAGCCGGGAATAAATCTATGCAAGGTAATGCAATGCAAGTCAACGTGGAGTATTCATCCACTGGAGGAACTTTGAATTAAAAAAGCAAAATGAATTTCTTTTGAATGCCTTTGTGGACGAACGGAAAGCCGTTGGATGAAGAGAAAAAAGAATATTCAGCAAGGGGGTGGCGGGGGGTAAACGGGAGTCCATTGTCCGGAGCACACCAAGTGACTCCCAGGAACACTAGGTACCATTTTGGGGGTTGTGCATACATAATCCCGTACCTATGTTGATTTGTGTACTATTGATCACTTTTGCAGTCTAGATCCCTGATGCTTGCTTCCTATAGGCCGCTCAAGTTCGTCCCTGCATCATCTGGCCCAAATGCCGACTATTTCACACTAATCATTGTCTGCAGTTCACCAATTGTATAAGGCTTGTTTCTTTCTAATGGAGCTCACAATGTGTGTAGAAAATCCATACCAAATCGAGAACTCTTGTCACGACAAACCGGTCGGCCCTCGGCTCTTCGTTCTATTTCCAAACGGTCGATCGCTGTGCTTCTTCCACGAAACAGGAAAAAAAAAACCAATTGGACATTTGATTCAGTCTTAGCACGGTCCCCGACGTGCGTGGTCCCCGGTCATGTCAGGTCCCCGAGCATGCGAGCGCTTTGGCTTCGACAACCTTTATTGGAAATGCATATCGAACTTTAGGCGAAGTATTGATATGGAACCAAAAATCAAACCCATAATTTGCAATGAAAGTCTGAAAGTCGAATAAAGGCCCATGAAGAATAATAGACATTCGCAATTACATCAGTGGCACTCACCGGACCTGCAGCACTCCAGACACACCCCACCCCAGGTTACTACCGGGAGGAACGCTGTGCATACCGAAGAATGACAATGTTAAGCATTGATCAAGAGCACACGAACAGGTAGTATAATCTATAGGCAAGTATGTTGGGTCACAACCCGGTGGTCGATTGCTTCGACTGCCATTCATTTTCAAATTGGGTAAAACTAACGACATAATGTGATAGGACAGGCACAAGTGCCGTCATAACGTTGATAGGGAGGCTTGCATGTCTTGTTGATCATCTCGGCAATGGGCTATTCTTGGCTGCATTCTAAGCTCCGAGTGACTGGCCGAGGTCTGAGGTCTTCGAAGAACGGATGAGGGTCTGGGCAGAGAACAAAAGTTGATACCTCTACTTGTATTTTCCGAGTACCTGGTACCTCAGAGGCAGAAATCGTGCTAATGCAGCCATATCCCTAAGCCCAGATAAGGTTTGCTAATTCGGACTGTGCTTATTGACTGGTCCATCGCTTTTTTTGTCCTTTTAATTTATTTATGTCTTTTTGTCCTGAAATGACCTAGTTCGAAGCAGCTAGTTTAGTATCCAACGTAACCACATATGATGGTACGTAACCTTGTAGTATGTGATTACACCGTCAGAGGGCCATTTCCATCGTCAAAAAAATTGTCCGTTTCAGTCGCCACACTTGACGTAGATGTGAAACGAAGAAATGCGATCAACAGGGGATCGTACATCGCAGAGAGCCTCAATGAGCCCCTCGGTATCTGGAGGGTCCACCAAAACCACAGAAGGCGAAAATCCCGCAGTGAACAGCGGCGATGATACGGGGATAGTGTAGATCTCTGGAAACTCAGAAGGCACAGACATGGAAGATATGAACCAAAATCCCGCCGGAAGATCAACCCGGATAAGCGAAGCCACACTCCAGCCCCAACGCCACCGACGAGCACGGTGGCGCAATTGGGCAGCCGCAGCCTAAGGCAGCAATGCAGACTGAGGTATGGCTTGGTGCGACAAAGGCGAGGCTATCGAAATCGCAACCTTCCGTTGTCGATGATCACGGCATTTGGGTGGTCCGGGTGAATTTGAATAGAAATCTCCCGAGGTCGGTCTGGGGATTTCATGTCTGGACCCTGATTCTGATTCTGAACCTGCAATAAGACATGTAGTTGACGATAGTGGTTTTGAGTATCGAATAGCAAAGTATAAAGGTGGATTATGTGGGTTCATGGATTACCAAAGGCATAGACAGAGGTGGGAGACATCCCTTAGACGCAGGGGCCGAAAGATCTCGGGGTACAGTTTTTGTTGGGGCTTTCGGGGTTCGGGATTGGTCCTTGCTGCAACTGGTGGTCTGAGCATTAGGGATTTGATCAAGAGTTCAGATAACGACTTGTTCAAAATACCCAGGTACCTAAGGTACCTACCTAGACAAATATCAAAATCTATCCATGGATGTATATATTTCTAAAGTTCTACCCTTCCAAGGTTACCTGGGGTCGTGAAAACTCAAATGAGCACCTAGAGTTTTGGAGCATCCATGGAACCGTCATTAGCTTCAAAGGTAGAATCCCCGAAACATCTTGGCGGGGTTTGACCTCCAGAGTTTGGGTTGGATTTAGAGTACAATAGTCTTGAACGGATTGCAGGAATAGATGCATCTTATCAATAGGGCTTGAAGGATGTCAAACCGGTTTTTGAACTCATGGGACACTTATGGGATGCTTGTGGGACTCGGACAACTATGCAGGTATACCAATAAAGTATGAAAGATTTGGGGGATACTCAAGATGCAAGAAATAAATCGAAGCGGGGGCCTGCTGAGGCTAGATCTGACAGTACATTGTATAACATTCGACAGAGAAAGTGTAGCCCTGGACACGGATCGACGCGAAAATGATCGACACAAGAGGGGCCGAGAGGAAGAATCAGAACCAGAGCCCGGACCGAAAAAAGCAATTCCACTCGGTCCAGTTTAAACCTAATCTGGCTAAGTCCGTTTTCCATCACTTGTTCAAGGAGCGAAATAGCCCTATGGCTGAGATCAAATGCTCGACTATTAACCCTAGAGAAAGCCGGTTTTATCTCCACTGAGCCATGCAACTATGATGTGATATACAGGCAATGAAATAACAGTATTATCATGAACATGGAGAAGCGGTCGCGATTTCGCAAACCTGCAGCGGAGACAAACATTCGAGGCCGATCGTTATCTGGACCGGGGGGATGTTTCAAACCGACTCGCCACGACGTAGGACCAACATCCAAAGAATGCAAGACTTTTGCCTCTGTTAACCACATCAGTCGCGGGCGAAACACCTGACTCAGCATATCCAAATAACCTTGGAAGTGAACAATCCCATGATTCAAGTCTCAACTGACGCGTGATGGATCAGAGGCAAGTGCCAGCTCGGGGGCCAACGCCGTCCGAACCGTTGGGACAGAGAAGTGGCTTTTCTTAGACCCAGCGGGATGGATGTTAGTTGTTCCCCGACGCAGTTTGCTTTTTTTTTTGCTTTTACTGTTTTCACATTCCAGGGTCTGAATGATGAAGTGGATTTATCACTGGGGCCTATAGGAAGTAGGTATGTATGTATGACTTACGGTGTATGTAGAGCGCCGGTGGATTGGGTGGGGAAAGAGACTAGACTCAATTGGGAAAGATAAGTATAAAAAGAAAAATGAGGTTGTAAACAGCACAGTTCAGGGCGATCCATAACAAGTGACGATGAGACCCTTGGAGAAGAAATAAGGCGGAGAAATAGGGGAATGTTAGGATATGTGGAAGCTCTGGAATCTGAGATTGCTACTCTCCGGACGAGATCCTGCAGCGTCAACCGGGTTCGCACAGACCCTGGTCAACGTCTGACCTATCGCAAAAGTACGAATGAGATCGATCCAAGCCTCCACCGTCCGAGCGAGCTCATATTATTCTCATTTTCCATGTCTCCAAAGTTCCCAATGTTTCTCACACTCTATACCGTTGAGAAGTCAAAATGAGATTACACTCAATAGGTTTAGGCTTCAAGGTTTATGTCTGAGACTCAAGTGGATAGCTCTAGAGGGAGATCAGGGTCTTAGATCATATCATGATCGACATGGCTAGAAAGTCCGGGGACGATCGACCTGCATGTCAAATAGACTCTGCTCACATTTTGCGGAACCTAAGAGGGACCTAAACATTCCAATGGAGTACAAAGAGCATGCTTTAGTATTGAATAGGATTGGTGGAGGGGGAGAATAGATGCATGAACTAAAAGAAATAGGGTAGATTAAACATTTTCAAAAATCGGATTATGACAATAACCAGAATACTGGGCCCGAGTCCCAAAGAAGAATTTCTTAAAAGAATAATCCTCCATTATGGATTATGTATATATATATAAAGATAAATATATATATATTTTATTATCCAAAAATGAATTTACGAAAAAAAGAAAAGAAAAAGAAAAAAAAAGAAAAAGGTGAGGGATGACAATCCGCCGATCCAAGTCTCTCTCTCAGCCCAAAAAGGTACCAGGAACAAGCTTCCCCCGGGGATCATTACTTTCTACTCTCTTTAAGACACCCTTCCCTCACCTCTCCTTGCTGTACATATAATCTCCCCTCCCCTCAGCCTATATACTACAGCCCCCCCTACCTATACCCTATCAGTCTGAGACCTCCCTTTCAACCTCCCTTTAAGCTCTTAAACCGCATCAAAGGGCTTCTGACACCAGGTTGCGCTTGGTGTTCCATACCAGCCCGTTACAGTGTCCTAGTTTGGCAATTTCAATCTATTCCAACGCGAAATAACGCGAAACATCGCGATCAAACCTGCAGCCCTCGAGGAACGCCAGTCGATCTCAGTCCAGATTCAGCCGTTACAGTCTTTGCCGCGGTAACGGAGGATCTATAGTCTACATTCCTAGCCTTGCTTGGAACCGCGACGCGCCTCTAATTTTGGCCAGTTCTAATCTGAGCTTAGACCATGGCGTATAGCTGTAAGTCCGATCTCCACTCCTCGGGATTCTATGCTGGACCAATTTGTTTATTTCTGCTCGTTTGTCCTCCATTCCCTTCATCCTTTTGCACATTCTTTCCTTCCTTTTCCTATTCTCCGGGACCTAATACACATTCTCTTGTCTTCGTCTTGCTCTGTCTTTCCATCCCTACCTTTCTTTTATTCCTTTCTTTACCTCACTGTCGACCCTTACTCTCGTTCCACCTCTCTATCACTTGACTTCGACCTTCGTTCATATACTTAGAAAAACATCAAAAACAACAACATCAACAACCAAATACAAGTTACTAAAGTGCGTTGTGCAGGTGATACCATCAACTCAATTGCATCTCGACCTTTCAAAACCGAGGACCCGGAAGACATGAGATCTCACGGACAGCAAATCTCGGATCGTTTGACTGTTGAAGTTGACTGCCGCTCTCTGGGCCCAAGTGATTGCCCCTCAATGACTTCGAGCTTTTCTCCTTTGGACTCTCCAACTCCCACACCCACCAGTCTCTACAGCCAAGGCTCAATGGCCTCACCCGGTTGGCACGAGCCTTCCCACTACCACCACGGCCTCCCAATGGAGCGACGAACATCGGCTACGCCACTCCGCAGCGCATTCAGAATGGCTGATCTTACGTCAGGCGAAGGCATGATGAATATGCCCTGCGGTAACATGGACCGCCAGGATCAAATGCCGCTACCCGACTATCTCCCTGGATACGAAGAGGGTGCCGACCAACTCTGGATTCCTCAGGATATGCCAAAGACATACCAGGAGCCTCAGTTTCCCTATCAGGCCTCGATGCCTCAATACAATCAGATGGCTCGCAACTACTACCACCGTCCTCAACAGGCTGGATATATGCCAGAATCCGCTTCAAACCCTTGCCTGTCTCGTCCAATCTTTAACCAACCCACCGAGCGGATGTCTAACTCTGCTTCAATGACAAATATGCTCCACTGGATGCCCTCTCACGAGTCGCTGGTACCTCAAACCATCACTCCGGCTCAGGTTCAGCCATTCCCTTCTGGACCCGTGACCCCTCCTTCTTCCTCTTACTCCGACTTCCCCACCAACATTCCAACGTTTAAATCTCACACTCCTTCTACTCCGCATCGTTCTGTTTCCATGGGTACTCCTTCGGGGTCAGATACTCCAATGAGTCGTATGTCCGGCCACAATGATTATCAGGAAGAGTTCCAGCTTTCTCCTGTCTACCGGGAAGGCATGATGCAACGCCATCGCCAACCGTCGCGCAAATCCTCCAAGAAACAGCTCCTCCGCTCCAACCTGAGCCTCGAGAACTTGCCGTCCATCATTAAGCAAGTTCAATTTAAGTGCAAGGAGCCTGGCTGCAAGGGACGCTTTAAGCGCCAGGAACATCTCAAGCGACACATGAAGAGCCACTCCAAGGAGAAGCCCCATGTCTGCTGGGTTCCTGGTTGTCACCGTGCTTTCTCCCGCAGTGACAACCTGAACGCTCATTATACCAAGACCCACAGCAAGCGGGGCGGTCGCAACCGCTATGTTGCGACACTCGATGAGACCAGTCAAGACTTTGATCCCGACTTCCGTGGCCAGCTTACCCCCGATGGTCGACCTATCTACGGCAGCAAACTCGAAGAAAGCATTCCTGACTGTGGCGACCTGAATGGGGAATGCTGGGATGAGTAGTCGCACGACCTCGTCAAAAAAGCAAATCTCAAAATCCCGAAAGAAAAAAAAAAAGCAAATCCACAAAACAAATTCCACACGAGTTTTCAAAAATAAAATATGGAATTATAGAAACACCAAGCAAAAACACGGCCCTCACTAGGCCTTATTGATACCCCGTATCTGGAGGGTCGACTGCCCTGAATTGGCAGAGGCATTACG